GTAAACAATGTTTTATATTCCAGAAATGTCCCAGTGTTTTGGTTTATTTTTGTACATTTAATATTATTCTTGTTATACGCAAAGCAGAGTAAAGATGGTCTGAAACTGTTTTAAGTGTTCTGTTTTTAACAGTTCAAATAAAATTCAACTTCAAAGAGGAGTTCAACTCCCAAAGAGCCCCTTTAAGCCCGTTAAGACCCATCATCAAGCACAGACAGTAAAAATAAAGATTTATTGCACTAATAAATAACTCCTGCATGGTGCCAAGCCCCAAGTTAAGGTTTACAACTGGTTGTAAAAGAAGAAGCAAAAGGTTAGGAATCCTTTAAATTGGATCTAAATGACCAACAACACATCATGTGCTGCTGCAGTGGAAATCGAGAATTAATCACTAAAAACACAAAAAATGGACTAAAGAGTTTCACCCATGAAGTAAATTTTTCAAAGGTGGATCGAATGAGGTTTAAATAAAAACAGCAAACAAAGTTATTTATCTAGTATTTACCACTTTAACCATTTATTTCAGATATCAGTCAGAATGTGAACAAACTGAAATGTTTAATGGCTCAATTTCAATATTCGCTCTCAGACTTTATAAAATTGCAACTTTCCACCTATTCCCAGTTTCATATTATTATAGGAAAAGAAAACTCTCAACTTATTTCTGCATCCCAAACAAAACTCTGTTTTACATAATTATGTGTGGAAATTATGCATCTCAGTTAAAACATATTTATAACAAAAAGGGATTTTATTATTACTGCATTTGATTAACAGTAAGTCTGATCTTGTTGATAAATTTGCCAGTTTTAACTGTTAGTTTTCAGCTTAATTTACCAATTTATTAATTTTTAATTACATTTTACAAATTATTATGTTCAGCAATAATCTCATTATGAGGGATACCAACTCAGATTTTACCTTTTTACACAAATAGGGGCAATTTCTTGAGGCTTGAATGAAACAATGAATCAAAAATATAAACCATAGGGTACATCTATTCAGCTTTGTGCTTAGAGATCTTTTCTTTATTGATGATTTTAGAGGCATTTGCTGTATTTAGAGATCTTGGAAACTAATTTTAGAAACTTATTGCTGCTTGAATAAAACTGCTGTGCATAACCTCCACGTTAGCCAACACAGCAAACCAAAATAACAAAAAATCCAAATCAAACTCATGAAGAAACTTGCAACTGGCAGCTTTATTTAAAAGTGATCATACGATACCAGCTCACATTTTTATCACAGACACAAAGTGACGCCACGGCAAGTCAGGTTCTGTTTATAAACTGTTGCATTGTAAGTCCTCTGATTTTAACCCTCCCACTGTCTTTATGGGTGACCCTGTGAGGAAAGTTGACCATTGAGCAGGATTGACGGTTTATCCCTTGAGGTCCACGTGGCAGGGACAAGGTGGTGCTCACTCCTCACCCCTGCCACATGGACCCAAGAGATAAACCATTAATCCTGTTCAATGGTCAACTTTCCTCGTGGGGTCACACCTATTAGGAGAGTGGGAGGGTTAATCAGCAGGTGATTAAAGGTGTGGGACCCTCATTTAATCAACACATTTGCAGTGGTCTCTAAAAGCAATGAATGCCTTGTAAGTTGTACTGAAAGAACAAAAAGCTCAGATGCACCTGAATCAGGAAGTATAAGGCCCAATCCCAATACTCGCCCTGCCCCCTGCAGTCTTCAGCAAAGTGCACTTGGAGAAAGTGCACAGTAAGGCGTCGAGTGCATAGTACACAAGTGTGCAAATAATTGCGAAATTGGGACAGGGACCATTGCGTCATCGACCGCAACTCATACCAGGATGCTGGTCGCTGTGATACCTTTAAAAAATCTTTTATTAACAACTTTCAAACAAACAACCAAACAATTATTTCAAATAAATGTACATTCATTGCTGCTTTGTCTAAAAGTTTCAGAGCATCAATTAATCGTCCTAAAATGAACTACTTTCATTAGAAAACACATATTTTCAGAAAAGGCACTTGACCTTTTTCTCCTGCAGCAATGGATTGTGGGTAATTCACTTCACCCAAGTCCGTATCAACGCAGACTTGGGTGAAGTGTGCATCAAGGGAGCAAAAGGGGTGTGATCAACTTCCGCATTTGAGAATCGGGACACCCTACGCACTCGCACCCATGGTCTGGATTGTGCAATTGAAGGGCGCAAGAGTTGAAATGCAAGTATTGAGAATGGGCCAAATACAACAAGTCATTATTTCCTGATATTTGGACATCTCACCTCTGATTGAATAACAGTATTACAACTCTCCCAATGACTCCATTTGCTTTGCCTGAAGGAGTTCTGCCATGTTTTGGAGTTGCTAATACTAACAGTTAGCTTCTACTAGCTGAGACGTTCGCTGTTGTTTCATGGATGCTAAACCAACAACAACCTTCCCCGTCGCGAGTCAAAAAGGGTCAGTCCATGAATTAGAAGTGACAGTGTAACGTAGATCTATCAGGCTTTTCAAATCCTAGCCTTTCAACTTCTATTGTCTATCAGAAGCTAATGCAGGAGATAGGTGTAGGAGACTATTTTCATGTTCAGCCTGCATGTAAAACTGAGTGATCGATTACAATCAGATATAATAATTAACAAATGGTTTTTCAGTGAACCACACCTTTAACAGGCTTCTGCAGAGTTTGATGAGCTGCTGAAACCATAATGAGCTGGTGACTGAAACCATGGACCAGGTGTTTATGAGCAGAGAAACAACTAGAACATCCTGGACAGAGACAACTGGTTTACTAGCTAAATGTGACACCCGTAAGCCTGGGATGAAGGAAAAAATATAAACGTGAAAAATGAAATAAATTAAACATAAACGTGTGAGTGTTGGCATGTAAACATTAGAATCTGTGGTTTTGCACCTTCACAAACCCGTTAGTTAGACTCTTATAGAAGGGTAAACAGATCAAGAGTAGAAAACTAAATTCCTAAACAAAACAAAAAAAAAAAAAAGCAAAAGTGACTAAAAATTATTGCAGAGTGATTTTTAAGGAAAGCAAAAAGGAAAAAATGTGAGAAATGCTAAATGGGACAGGGGTAAAAGAGGAGCTGGGGGGAGGATGAGGATGAAGAAAGAGAAAGGAGGACAGGGGAAGACTGCGCTGGGAGGGAGGTCCGGCAGCAGCAGGCTGCAGGAATGCTTCACATGCCTGTCCTCTGCATGACCTCGCCTCCCTGGAGTGTGGGAGATACTGGGAGTAATTAGCCTCTTTTAACATTGGAGCTGGACTGCCTTTCTGCCTCAATGGGGTTAGCAGTGGCATTGAAGGAGATCAAGTGTATAACCTCAAACAAAGTAACTTTAGCTTTCTTTATGAGCACTACAGATGATTATGCCTTTTGTGCTTTTTTGTTTTAGTTTAAGTAGTTTTCAGTTCTTCCCATTTGGGAAATACAGCCAATTACTTCCATTAATTTAAAGGAGATTTTCCTGCCCCACCCACCAAGCCATCTTGTAGCTGACCTATTTATCTTCCGCTATATTTAATTATGATCAATCCAACTGCAAATACTTTTTACTAAAAGTCAGATATTGAGAATTTAAGCAGACGTGCATGAAGAGAAATGAAGCCTAAAAAGCATTGATTTTGTAAAAGGCCACATGGTTCCAATCAAGAAATGTCAATACAGGCACATCAAGGTTATCTGCCTTTCTACAATACCCTGTTTAAAACGGTTTGTTCATACCTGATAATCCTCCAGGGTCTGATGCTTACAGACATGTGCAAATCCGAAAGTAAGAGGAAAATTATTTAGGTTTAACTGAAAGAACAATTACTGAGCTTAACAGTGACGCTCATATTTTATAGATGTTGCTTTAACATGGATAAAGTGTTAGAAAAAGACAGTATTACATTTATGTTGTTAAAAATGCCCAGAGCCATTTCAGAATATGATCATCAGAAGAATAAAGCCAGCAGTTGTGATCCTTTGCCATTAAAAAAAAATAAATCCTCATAAATCTACAGCTTTAACCTGTAATCCAGTGTGAAGGGAGTTGCCAGCAAAAAGGCAGACTAATCTGTTTGAAGACTACAATTTAGTGAAGTAATGAAAACAAAAAAAAAACAAAGTGATCTCTATTTAATTTGACCTTTTGGGTGATTGTACATTAACCTAAACTTGCTTTATTTACATTAAACTGTATATATTTACACAGCTTTATCTTAATCTAAAAAGGTGAAGTAAACAACACGGTGCTTCAAAAATTTTAGTAACTTAAAACTTTAGAACTGATTTCACTCTGTGTTAACTAACGCCTCATTAAGCTAGTTTTATTTTATCACAATAGGTTTGAACATGTTAGCTTTTTCAGCTAACCTTTGTGTTAACGCTAATAACCTTTGTCTCAATGCTGTTTTTAGGCTAACGCTAATTATTCCTTTATGCTAAGCTAACGAGAGACTCGAGCCAAAATTGTCACTTTAGACCCCAAAATGATACAGTTTAAGGTATTATTTCTTGTTGATTTGTACTATGAATTATATAAACCGTTTCAGAAGTATATAAATTGAAAGTTAATAGCTTTTTAAAGCAGGCCTACCTTTCTGAACTGCTTTTCTTCAGCTGAAAAGTGGCTGTAAAAAAAATCCAGAACAGTAGCTGATGACTAGTAAAAAAAAGACGTCCAAATATAATTGTTATTGCGTATTAATATTCAATAATAATGTATTTCCTGTTCGTTGCTGCGGTGCAAATAGACATCGGAGAATTATCGTGAGTTCCGTGGTAAAACATGGGAATTTAATTTGTTTATTTGTTTGTTTAACAAAAACAAAACCTTGCAGACATATCTGACTCTCCTACCTTCCAAATGTCTTCCTCCAGTCACCTGTTCGTAATTAATTAATTAACAACTTAGGTAACGCCAGGTCGCCAGCAGGATTTTGGACTGATGCATTGTGGGTAATGTAGGCATTGGAGCATTCCTCAATTTTTCTGCTGCATTTTAGTGTTTCCTAAACATTTTTATCACTCAGGCCGAGAGGGGATGCGCTCTCCAGTGAGTGGTGGTAATTGCAGGGTTTTGGCACTGGTTTCCAGCGCTGATGATGATGTCAGACAGAGGCTGGGTCATGTGAAGGGCAGCAGAGAGAGGAGGTTCACGGAGAGTTCATCCGCATACATTAGGTAACTCCGCTCCTTGTGTGACATAACTGCTACGAGACAGGTTGAGTTGAGACATTTATCAATAAAGAGATGAGATTAAGAAGTCATGCAACAAACTTTGTTATGCTAAACAGCCTCCAGAACCTGATGCGTTGAGCCGCCGGGGCTTCAATCCGCTGGCTGCGCGCCAACAAACGCAGTTTATGAGCGGCTGTGGGAAATTAAAGGTCTTTTCCTGCGCTCACACGCCCCTCCGGACCTGCTTCTGCATGCGTCGCAGTTCAAATACCTGACTTTAACGCAGGAAAGGCGCGCAAACGGCAGAGGAGAGGAAAAGTCGCGCGTTTGGAGACGTGGTTTTCCATGCTGAGCGCATCTCCGGGCGGACTCCGCAGAGAGAACTGGTCATGTTTGACTTCATGGAATTTCACGTCTTCGGTCCAGGAGAACTACTAGACTTCTACTCGACTTCCAGTCCTGCTTGCGCGCTGCAGGACCAGGACCTGGACCCAGACCAGGACCAGGGTTTGGCAGCTTTCTTTCCGGAGCTGATTGAGTCCGATTGGCAAGAGCATCGGTGCTCACAATGTAGGTGGAAACTGGAAACAACTGCTTCTTTCTTGCCTCATACATTCTGTTCGATTAGATCGAGTAAATCTATTGATTTTATTGTATGACACGATATATTTTCGTCACATGGTCTCTGATGTGATACCAGCCAAGCTGATGCCTCACAGATTTTTTATGAGCAGTGAAAACCTGTGAAGTGGAATGAAATGTCCAAACATGAGAGCAGATATGCTGAAATGCAAGCTTCCAGTCACTTTGTGCTGCAAATTTGTTCATAAAGCATCTTTTATGCAAACTGCAGATTAATTAACCTGTAAGCAATACATAAAAAAAAAATAAACACCTATCTGTGAAATAGATAAAGAAAAGCTGAAATTTAAAATTAATTTGAAGAGATAAAAAATTAGAATTAAGTCATTTTGGCCAGTGTTTGAAAAAAATCAGGAAGTTATTTTAATTTTGTAAATAATGTTTTACAGTGCCATTTTTATCTGAGCAAAGGTAAATATTAGCACAAGGGTAGCCATAATGGGGACGCTAGCATAAGGGCCCATGCTGACAGAGGCCCAATTAATAATAATAATAATAATAATAATAATAATAATTTGTTATATGTATTTTTTCATGGAGCAAAAGATCCCTTGATTAGCTCATCAGGTCAACTTATTTTTAACTTATTTAACTGAAAAACTTGTTTATTTTACCCTAAACGTAAAATACTCTAATTAGCATTATTCAGAATCACATGATTCTAATGAATTATAAATTGATTGTAATAAAAACCAGCTTTGATGTTAGTCCTGTGCAGCTGTATTGTTTGAGGCTTTTATCAGATGTCTACTGCTGCTTTTAAATGTTAACCTGGGGTTAAAGTGAAGTCTTATCTCTTCTCTTTACTCTTTATCTGCTCTCTGTGATGCTTGTCAGGCTTTTTCTTTAGCAGATAAAGACTAAAGCAGAAAACCAGAGTGTTGTGTGTCAGAGCGGAGCAGCTCGTGCCCATGTGGTGGTCTGTGTTTGGGACTGCGAAGAGCCGGTCAGTTTGAGGTCAACATGGGTTCACAGGACGGTCACCAGCTCAGGGGGTCAGAGAAGACCCAGACTGCTTTCCAGGGCTGGAAGCAAAGCAGCGGAAAATAGAAAGCATCCCGAGTAAAAGCTCTTCTCAACTGGGATTGATGCACTGCAGAGCCGAATGGTTTGATTCAAAGGCTGGGGGAAGAATGTGTATTTATGGTTTCAGCTTTAAAAGTTATGAAATGAAACCATCTATATAGATTTTACTGAAAATATTCATCACATTTCAAAGAAAACACCTCCAATGTCTTCTGCTTTTGTTTTTATTAATTGTTCACAAGAATAAGAGGCTAAAAAACGATATGAAAATTACATAAAATGACAAAAATAACACTAAATTGTTGTGTAAATGCAGAAAAACAATAAAAAGAAATTAATTTATAATTCTGCCACAACAATGTATTTATTTGACTCCAAAACTGTACAAAATTCAGCCTTTTTCTTCACTTTACTCTAAAAATCTGTTAATTTAATTAATTTTATTTTCCATATTTGGACCTCACTGTTACCAGGTAAGTAAAATAGCTGCAAATCAACATAAAAACAGAACATTTACTCAACGTTCTCAAATGAAAAGTTTTTCTTGTTAACTTGATTTTTTTAAATGCAAAAATATAATTCCTTGTCGAGATGTTAGCTTAAGGGTTTCCACACTTTGATCACTTATCAATTAAATGTTTTAATTTTATTATAATCATAATTTATTATGTTCAAACTCTGAATTACAAACTCCAGATTACGTTTTTACTTAATATGTTCTACTTCAAACAAAAATCGGTGGTGTTTTAGCAGAACAATTGGTTTATCAGTTCAGATTTTTCAAAAGGTGGAATAAAGAAAAAACTTTTTAAAATGATGATTTCTCTCACCCATTTTGGCTCGTGATGGGGAAGGCTTTGGTTTAGTATCATCGACATAAATATACTGGACATCTCCTTTCCATAGGCTCCAATATCACGTTTTTGAGGCCAAATGGGAGGTGGCCACCACCGCCATTTTGACCGTGTCACAGGTTCCGTCAAGCCCAGACAATTCCAAAAAAGGGAAGAGAGGAGGAGCTGAGGGTGGGGCTGTAGGCTGGGATCAACTGACGACACCCGGTCGAACTAGCTACAAGCTAATTTGAAGCTAACCCTGGCTAACCCAAAGCTCACGCGGAGGTGGGAGCTAAGCTAACGGAGGTAGCAACCTAGCTACAACCGGAGTTAACTGTGCACAACACCAGAGCTTCTGAGTCAGAGATACGCCGGGCTGACTGCTGGGTAAAACCGGGTGGAACACAGAGGTCTCGGAAACCTCCACAATCCGGCAGCCACACAGCAGACAAGCTCCGCTGCAATCTGAGATACGCAGAGCTGCCGCTGGGGAGAACCGAGTGGAAAGGTTTCCATCCCAGAGCTCCACAAGCCGGCAGCCCGCGCATCAAACAGAAGCCGCGATCAGACAGAGATGCGCCGAGCTGCGGGGAGTGGAGAACCGGGTGGAAAACATCGGTCTCCCGAGAGCTCCACAAGCCGATAGTCGGAACTCAGCTCCACCAACATGTTATATTTCAACTCATTTTCTAAAGTGCAGCATTATGGTAAATGCACTGGGTTTTACCTTATTACATTTAAATTTCATGGTTAAACAGTACATGTTAAAATCTAAGCTCAGCTCAGCAGTGACCTAAAATACATAAATATAATTTTACTTACCGAAAAAAATGAAGTGGAGACTCCTTGGACGCTCTATTAGTGCAATTAATGCCACAGCAAGTCATTTTGTCCAACAATTGCACTAAAAATATCCAAAAAAGAATATACAAACACAGAGACTCAAAATCCCAGAGCAGTTTCCAAGCCAGACCGAGGCTCTACTGAGGCCTTTCCACAGAGCTAGCTCTGTGGTCACGTGGGTCTGAGGCGGCGGTCACGTGGGTCTGATGCTCATTAATTAAACAGAATTTTAGGATTTTAATACACTTAAACAGAAGAGTGAGAAAAAAATTCACCCCCTTCAGAGTTGTCATGAGTGTAAACTAGATCATTTAAACCAAAAACGTGTTTTGGAACCAGGCTGTAAACATGTTTATTTCTGCTGTGAAATTGGTATTTTTAACATGGGAGTCAATGAGGATTTGCTCGCTTCTGGCACCAGCTCCCAGCGGATGAGGGTGGAACTGCAATTTATTTCATTTCCGGGTTTGCCTCAATTTTAGAGCCGCATTGTGGGGGCTTGTTTAGTATCCAGGAAACAGCAGAGAACTTCTTGGTTAGCAGCTAACCATTAGCATTAGCAACTCAACCACACGCCAGAAGCTCCTCCAGGCTTGTTTTTTTCATGGAGATAAAACATCAATGTTGCAGAGCAAACAGGGTCAGTGAGTTGCGTTGCTGCTATCCAATCTGGGGCGAAATGTCCAACTATCAGGAAATAAAACTCTAAATCCTCTGTCTGCTGCTACTCTCTGATACAGGCACTTCTGGGCTTCCCTCCCCCCCACCCCCCCCCGAGTACGACTTGCAAGGCATTCATTCCTACCAGAGATCACTGCAAGCTCTATCTTGAGTATTCTGATTTGGGTTTAGAGAAACATGTAGCATCCATAAAGGATAGTTTATTAACCAGAAGGTAAAATTCTTTATATTAATCAGTGATTTAGAATTTTTTTTCCTGAAAAGTAAAATAAAATGTCAGACGTTGCCTTTTAAATGCATCGTGACACCCATCATACACTGGGATGGGGGAGGGTTGTTGATTGTTTACCTCCTTACCAAATTTCTCAACCCCCTGCCCACACACACACACACACACTTTCTGTGGCTCCATCCTCCTCCTCATCAGTCAGATGGGCCCGTGGCATACTCCTGTATTGTTTTGCATTGGGGAGACCATCAGCCTGATGGGGGTTTTCCTCGTTTGACCCGCCAGTTCCAGGTTCAGCCAGAGGCCGCGGGTCCAAGGGGATGGAGATGAGCAATTTTTCTCGTTTTGTCCCCTTTTCAAAACAGCTTTCTTCGTTTTCTGTTGGGAACGCAGCAGTGGAGGTGATCAGAAAGTCAGCAGGAGGCTAAATGGACCTCTCTCCATCACACTGAAGCAGATCAGTTTTACAATGAAAGGAACGTGAAACAACAAACTGAAAAAAAAACGGAAAAAAAAGCACAAAGAAACTCGGTCTCTGATTAATTAGGTGAGCTGCTTGATGAATTTCTTTATTAGAGCTGATAGGTTAAATTATGAAGCTTGTTTACCAAGAGGAGGAGGACGTGTTACAGGACTAGAGATAAAGGCTGATGAGATTTAGATTTAACGGCTTATTGAACTGTTTAGAGTAATCATCTTCTGTGTGACCTCGTTGCTCTGACGCACCCCTGTGGAGGAGTTCTGCGGAGCTCCCTGAGGATCCGATCGCAGCACTTCAGACAGGTCCGGGTGTTTTTGCTGCTGTGTTTGAATCATTGTTCCTTTTGATCCAAGCTTCAGCTGTCAACACAGACAGCCTCACATTTGACTCAGGAGGATATGGGTCTTCAGAGGAGCTGACTCAGTCACTACAATTTACCCAAATCATCAGCCCTCCACCGCCGTGCTGACAGCTGGCATGGCCTGTTTGAGCTGTGCTTGGTTTTCTCTAAAGATGCTGCTGTGCATTGTGGGTAAACATATCACTTTGGCCTCATATTGTTCATAATTTATGCTGCAATGTTTGTAGAGAGAAGAGGTGGGACATGTTCACTGATTTTATAATGGACCTGTTATGACCTCTACATCTAATCTGCTAACTGAGACGGAGCCTTTTATGTCTCTCTGACCTTGGGAGGAATTTGCTGGAATGTTTTCTTGTGAAAAGCCTGACAGTTGTCTTAAAGCAGCAATCTGGAGTTTTCCTTCTTTCAGGACTTCTGTATGATTTAATTGAAATCTGTAAAAACTCACCTTGTTCAGTGGTATATTAGGCAATATGTCAATTTAGAGGTGCGTGTCCACAAATGAGAAGCGTAATCACAGAAGCAGGAAGAGGGGCTTATGGTGCAGAATGTTTTTCCTTCCCTAGATGGTGTCTTCTAAGAAAAAAAATGGGTATCTGTTTTAAATGTTGGTTACTTTGCAGATGATGGACTTGTAGGCTCAATCTCAATGCTCGCACTGTGCCCTACAGTCTTCAGTGAAGTGCACTTGGAGGAAGTGTGCAGTAAGGCTTTGTGTGCGTAATACACAAGTATGCAAATAATTGCTGAATTCAGACAGTGAGCATTGTGTTATCAACCGTGGCGCATGTCCATCGCTGTTTGTGCTAAATTTAAAAAACAACTTTATTAACAACTTTCTTTGTCTAAATCATTCAGAGCATGAAAAAATATCATTAATCATCTTAAAATGAACTTCTTTCATTTAAAAATACCCATCCATCCATTTTCTGATCCCGCTTGTCCACGTAGGGTCGCGGGGGGGCTGGTGCCTATCTCCAGTGGTCAATGAGCAATCAGGCGGGGTACACCCTGGACAAAGAGCCAGTCCATCGCAGGGCAACACAGAGACACACAGGACAAACAATCATGCACACACACACACACACACACCTAAGGACAATTTAGACAGACCAATCAACTTAACAGTCATGTTTTAGGACTGTGGGAGGAAGCCGGAGTACCCGGAGAGAACCCACGCATGCACAGGGAGAACATGCAAACTCCATGCAGAAAGATCCCAGGCTGGGAAGCGAACCCAGGACCTTCTCGCTGCAAGGCAACAGCTCTAACCACTGCGCCACTGCGCAGCCCCTTGAAAATACATATATTCAGAAATTGTTTCGCCTTATTCTCAAAATTCCCACGCAGCAATGGATTATGGGTAATACCTTTCGCCCAATTCTGCATCGATGCAGGCTTGAGCAATGTACTGATCAAGGGTGCCAAAGGGGCGTGGTCAACTTCTGCACCCTATGCACTCGCACCGCTGGATGGGAATGTGCAATTGAAGGGCGCAAGGGTGAAAATGCGAGTATTGGGATTGGGCCCTTTCTGTTTGGAAATGACCTTTAACCCCAGATCGATGAGCAACAGTTAAATCTTTAGGATCATTGCTGATGTAATTCTCCCTTTGAGTTGTGTTAACACACACTTGAATGTTCCAGAGAAGCAAACTTACAAACGCCTGCTTTTATAACTGATCAGTTAATAAATTCATTTGTTCAGCATCACCTGGAAGCTATTTAGCCTCCTAATTCTTAAAGAAAAAGCATAAAGATGGAAATTTTTTTCATACAGTTTCTGGATATACTGTATTTTATTTTTTATGATGCCATATGCCATATGTGAGAAAGCGAAAACATATTTTCTTTTTTTTTTTTGGTGCCTCCCTTGCCAACAAAGCAAATATTTAATGTTTTATTGCACAAACACACAAATAAAATATGTCATCGCCCATTTACCTGGCAGGTCAAACAATTGGTAGATCTTAATTAATCCTATTTAAAAATTAACTGAACTACATGGTAAAATAAAAATGATTAAAAAAATCTAAAATTGTGATGTTTGAATAAATAATTAAACTTTATTTAAATTGTCCTAAACTAATTATTATTTTACATAATTACCCTTTCTGCACCCAAATTAATTAACAAGGAACATTTAAATCCTTTCACACCAACTTCTTTTCATGTAATTTATTTATAGAAATATGAGTTACAGATTTCTTGTCATTTTATTTCGTTGACGACATCCTTGTGTTTCGTGACGTGTGATGTGTGTCTGCAGCAGTGGAAACCCACAGCTCCAACTCCAGCTCCAGCTCAGACGACCTGTTTGCCAGTCCGCCCTCGCCCCCGCCACCCCCACGCACGTACAAGCCGTGTTTTGTGTGTCAGGACAAATCCTCGGGATACCACTATGGAGTCAGCGCCTGTGAAGGCTGCAAGGTAACAACTCAGTCTTGTGCTCCGCTTCACCTTTTTTATTCCCTCTAAAAATCTTTATGGAGCTTTAAAATTTAGAAATGTTTCTTATTTACAGTTTTGTTTACATCAGTAAAACCTGATAGTACTTTTTACATCTACGTATTATGAAAATGTTTTACAATTCACGTGCTGACTTTTTTGGCCCCCAGGAAAACCGACCTATAAAATAAATCCACAGAATTCATTCTTCTTCATCTTCTGTCGCATTAGGCATTTATTTGCTCTTGAATTAAACTTTTCATGCAGATTATACCTATTTAAGGTATTTTTCATCCATTTTTAAGTGTCTTTCAAAGCAGTTTGTGGTTTACAGAACGTTTACACCATTTTCTAATTTGCATTACATGTTTACTTTTGCAGAAAAGGGTAAGAAATAAATTCCTGCAAGTTTGACCTCTGGATAAATGTGAATAACCTCAAAACTAATCCCCCAAACCATCTAATGCAACATTAATGTTAGTTAAAGGTGTTTAAAAATAACATCTCATGAAATTTTTTTTTTTTTAATTTTGGAGCCTGGAGGGGTTTTAAGGTATGTTTTAGTTTAGACTGCACTAGGACTAGATGTTAGTGCAGTCCTATTAGAGGTAAACTCAATTTCTCTGAACAGAGGCTGTTCAGGAAGCTTTTTACAACAGGTAGGATGATAATTATTTATAAAATTTACAAAGGAACACCTTTAAATAATTTTATAATATACATAGGGAGTTAAACTTTTGAAATTTGGTATCAGAGGTCACACAGGATGTCTAATTCTCGTCCTTTTCTTGCTCGTTTTTGCTCTGCAGGGCTTTTTCCGACGCAGTGTGCAGAAGAACATGGTGTACACTTGTCACCGTGACAGAAAGTGCATCATCAACAAGATCACCAGGAATCGATGCCAGTATTGCCGCTTGCAGAAGTGCTTCGCTGTGGGAATGTCCAAAGAGTGTGAGTGTTTAACTTCTTCGGCCTGCAACAACTCAGCAGCAAAAGTTTTTTTTATGCCTGGTGTCAAAGTTTTCTCTGGCTAACTCTGCAGGATTATGTATGATATGCTGCAGATATAGAGATAGGGTGAGAGGCTCGGTCATTCAGGAGGGGCTCGGAGTAGACCCGCTGCTCCTCCACATCGAGAGGAGCCAGTTGAGGTGGCTCGGGCATCTGGTCAGGACGCCTCCCTGGTGAGGTTTTCCGGGCACGTCCAACCAGGAGGAGACCTAAAGGTAGACCCAGGACACGGTGGAGGAACCATGTCTCTCACCTGGCCAGGGAATGCCTTGGGATTTCCCCGGAGGAGCTGGCCCAAGTGGCTGGGGAGAGGGAAGTCTGGGCCTCTCACCCTAGGCTACTGCACCGCGACCCGACTCCGGATAATGGATGAATGGATGCTGCAGATTTCCATCTGGTTTAAGAGATATTATAACTTTTTATATGCTGCTTCTGAGAAACGTTCAATTCAGTTCAGTTTATTTATTATAGTGCCAAATCACAACAAGAGTCGTCTCACTTCACAAAGTAAACCTTCTGAATGATTCTTCAGGTTCCTGGAAAAAAAACACTCCTCTTTTGAGTCAATGGTGACACGTGGGTTCGGCATCATAGTTAGATGTTTTACAGTCAACCAGATGATTCATGAAGCGATAAGAATGAGCACGAATCTAGAAAATAGTTGTTCAACTTCTAGTTTTTCAGCAGATGTTCTTCCTCAATAATAAATTATAAAAACAGCTCAGAAGCCCTCAGAGAAATGAGCTCGAGGAGAAAGTAGATTCAGACGACAAGATTTATAGTCTTATTTCCTGATATCTGGACATCTCACTTATTGGCTAACAGCAACGTGACTCTACCACTGACTTTGTTGGCTTTGCAACGGAGATGTTTTATCTCCACAAACATCACAAGCCTGGAGGAGTTCTGCCGTGTTGTGCAATTGCTAATGCTAGCGGTTAGCTTGCGCTGGTCAGGACGTTGTCTGCTGATTTCTGGACGTTAAACCAGCAACAGCCTTCTCCGTTGTGAGTCAAGATGGGTGAGTCCATGAATGTTAATTCACAGCGTGATGCAGATCTGTCGGGCTTTTCTAATCCTAGAGTTTCACCGCCTATTTTCTATCAGAAGTTAATGCAGGAGACCACTATTTTCACATTCAGCCCGTATGAAAAAAATCAGAGTAACTGATTATATTCAGTAACAATTATTTTTAAATGGTTTTTCAGTGTTTATTGATTTTTTAGGGTTTGGCAAGTTACTGTACAGTGGAGTCAAAACAATAATGCAAAAAAAAAATCAATCTATTCATAAATTTGTGTCAGTTCCAGGAGGGAAGCCTTGACATCCCTCTACCAACCAACCGCTCCAACTCCTCCTGGGTAATCCCAACGCATTCCTAGAGACAATAGATATTTAATCCCTTCAATGAGTTTAGGGTCTGCCGGAGTCTCCCCTCAGTGGGTTGTGCCTTGGAAACCTCCAAAGGGAGGTGATTAGGAAGAATCAGATGCCCAAAGCACCTCAGCTGATCCCTTCCTTTGAGGAGGATCAGATAACGGAGCTCCTCACCCTCATATCAGCTTCTTTTAATCCAATCTTGTTTTTTTGGTCCAGATCTTGTAACCATAGATGAGGGTTGGATCTTCTTTCATTTCTCTAAATCATATCTACTTTGACTTTGAGCTCAGCTAGGCCATCTTCACAGCCGTGTCAACCAAGGGAGTTGATCCATTTGGGCCGTAACTAACCCAAAAAACAAATGCACTGAAATAGTGATGCACCGATATGAAATTTTTGGGCCGATACCGATTTCTGATATAATTTCACTGCTACGGCCGATAACCGATATTTGTCAATACCGATATACTGACATTAATGCTTCTAAAATCAGCTATTTTGTATAACATGAAAATGATCAAAGCTGAATTTACATTATGTACACACATCACACACATTTACACATCTGAGATGATTACAGTCAGTCACATGACTAAACAATTTCACATCACCCCCCTCACCCTCTGAAAAAGATAAACAAATGGAACCAAGATGGAAAAAATATGGGTTGTTAATACTGGCTCGGTTTTATTTATCGGACCGATACCGATATGTTAAAAAATGATGCAGATATATTGTCCATCCCTACACTAAAATATTTAACTAATGTGAAACCAGAGCTTATAAAGCTGGACTGAAAATAATCGGATTGAATTTGGAAACAAATCAGACGTAGATGTTTACGGAACTGTAAAACTCAACAATTTGATTGTTTTTGTAATTTGCTGCCAGTTTACTCAAATGAGTGCAAACATCTCAAGTATCACAAACTTAAGATCTGAGAAAAGTTTGTCACAAACCAGATTGACTGCACTGGGGGAGCCACTATAAAGACGAGCATCTGCTTTGAAAGGATGTTCCTTCTTTTGTTAACATTTCTCATCTCTTTCACTTCATCCATCCAGAGGATTTAATCCCCCGACCCCCCCCCCCCCCCCCCGTCACTCTCAGTTTTATGTAATCTGAACAGTCCACTGAGCAAAGAGCTGAACTGCCTCCTCCGACCAAGACACTTAGTAAAAAAAACGTTGAAACATTCATCCATGTGGCCTGAATATTACAAAGCATGTCTGTACAGTTTGCCCTCGGGTCCGTCTTTCAGACTCCTTTTTATATCTTTTATTCATTTATATATATATATATATATATATATATATATATATATATATATATATATATATATAATTAACGTGAATCTAATTAAGTGTAACTAATTAATTTGTAGTTAATTAATCTTGATTAATCGCATTTTATTTATTCAAGAAAATTTGCCCCAAAGCACATTTTTTTAATTAATGAAAAATAATGAGGCAGAGTCAAACAATGGACATGGACATTACTGTTGTAAAGTCAAGCTTTTTTAATAAGGAAAAATGCTTTTAAATTGTATTTCAATTCAAAACAGGAAAAAAATTGTGTGTGTGTGTGTGTGTGTGTGTGTGTGTGTGTGTGCGTGCGTGCGTGCGTGTGTGTGTGTGTGTGTGTGTGTGTGTAAAAAAATGCTACGTGACACAAACGTACAGCCATTTCTCACATTTTCTCTGTGAATATGGTTCCTTATAACTTTATGAGAAAGAAAAACTTTAAATGCCAGTTGGGAAACTTTGTTCTTCTAAAAAAAAACTTTCAAATCTAGATTTTTAAAACTTAAAGAGGACTTTGCTGTGAAGCCCAGCAGTGCTCTAGCGCCACGCCGAACAAAGAAAATAAAGTGTGTGTGTGTGTGTGTGTGTGTGTGTGTGTGTGTGTGTGTGTGTGTGTGTGTGTGTGTGTGTGTGTGTGTGTGTGTGTTTCTGTGCTATGCAGTGACCTGGATAAGTGAGAATGTGTTACATGGTATGAGCAGGAGGAGGGGCGGTGCTGGAGGATCCACCCAGACACATTTTCTCATTGTTGCTCACCCACATTCGGCTACAAACACATTACATAAATACATCACATGTATCAGACAGATGCATGCTATGTAACTGCCCCCCTGGCCACTTTGGTAAGTGTGTAATACGATCGCTCTTGGAGTGTTTTCACAATGACGACTGGATGTAGGCCATCCAGGAGGAGGAGGAGGAGGAGGAAGGCTGAGACCGGGATGTTGCGTAATCCCGAGCTCTCCTGACATGTGTGTAGGTGCCTGAGCCAAGCTAGTGGGACGCACCAAAATGTGTTGACACCATCACAACGTGACTTTGAAAGGCTAACCTGAATATTTACCTGCTTCACATGCTCCCTGGTCCAGCAGATGACCTGCACAGATCGCTGAAGCTGATTTCATCTGAACTATGTCCCAACAGAAAATAGTTTAGTGGGCTGGAGGCGTTCTAGTGACTGACTGGCCTCTTTAAGACATAATTTACTGTCAGCAGCTCAGCTGAAACTATTTACTCTGTTATAATGGATTCTTGCTGCCGGAGGCAGTTTGCTGGCATACTTGCCTGTAAACACGCAGGCAAAGGGTGGGTAATAATGTTTTTGCCTGTGTCTATGTTTATTTTTAAAGCAGCAATCCGGAGTTTTCCACCTTTCAAGAATTTGGTATGGGTTTTTAGAAATCTGTAAAAGTGATAGTCTCACCCTGTACTGTGATAAAATGTAGGCAATATGTCTTTTTTCTTGCCCATCCACTTTGTCGTAGAGGCCCGTGCAACTTAGCATTAGCCAAAAGTGTTAAGTCTGGGCCACATCAGAGCCGGATGCTCCGTGTTGCGCCGCACCGTCATTTTAAATAGAAGCCATTATAGTCCCAGATGCACCAAGTCTAGGCCCTGAAGATTACGGCACAAACCCAGCCTCACTTTTGATAACTTTAAAGTACTATTGATCATAAAATATTCAAATAAATAGCATACTTACCCATTTTTAATGAATTAGAGCCTCCGGTGTGCCCCAGGCTGTGGACATTCACTTACGTGAGTCAACAGTTGCCTGCCTAGAGGTACACATTCACAAACAAGGGGCGTTGCTTACACCCGTAATCACGGACGTTAGAAGCGAGGCTCAAGCTGCAGTTCATTTTTCCACCTCTAGATGGTACTCTCTGAGGAAATAAACGGCATATCTGCTTTAAATCAACTCAAGAACCACCTGATGAATTTCAATAAATTTTTAATAAATTATTCAAATGATCCTGATTTCAAGGTACAATATGTACGAATTGTACAGTGAAAAAAATCACAATCTAATGTCTCATTCATGTTGGAAGGAAGCCAAAAAGGGACAAAAATATTGTTTATGATCTGTATTTATCTACTCATCAATTTACTGTGTATAAGTTTGCTTGTCATCTAGAGTTTTCTGGCGCTGAGCCACAGCTGGCAACAGTGTTTTTAATAGGCTGCAGTACCCAAATTTGACCACATGGTGTCATTTTTACTTCATTTTTACATCAACTGACCTTAGCAAGTACTCAAATGGCTACAATTTGATCAATTTTGCTTTTGCAGCTACTGAGATGAGATTTACGCGGTGTCTCAATTCAGGGTCTGCATCCTTCGAAGGACCCAGCCTACTCGGCCGACATGGGCTGGGTCCTCCGTTGGCCGAGTTGACCGGATGTTAATGGCTGTGAATTTGGACAGGCCTAGCCTTCATGAATTCATGCCACTCCCTCGGCGAACGTTCCGTCACCTAGCAACCGTGGAACCACTGAGCAGAAGGGAGAAGGAACTTTAAACGATGGAGCTCGAAGTTTTATTTAGCTTTTTAATAATTTCCTTGACTGTTGGAGAGCTAATTCAGACAAAATACTTTAGACAAGCTGAGCCTGAGCAAAGATGTGATAATAGTTTTTAATACTTTCTAAGGGTCTTAATTTGACCAAAACCGATGTTTCACCTTTTAAGACTTTTCAAGACCCAGCGGATACCCTGTAATATTAAACAATTCACATTTGTAAACAAAAATTAAATTCAAGAGTTTAATACAGAACTGATTTTATTTAGGTATTTCTTTTATATGTACATGTTTAATCGTTCTTAACCATTTTTTCTAGCAAGCCTGTCAAAATTCTCCCTTCTCTCCTGTGCCCTCTGCTGCTCTGCCTCCCTCTGCAGCCTCATGTCCTCCCTGATCAGCTCCAGAAGCTGGTCATCGCTGTCACCTTCTCCTGGATGCCCATTTTCTCCAGAATAGTCTTAACAAATATGTAAGAAAAAATAACAGGAAGAGAAATGATAGAGAAAAAAGGACAACGGGTTATTCCTTTCGTGTTTTTGCAGAAAAAAATAAACTTAAAATATGAGAAGTTATTGTACCTCCATGCCATAGCGGCCGAATACTTTGCTCCAGTGATCATGTGGTCCATCTCCGCCCTAAGCTTAATAAAGTTCGTGGTTTTCTCTTTTGTCCCTATAATACAAACATCTATTAAAATCACAGGGAAAACTTAGCGGGAGAAGTACGACACCGAGCGGCCGAACATACGAGCCGAGACCGCAATACAAGCACTTTTACTGTAACATTTCAAACTAAAATAATATTCATGTATCATAAAAAGCCCTTAACCTAACAGTTTTCAAGTTTATACAGATATTTATATGCGCAATCCTCTCTGACAGCTCCCGCGTCACTGTCCGCCATTGTTTTTAAAAGTTCTGCCATCCGACCTGCAAGGCATCTTGGGAAAGGTAAACTATTGAAGGATACACCGGACCCATCCTTCATACAGGCGAAAAGAAGGCCGGATTCGTCGACCGCATTTGAAGGAGTCTTCGAATCAGGACAGGCCTAGTTGCGGCGCTGTGACGTAACCGGCCGACGAATCCGGCCGACGAAGGATGCAGACCCTGAATTGAGACACAGCCTTGGTGTCACAATAGCGGAGAGTGGTGCACACCCCAGACTCTGAAAACTAGCTAATGGATCAAGAACTTTGTTTTGTACTTTGCCCTAAACTTTTCCTGTTTGTCATGAAACACTTGAAGGATCTTAATGAAACTCTCGGAAACCTCTCCTTTAGTTTACATCAACTACTGATTTAGTTTTGGCGCCAATTCAAGATGGCAGCCCCTCCATCTGACCTTAGAAAACGCAAACATTGCTGTAACTCTGCTGAGATTTGGTGTCCTACTCATGATTCTTTATAGAGCGAGGGACCACATTTGATCACTTACGTTGATTTATAGCTTAAATTAGAAACTTGTCTTTTAAATTAGGCAAAATTAATTTTGAATCACAATTGGTTTGTTTCTTCTTATTAAGATTTCTCACAAAAACATGATCACAAGTCAGAAAGCGCTCTGTTAGATACTTCCCCATATATCTTTATTTACCTGCTCCTTTTCCTTCCACCAGCGGTGAGAAATGACAGAAACAAGCGAAAGGGGACGAAGGAAGCGGTGAATATGACCATCATGGAGACGTACGAATTGACATCGGAGCTGGGCCTGGTTGTGGAGAAGATCTGCAGGGCTCACAGGGAAACCTTCCCCTCCCTCTGCCAGCTGGGAAAATACACCACTGTGAGTGTGGATCTGAAAACAATACTTCCTTTAGATTTCCACTGGGACTTTCCTTGATGAAACATAAAGGCAGTCTGAGCTTTTGAGCCAGGGCTGAAGGTTGTGAGTTTTTGTCTTTTTCACCAACAAGCAGTGAGTTTCAGAAGTGTCTAAATTTTGTGATTATGGAAGTTAAAGAGGATATGTAAGGACGCGATCCGTAGCAGATGATTTAAAGATCTGAGCATTTCTGAAAGGGTGGCCCTCCCTGGAACACTGAACGAACACATTATCATTTTAGAGTTAAAGACCAAGTTCATTCTATTTTTCAAAACATTTGTAGTGGTCTGTAGTACAAATGAATGCCTTGTGAGTCGATTTCTGTGGAACAAAAGTTCTGGCGCTCCTGTTTCAGGAACTAGAAGTGAGCCAGAGCAGAGGGGAGCTTCAGACAGAAGGATTTTAACTCAATAGGGAGCCTAAGTCACTTCCGCATCATGGGTCCCTGGAAGAATGAAAAAATGAATGCAAGTCAATGGTGCTAAAAATGCTATTTTCGAATCCGCTTTGCCTTAGATTCTGGATCGCACATATGTTGTACTGCAATTTAAATGAAAAGTAATGATGGGTGTTTGGACAAGGCCAGTCACGTACTTTGAGATTTATCAACTTGTAAAAGTTCGTAATTATCATGACTACAAACTAGAAATCGGCACGTCGCAAATGTGACGTCACCACATTATCTTCTCTCCCCTAACGTAGCTGCTACTTACCAAATGACCAGATTCACGGTGGTTCTTTCCTCCTGTGGGAAGTTTGCTGAACTTACAGCCCTTTTCCCTCAGTTTTCTCCGTGTCTGGTTCGATGACGTGACTTTCGTGAAGCGCATTTGTAGTTCTGGAGTTATTTTCACACAAAACCTAAAATAGTGTTTCCCCCTGTTCAAAAATAAGTACGTTCTTGGTATCAAAATGTGTCTTTAAAATTCACAGACATCATATGTGAAATCCATGGCACAAAACAAGCGGAATTAGAAAATAGCGTTTTTAGCCCCATTGACTTGGAATTCATTTTTTCGTTCTTCCGGGGACCCATGATGTGGAAGTGACTTAGGCTCCCTATTCTGACATCTCGCTTATAATGGGCTAACAGCAATGGGACTTTACCACGGACTTCATTTGCTCTGTAACGTTGATGTTTTATCTCCACAAATAACACAAGTCTGGAGGAGTTCTGCTATGTTGTAGAGTTGCTAATGCTAAATGTTAGCTTCTAGTAGCTGAGGCTCTTTCCTGGGCGTTAAAACAACAGCTTTCCCCCGTTGTGAGTCAAGATGGGTGAGTCCATGAATGCTAAGTTTCAATATGACATAGATCTGACTGTTTTTTTCTGATCCAAGCATTTCCCTGTCTATTTTCTATCGGCGGCTAATGCAGGAAATAGGAGTGGAAGACTTTTTTCATTTTTAGCCTGCATGTTAAACTCAAAAATAGTAAAACTGGTTTCTCATTGAGCATGGTCTTTCAAAATTCAGTGGACAAATGAAGAAAACTGCAACAAATTAACCAAAAATTGTATATATATATCATTTTTGACATAATATTCTGCACTTATTCTTTGTTTTTACATGTATTTTTTTACCAGCAGGAAAGCTCTTATTGTGGTGTGGTTTGAAAATTAGAAATTAGATATATTTCTTAAACAAACTTGCATCTTTAACAAATGAATCTCAGTGGGGGGAGGGGATCCGATCCTCTCCTACCAGAACAATAGTCGCACCAGTCTAAAGCCTGTCAGATGGACAATGGCGCTCGTTGCACTTATGACACTGATTGGTTGTTCGTTAGTCCTCCTGCAGCGCTCATCAGACCGATTCCCCTTTCTGTCGAGAAACTGCTGAGTCATGTCACATCACCAGATGAATCTGTCAGCTCAGTGGAGTGGATGGACCAAAGCCGGACCACGGTTCCTTCACTCAGCAGGAGTACAAAAGCTCATCTATATTTGATTATCTGATCTTTTTAGCATTTTAAAAAGCTATTTCCATGTAAACTGTTGAAAATCAGGACAGCGGTAATTCACAAAGAAAAATCGCATATAAAATAATATAAAAATTCATAATATACACAAATGCATCAACATTTACACAAACAGCTGCAGGAGTCTCTGGTATCTCCTCAGACCTAATAGATCTGAAAAAGCCTTTACTCATAAAACCTGAATTCAGCTGATTACTTTGGAGCATCTGTTGATTACAAAACACACTGGTGTTTTGACACAAGAATGAAAAAATATCAAACCAAAACATCCACAAGCAACTACAAAACTAATGGTTGATGTAGAAAAGTTGTCCTCATGAAGAGAAAAAAAAAACGATTTATTCACAGAGATTCTTGCTTTTCCGTTAGAGGACGAGTCAAATTTGAATTGTTCTCAGGAAATACGTTAGTTTTAATTTGAAGATCATGCAAACGTACATCTATACCAGGACTAAATTTGACTAAATGTCCCTGTAATGATAACTTACAGTTCATTAATCAAAGAGATTTAACCTGCTCTGAATTTCCCGTTGGGTTACGTCTCATATTGTGGTTTTCCACGTCGCTGGTAGGGATCGACGTCTGGAATCAAGAAAATCCACTCACACACATCCGCCTGCTTTTATATCCTGCCCTGCTTTTACTAAGAAATCTTTTTACTCTAAATATCTTTTAAAGAGTCAGGAGATGCCTCCATAAAATAATCTCAGAAGTTTCTAAAACTCAAATGAGCCAATAGACCCTACAGGTTTTGATTAATGACATTAACATAAATGATTTAAAGTGTATTTTAGATTATTGTTTAGCTTCACAAAGTTCTCATAAAAGTTATAGTTGTTATTAGAGCTATATAAATTATTCAGAAAGCTTTATTTCTCCCAACTGAGGTTGTTCTCTGATCTGTAATAATGTATGGTTTTTACACGGGAATATTTCTGAAATATCTCTGACATAGTTTTGGTTAGGGTATTTATATATATATCAGATCAATTTTATTAATAAAGCACATTTTATATGACGAGGAGTCAGAACAAAACGCTGACAACACAGACTATAATATTTACATAAAACCATTTAAAATCCTTAAGACAGAAAAGATCAAAACAGAATTAGAAATTAAAATAAATAAATATTATATATATATGTATATATACATACAAGCAAAAATATGACTAAATTAAAACTACATAAAATGAAATGAAAGTAATTGTTAATTAATTATTTTAATGATACTACTACTAATACTTCTAAAACAATGATAGTCATAATAATTTGCAAATTTAAAATGTTCCCTAGTGTGGTTGAAAGACAAATCTGTATATAAATTTAAAAATATTCAATAAACTGGTAAAAACATTTCAGGCTAAAACAAACACATTAAAGATCAACAAGTATTTAAAAAAATTACAGGGGAAAATTATGAGACGACGGATTAAAAAATACTTTTACATGTGAAAAAACTCACTCCTCACTGAAAGTAAGGAAGTGCAGAAGGGGAACTTGATGCTTTAATTTTCCTGCAGCGTGAACATCAAAGCATTCCAGTGGAGATGATAATTTGTTGGAAACAGGGATCCTCCAACAAATTGTCAGGAGAACAAAGGACACTCAGAATTGGCTTTGAGCTCCTCAGAACCTCCAGGGTGGATTAGCACAAGTTTGCATGCCTTTACTGCTCTCTAGTGATCAAACAGCTGTTAACAACAACAAACACCCATCACTAACAACAGTCCTCACACTAACCAGGCTTTGGTCATGTGTATGATTTTTGCTCAGGGTGATAAAACATTTTCTGCGCAGTTGCATCATATTTAGGCAATTTAGAGCTAATTTCTTATACAGGTTAGGCAGATTAGGATCATTCTGACGAAAAAGATAAGTGAAAGTATCAAAATAAAAGTTTGGTGTTCTGGCAAAAACATATCAAAATGGTATTTGATTTTTACAATTTTACTTTGAAATGAAAAATAGATTTTAAAACATTCTGTGATACTCGTGCGTTGTTTAAATCAACTATGATGACTTTGTGCATCAAAACCGGTTTTATAAACAATAAAAAAAAATTAATAAGCCTCAGATGGTTTGTTTATTTGATACTCTTATTGTGAAGGATTAAAGGAAAATACAAATTAAAATATCATTTTCAACAAAAAAGACAAACACGCTGGGCCTTTGATAGTATCTCATGAATATCAAATGCAAGGAGGATGTGTTTAGAAAGTAAAAATGCTGATGAAAAAATCTAAATAATATTTACAGAAAACAATCTAAGTTGGTTATTTCTGGAATAACTGGAGGTAGTGAACCTGATCCAACCCGTCTGTATTTGTTCTGTTTTTATTAATTATTTGAAATCTTGGTGTGTTTTTACAACTTCCTTAAATCCTTCAAAATAAGAGTCTCAAACATATGCACTTGCATACCTCACAACATGTGAAGCTTTTGAAGTAGAATGATTTACTAGCTTTTGTCTTATTCACTTCCATAGAGCTGACAGCATCACATCTTTCGTGATGCTTAAAACCCGATTTAACTGGGTGACCTTTTTTTCCTTCTCCACCCAGAACTCCAGCTCGGACCACAGGATCCAGCTGGACCTGGGCCTGTGGGACAAGTTCAGCGAGCTTGCCACCAAGTGCATCATCAAGGTGGTGGAATTTGCTAAGCGGGTGCCGGGCTTCACGGGCCTGACCATCGCCGACCAGATCACTCTGCTCAAAGCCGCCTGCCTCGACATCCTGGTAGGTCCTCAAGAGCATCCGTCACCTTCAGATGTGTGCTTTTATTCTGACCTGAGTAACATAAAAACTAGGCTCTGGAGTGGATTCGCACCTCACAGCCTTCACGGAGAGAGTTACACATTTCATCCTCCCTCTTCATCCCATCTGACCTTCACTGCTGCGTCCACTTGTCAATTTCACTATCTGTGTCTGAATATTTACCCACATGACTCTGACCCTTGGGAGATTCGGTGTGCCGTAAAAGGCTCTGCTGCATGTCATTTTTACACAATTTTTCCCCTGATGGACTGTTCTGGCACTTTTGAGCAGTGAGTGCTCCATGCGTGGTGATTTTCTTCTGTCACTCACAGCTCAGAATATGTCGCACTGCAATAAAACACAAACTATTGCAGATCCTGCATGTTTTATATATTTATTGGAATGAAAAAGAAAAAGAAAAAAAAACATGAAAAGCTAAATAATATGATTGTCTAACAATAAATGTTTTTAGAGGCCTCAGATTCTTTGAAGGGATAAATATCAACCACTACCTTATTACGGAGTTTCTAACAATCTTGAGCTGAGAAATAAAGTTTTAATTATTTTCGTCAAATCTTGCAAACAGCTTCTGAATCAAGTTATCTCATCAAATGTTAGCTCCACCTTTGAGTGTAAAGCCATTTTGTGTTATGTATTTGATTTAACCTTCATTTGTACATGTTTAAAAAAGGACTCCCTTTGTCACCAGTTCTGTTCATAACCTTTATGGACAGGATTTCTAGGCGCAGCCAAGGTGATGAGGGCATCCGTTTTAGTGGCCTGAGGATCCTGCTGGCTTCATCAGAACAGGATCTTCGGCTTTCGCTGAAGCGGTTCACAGCCGAGTGTGAAGCAGCTGGGATGAGAATCAGCTCCTCTAAATCTGAGACCATGGTCTTGATTCGGAAAAGGGTAGAATGCCTTCTCCGGGTCAGGGTTGAGGTCCTGCCCCAAGTGGAGGAGTTTAAGTATCTCAGGGTCTTGTTCACAAGTGAGGGAAAGCTGATGCGCGAGATCGATTGGCAGATTGGTGCTGCATCTGCAGTGATGCGGGCGTTGTACCGGTCTGTCGTGGTGAAGAGAGAGCGGAGTCAGAAGGCGAAGCTCTCGATTTACTGGTCGATCTATGTTCCTACCCTCACCTATGGTCATGAGCTTTGGGTAGTGACCGAAAGAACGGATCGCGGATACAAGCGGCCGAAATGAGTTTTCTCCGCAGAGTGGCTGGGCTCTCCCTTAGAGATAGGGTGAGAAGCTCGGTCATCCGAGAGGGGCTCGGAGTAGACTCGCTGCTCCTCCACATCGAGAGGAGCCAGTTGAGATGGCTCGGGCATCTGTTCAGGATGCCTCCTGGACGCCTCCCTGGTGAGGTTTTCTGGGCACGTCCAACTGGGAGGAGGCCTAAAGGGAGACCCAGGACACGTTGGAGGGACTATGTCTCTCACCTGGCCAGCGAATGCCTTGAGACTCCTCCAGAACAGCAGGTCCAAGTGGTTGGGGAGAGGGAAGTCTGGGCCTCTCGACTTAGGCTACTGCCCCAGCGACCCGACTCAGGATAAGCGGATGAAAATTGATGGATGGATGGGTGGATGGATGGATGGATGGATGGATGGATGGATGGATGGATGGATAAAAAGGGACAAACAATGACTACAAAATAACTGGTAACACAAATGGGACAATTAGGACTGGGCAATGTGACAAAAATATTTGGTAAATTTTTAAAACAAATTTGTTAAGAAATCCTTAAACCACTCCTGTTTATGTGTTAAAATTGCTCTAAAAACAAAATAATATTTAGCTGCCTTTTGTTAATTTGTGCAAGTAATGCTAACATGTGCAAGTAATGCTAATGTGTGCTAGTAATGCTAACATGTTCTAGTAATGCTAACATGCACAAGTTTTGCTTATATGCACTAATATTGCTAACAGTGGTAGTAATATTAAAGTTGGCTAGTAATGCTAACATGTGCTACTAATGCTAATATGTGCTAGTAATGCTAACATGTTCTAGTAATGCTAACATGTTCTAGTAATGCTAACATGTGCAAATTTTGCTAATATGCAATAGTATTGCAAACATGCGCTAGTAATGCTAACACGTGCTAGTAATGCTAACATGTTCTAGTAATGCTAACGTGCAAATTTTGCTAATATACAATAGTATATAAACATTTGCTAGTAATGCTAACACATGCTAATAATCCTAATATGTGCTAGTAATGATAACATGTGCTAGTTTTGCTAATATGTGCTAGTAATGGTAACATGTTGCCACACTTTTAACTCACTTAAACTGTGTTAGCAAAACACACATGAATGCGATCAGGCTCAGAGTGTGTCGCATCTTAAATGGTCCGGTCAGAAACATGTCTCTATTCTGTCTTTCTGTTCGAGAGAATAAGATCTCTCTGCTTTGGCAGATCATCGACTCATTTGAATTACTCATGATTTTATATGACCACATTCACTAAGTTCCGCTAAGTTAAACTCGGGACCTCACGGTAAGGATCTCCAGAAATCATACAATTTTAAAATCATTGCTAGTTGCTTGATTTTGCTATCAAAGCTCAGGAGGTGGAGAGGGTTGCTCAGTGATTGCGGGGTAAATCCCAGCTGTTGCCAGGGTATTCTACTGTTGTGTCCTTGGGCAAGACACTTCACCCAACTTGCTTGTGTTGGTGGTGGTCAGAGGAGCCAGTGGCACAAATGGCATCTTCGCCTCTGTCAGACCTCCCCAGGGTGGCTGTGGCTACGTAGTAGCTTACATTTACTGGCATTGTGGGAATGTGAGAGTGCGTGAACTATGGATAGCACTTTGGGTGCCATGAAAAGTGCTAAATCTAGTTTGAGACCCAGTGGATTAGTTTAGATTAGCAGCTGCTTACACTTGAAACAAACTTTTACTTGGGTTTGATGCCCTTGTTATTTTCTTCCTCCAGATCTTGAGGATTAGCACACGCTACACTCCCGACCAGGACACCATGACCTTCTCTGACGGCCTGACTTTGACCCGGACTCAGATCCACAACGCAGGCTTTGGACCGCTGACAGACCAGGTGTTCACGTTTGCTGGGCAGCTGCTGCCTTTAGAGATGGACGAGACAGAAAGCGGGCTCCTCAGCGCCATCTGCCTCGTCTCTGGAGGTACCAAGTCTGTCTGTGAAGCTTGATTTAAAATCCCATTGGTGTTTAAAATCCTGACACATTTATCTGGCTAACAGACCGGCAGGACCTGGAGGAGCCGTCTAAAGTGGAGGTGCTGCAGGAGCCGCTTCTGGAGGCGCTAAAGATCTACTCACGTAGACGGAGACCCAGCATGCCCCTCATGTTCCCCAAGGCCCTGATGAAGATCACAGACCTTCGCACCATCAGCGCTAAAGGTCAGAACGCGTCAACCAGCTCCTGAGTCACAATTTATTTTACTGAAGTGAATGTGTGTAAGCAGCTTCATTATTACAATATTACTTCAAAGTGGACTTGTTTATGTGACATTTCTAAGGCAGTAAGTCCAACAGACTGGACCGGCACTCTGAAGTTGCAAATGTGGTATTCTGGCCACAGAGGACAGTGGGGGTCTTAGTGACATTTCATTAACCATGTAAAGGGTCATTTTAGCACAAAGTGGCTCAAGAAAATGATTTTAAAATAAGTTGTCTTCAATAAAACTTTCAAGAGGATCATCCCTGTGGATGTTTCATGTCATGGTTTCAAAAACTCAAACAGAAAAGAAGTATTTTCTCTGCTACAGTTAAAATGAATGCAAGTTTAGAAGTAGATGCCTTCTTTTTGTGTTAACCTTCTTCACCATCGCTCATCTTTTCTTCTTCCTCTTTTCTCTTTTATTTCCATCCATTAAAAGAAACCAAAAAGCAATTTTAATAAAGTTTTCTATATAATACATGTATATATATCATGTCCAGAAATATAGCAGAAGCTGTAATCCTGAAAGTTAAACTGAACCTCATTCTTCCAGCTCTTGGAGAGTACAGACGCTTTTTTCCTCCTCTCCTCCCTATCTTATCCCCAAGGCTCTTTGTCTGTCTTTGGGTGTACGGCGCTTCTAGATTTTTACTGGAAACTGGAAACTATTAAAAATGGACCTGGTCAGCTGGTCTGTCAACGCGATTGACAACATTTTCTCAACGATGAGAACAGGAGAAGGGGCTTCTGGGTGCCCCTCTGGGACAGATCCAGTTGGGCATATCATGGACTCCTGGAAACAGTGGAACCTGATCTGCCTCTCTCAACTGTCTGTAGAGGATTCTGAAGATGTATGGATATTCGTGGTGTTGGTGTCAGGTTTCCTGCTTTTTGGCCTGGGAGGTTACCTGGCTCACCGGAAAATTAACGAGCTGTCGAGGAATATTGGCTCTTTCCCGGAGCTCAGGGATGGATTACACTGCGGTGTGAATGCACAGACTCATATAATTATTTAGATGAGTCATAAGCTTGGAACTTTGGCTGAGATTCATGCATTGGCACAAAAGATGGATGCGATCAAGGAGCGAGTGGACGAATCAGCACGGATTGGGATAGATTAATTTACGCCATTATTGGATTTTGTGAGGTTGAGGACCAGCAGAACTTTAAGACAGAGAAGAAATTATCTCTGTCTGGCCCAAAACAATTTCTTATCTGAATCTGGTGCCCTTGAGTCTGTGAGGCTGAAACAAATAGCCCCCCCCCCCCCCCCCCCCCCCCAAGAAATGTGGAATGCTGCCGTTGCCATGGCAACTTTGCCTTCCTATCCCAGCCTAGGCGGGACTGTGAGCTGTGAAGTCCGCTGAATCGTTCCAGGAGTCACTGTGCTCTCTAAACCCAACGATCTCCTCCCCCTGTCCAAACAGAGATGACGAGCGCTGCTTATCGCGGCTGCATTCACTGACGTGTGGAGAGTCCCAAACCCTACCACCCCACCTAGTGGACACTTATGTTGTGTTATGTCTGAAGTCTGTTGCATTTCTGTCTGAGGTGTTTTTTATGGCTTCAGAATTCCGCCATATCTCGTGCACGTGTATTGTCCACATCGCGCGTGTGAACGGGACTCGCGTGTGGAAGTTAGAACCTCCACAAGTGAAGATATACATGGCGAGGAGGTCATTTGTATACTGAGATGGAGCAAACTGTGTCTGTGAGCGCACAAGGATGTGCACAAGTGACAAACCTGCGTGCGCGCGTTGGCCAACGAGCACACAGCAAAGGAAAACATGCGTGCGGCAGCCTCACTGCGCGTGTGGCAGCCTTTCTGCGCGCTCGGTTTCTGATTCTGCTTGCTCGGCTGTTGGGAGTTTTGGCACTCTGGAGGCGTGGAAGAATTAAAGTGCCAGAAATTGAGCACTTGAACTTTCAATTTGAGAGCAGAATTTCACATCAAGAGACCAACTTTTTAATTTCAGAATAAGATTTTATATTATTGCTCTCAAAACTTGTAATGCTTGCACTCAAAATGTCTGCTCACTTTCAAATTCACTCTGTTCTCCTTCAAATCTTTGTTACTGCGCTCATATTTAACCTTCTTACACTGGTATTGTCTTCTCACGTGACAACTTTTTCTCTGCACGGATCAAAACTCCTCCCACAAGTCTGTCCCCTGCTCTCACAGATTTTTTCTGCTCCCGCTCAAAACCTAGGTTTGTCACTTGTGCACATCCTTGTGCGCTCACAGACACAGTTTGCTCCCTCTCAGTGTACAAATGACCTCCTCGCCATGTATATCTTCACTCGTGGAGGTTCTAACTTCCACGCGCGAGTCCCGTTCGCACGCGCGATGTGGACAATACGTGTGCACGAGATATGGCGGAATTCTGACGCCATATTTATTGCAAAGCAAAGCTGCCCTCCCTGTGGAGGTTAACTCTGAAGTGCCTTTTTTTTCCTCCACCTGACCCAATCCTCATGTAAACCCCTCTGACCTCTAAAGGTAGCGCGACTCGGGTTGCAAATGACCACAGTCACCAATTCTTGTCATGTGTCTTGCCCATGTATGTCTGATCTCAGAATTGTGTGTACTGAAACTCTAATTTCCCTCTGGGATTAATTAAGTATCATTGAATTGAATTGAATTGTAAGGCTTGTTTCTGACACAGACAACAAGGCTGCTGGACACGACGCGGTAAAAAACTAAATGTTTGCTGAGCAGTGAAACCATGATTGGGTTTATTTCTGCAGGAGCTGAGCGAGTGGTGACGCTAAAGATGGAGATCCCCGGCTCCATGCCTCCGCTGATCGAGGAGATGCTGGAGGACCTGCAGAACTTCCAGAACAGTCAGCAAACCCGCGTCATCTCCTCTCACCACATAAACCGCTCTAGTGTCTCCTTCTGAAGCTGCGCCCAGAACTTTCCTATTATCTGAAAGAGATTACTAACTTTATCAAGTGCAGTTCAGAGGGTCACTAGTCTCTTACCTTCGTTAATGTTCAGTGAACTTTGAAAGCCAGGTCTGCAGAGATTCAGTCGTCATGGCAACAGCATCACCGACAGAGTAAAAGTTAGCTTCTAGGAGATCAGATCCTGCTTCAGAGGGGAAAATAAGTAGGATGCAGTAAATATCTGAGATTCACTCTCAGCCTTTGTTTACCATATCTGGCTCTTTCTGTATTTGAAACTGCATGAGTTTTTCATTTTACCTCATTAAATAACACCTTTTGGCATTAATTTAGAATTTATTGTTTTTGTAAAATGTCAAGTGTGACGGAAAGAATTTTTTTTTTTCAAAAGTGGTTTATGACTGGATGTAAGCTTGTTGGTTGTGAGATTATTTACTGGATGTCTGTTTGATCAAAATCCAGAATGAAATAATCCTAAAACAGGTAGTAAGCTTGTGATAATTCACCTCTTTGTCTTTTTTTAGATTTTAAATGAAAAGATTTAATTCCATATTATAATAAAGCATTGTTGTTAGAGATGTTTTAAAGCAAACATATACTTTTTCTTCTTTTTTAAATTTTAAATGAGGATTGTATAAACTTTTATCAGATGATTGTGTTTAGTCGTCTGTGGCTTCGTCTTCCTCCACCCTTTCCCAGATCCTTCCAGTAGCACCACCATCCGGTTGCTTTTTTGTAATTGTCAAAGCTGCAAAAACTGAAGAGATTGTCGCTGGTCTGAGCTGTTTCTCGTGTTAACGCTGAGTGTGGTGTTGTAGTTTTGAGTGTGTTGGACTACAGACAAAAACCTGACATTAAAGTAAAAAAAAAACAAGTTTTAAGTTTAGATCCGACACTTGAAAGGGAACCAATTAGTCTAAACAGGAAGTGATGAACACTCACATGTGCCTATTCTCATTAGAAATGTGCCAACGTTTCCTAAAACTGCTAGTTAACCCCCCTCACCCCACCCTTTAATTCTCCAGCACATGTGATGTCCACGTCCACGCCACAGAGTGACTGCTGTATGTACATATATGGTCATCTTTCTTTGTGATGTCATTAAACATTCCACATGTTTTTATTTGTCTATTAAAATTGTGGTTTATTGAATTTCACCAAAGCTGCTGCTTTTGAGTAGTGCTGTGTGTTTATACCGCCCCCTGTTGACCTGATAAGGAACTGCAAACAGGAAATGATTCTAATTCTGTTACATTTTCATTACTATGGAGGTAATTGTTCGGTGATCACACTCCAAAGAGGTATAAAAGTAAAAACAGAATCCCAACACAAAAATTGAGAAAAAAGTACTTTAGGATTAATTTTTTTTCTGGGAAATGTTGTATAATAAACTGTCAGAGGTTTGATAGAAACACGCAGAAATGATTTCACATGACTTTTGATTCTGATTTGTTGAACAGCAAATAAACCTTAAGCTAGAAGACTCCCAAAAGTAATTTTGTGGTCCATAAACCAGGTCCTGCTGAGTCTGAGTATAGTTGGAAAATAAAAGATTAGAAGCATAGCGAGACGCCAGGATGTGTCATCTACACACTTGCATCGTTTTCACGTAATTTAAATTAAAAGAATGTATTTTAAAAAACAAGTTTCTTCTGTGGTATAAAAGGCAGGGGACACCCTGGACAGGTCTTCAGTCCATCACAAGGCCACACAGAGACAAATGTTCACACGGTCACTAAAACCTAGAGCAGTGGTTCCCAAATTTGGGGTCAGAACCCCCAAGGGGTCGCCACAACTTTGCCTTTGCTAAAGTTGTGAGGTTAACAAGATTTTATTTGTAAAAATAACATTTATAAAATCCCAATAACACACCCTACAGTACAATCAGAACTCAGTTATTACTTTGTATGTTTGTAGAAAGTTTGTAAATGATCCCATTTAATGTGTGTATGAGTTAGAGTTGGGGTCCTCAAGGGGAAAAGTTTGGAAACCACTGACCTGGAGCATGGGTTGGGGGGGGGGGGGGGGGGGGGGACCAGATCCCCAAAGGCTAGTATCCAGCATGTTTTAGTCATTTCTCTGCTCCAACACTACTGATTCAGTGGTTGAATCACCTGTTCAGCGGCTCATCAAGTTCTACAGAAGCCTGTTGATCACCTGCTGATTAATCAGGTGAGTTGAAGCAGGGTAACAACTAAAACTTGCTGGATAGCCCTCGAGGGACCAGGATTCCCCATTCCTGGTTCAGAGTCTAACAAGCATGCTTTTGGGTCTGTAGGAGGAACCTGGAGTACCCGGACAAAACCCACACAAGAATGAGGAGAACACACTAATGCAGAAAAACAGCAGTCAGGATTTGAACCGGCAACCTTCTCACAATGAGGCAACAGTCCTACCAAGTGCACTGCCATGCAGCCCAATAAACAGCTCAACTAAGTTAGTAAGGTGTGGTTCATTTGTTTATTCAATACATTTGTGGTGTGCTCTAGTGCAAATCAGTACATTATGAGTCATAAAAAAGCTATGATGCTCCTGTTCTGAGATGCAGAAGTTTGCTGGTGCAGTAGTGAGCTGAAAAAAGCATGATCGCTCACTATTTTTTATCGTTTGCACACTCCTCGCTTCTGATTAGCTAACAGAACATGTTCAGCTATGTTGCAAAGTCACTATCACCAACACACTTTCCGCTCTCTCTCCTCACTACAAAAGCATTTTTTAAAGCCTTATTGTGGGCAGGCACGGGCCATGATGGGCGAGGCCATGAAAAATTCAGTGTGACATCACAGTGTGAGGATTTTTTAATCCTAGTGTTGTGGCCAAATTCATTGAGGGTTTGAAAGTCATCAGTTTTATTTGTTCCTGTTTTTGTTTAACAGTAGAAACATATAAGTCTGACTTCTACCTAAATCTTTAAGTAACTTATTAATTTATTTAATTAATTTTGTCTGTTTGTGATGACTTTGTAAACTTTTGGACCCTCCCATTAATTAGGTATATGAGGAGCAAGCCAGGTGGAAAGAAAGGTTTTTTGATTTGTTAGATGTCAGCTGGAGGTGATGGGAGGGTTTTTAATCATTTTTTGACCACTTTACACTGACTTGATTAGTTGATTTAAGTTGGATTTTGTTTAAATTCGAAATAAGACATTGCTGGATTTTTTGTTGTTGTTTTTTTTTTGGAATTTAAACTTTGAAAGAAATAAATGGAATATAATTTTAAGAACTGAAGTCTGGAGTGCGTGCAAAACCCAAACCCACCTGTTTCCACCCATAGCCTTTTGTTGGAATTATTTTGTTTTGGATGGTAAAAGGCCGCAACACCCAGAGTTTCACTATCAATTTTCTATCAGAAGCTAATGCAAGAGATAGGAGACTATTTCATGTTCAGCCTGCATGAAAATCTCAGAGTGACCGATTACAATCAGAAATAATCTTTAAATATGTTTTTTCAGTCTACCACACCTTTAAAATATTTATGTCTGATGAGTTTACAGATAGTCAGGGAGTGAAAATGTATTGCTTCATTCCCAGCTGTTCCTGTGATGTCATTTCAGAAACCTTCACACCTCCTCTCATGATCCTTACTTCAGGAGAAATCTCTAGGATTTCCTGCTGAGCTTGACCCAAATCTCATCTCATGCATTTATAACGCAAAAGAAGCACATTTCACCTTTAACTACAGTTATTGCACATTTTGTGGTTTTGTATGTGTGAAAAACAGTTTTCACCTCTAAAAGTTGAAATGAGTCACAACAGAGTTAAATGGTGTATTAAAGTAGAAACTGGTGACCTGTTTTTATTTTTTCTGCAGTCAGACATGTTGAATTAAACCTAACGTTTCTATCAACTCTACTGGGACGTGTTGGGAGGAAACTGTGGTTTTAAATGAATCTGAAAAACACACGTTGTCGCATGCAGCTCTGCAGCGAGGAGTTCAAACCACTGAGTTTCAGCCTGAGGATTTCCACCCAAACAGCGTGAGAGCTTAATCAGCACAGAGGCTGGACCGCGACACAAAAACATTAAAAAGGTTTTAAACACACTTTTTTGTTTATTTAAATATATCTGGAGACTGGTAACATTTATACAAAAAAGTAATTTAAAGCAAAGACTGTAAATGAGTACAAACACATGTTTTACTGCTTTTAAGCATTAAATAACTGAATAAAGTTCATTTATTTCACTAAAACTACTTTGTAGAACCACCTTCATATTTTTGTGAATAAATTAAAGTTGGTTTTGACCTTTGAGGATGGTGTTGTGTTTAATTTAGATGTACAAGCTGGGATTTCTGAGTTTCCAAATGGCCCTGACCTCAAAATGACATGTGACTTTGCAAAAAGACATGATTTAATGCCTGCAGCAGTAACCTTGTTCCAAACACAGCTTTGTTCATGCTACTCAGTGGATGTATGCTAACACCAGTTAGCCTGCTGGGTGTGTAAACTGGTCCATTTGGGATGGACATCCTTCCCTGCTTCAGAATTTCCTGAGGAATCCGAACTCAACATGGGAAAAAACTTCTTTGTGGTCATTATTTTTCCTTGACTCTGGAATTAAAAACAAACATAAAAGCAGCTTTTAAATTTCAGTTAATTCAAATATAATTTAGAGTTTCTATAATGTATTACTGATCATTTATTTTTTTATAATAATTTCACACTGACATGATAATTAGATGTAGCTCATATTTAGATGACAAACAAACTCATCACAGTTTTCTTTTTTATGAATTAAATGCTAAGTAAAGAACTGGATCCAGATGAAAACACATAGAAACACATAATTGAGGTAACATGACTTATATTTAAATACAAAAGGTTCCTAATTTTGTTAATCCAACATTTACGTTTCAATATTTTAGCATGTTTTAAATAATCAATAGCAAAAGCACATTCAAAACTGTCAAATAGTTTGGGAATTATTTGATTGCCAAATGAAAAAAACACTGTTTTCTAATTACATTAAAGTTATCCCTCAGGGATCTATATTGGGATGCATTTTATTCACAATTTCCAAAAACAAAAATATGGAACTGATGCAAAGTTGAATATTTATGCAGATATAGTTTTAGGAAGCGTCAAAGAATATCTGCAATCTGGCTTTAATATTATGCAGAAAAAAATCTTTACGATTTGAAATTAAGATGATTTGTTTAAAAAAAATCATGTGATGTTTGTCGATGGGTAGATAAGCAGCATTTCTATCAGCACTTGACAACAATTATAGATTTTTTACATGTATGCAACATTTTGATTTGGTGCATCCTGCAGCTCTTGTACTTGACCACCTGCTGAGTTAGGATTCAGATTAAAGCATTTGTTCTTTTCTTGTTGTCTGTTATTTGTTTTGTTTTGAATGTTGTTTGCATGCTGCTTTCTTGGACGGGACTCCCCTTGAAAAGAGATCCTGAATCTCAGCTAGATAATTCTTGATAAATTAAACGTCAAATTAATTTAAATAATAATGGCATCAGCTGACCTGCTGTGTGATGCTCTGTAGTATTCATTTTCCTTAAGGAGCTCCTCGATGATCCCCTGAAAAAGGAACGTTTGAGCAGTAAATCACTTCACACATGATCAAAAACGGTTAAATCAATAAAACAGTTTCTTCATAGTAGCACTTGATTATTGGCAGGATATGAAAACTGAAGCTACACTCATTATTTGACTAGTTTGGCTGAAAATAAAAACTAGTTACTGAAGTAAAAAATAAAAAGCATGTCAAATGATAAATGTGCAGAGATTGGATTCACCTGCATGCGCTGGTACGTAACTCCGTCTCTGAGATTCACATCAGCTGGCAGGAAAACAAAAGAATGAACTTTTTTCTTCAAACATCAGAAATAATTTGCATTTGAATTGTGAGAAGATCATTTTAAAACATCTCAGTGACATCATGGTGGTGAGGACTCTACCTGCGCCATCAGCAGCCTGATCCCCGGTGAAGTTCTGCATCAGAGGCCACAAGTCAGAGCTGGAGGAGCTCAGCTCCATCAGCTCTGGAGACAACTGGAGGAGCTGCAGAAAGAAGATTTTCTGATTGTTTCAATCCTGCAGTTAAAACTTAATATTGTGTCTCTTTACTCTTGTTCAATTTAGACATCAAAATGTAGGAATTTTAGCGTTGATTCTGATCATCTTTTATTGCCTTAACCCCTTCAAATCTTATTTTGGTATCCCGCACGACTATAACTCACCTTACTGAGCTCCAACTTCAGGTTGGAGGAATCGCTGCCGAGCTGGAAGAGGGACTTCTTGAATCGTTCAACGAGGCGGCGGCGGATGTTACGATGTGAAGATGGTGGAAGCTGAAAATGAAATGAAGATAAGTTAAAACCAAGCCTCTGCTGCTGTGTGCATGTGAATGTCTCCTGGGACAAGGTGATTAAACTATGAGGATAAATGTTCTGCACCTGAGTGATGAAGATGATTTTGTGCAACTGCACGAGCATCTTCTGGATGGGATCATCGATCTGTCGCAGCTTCTTCTGGGACACGCAGATTCCTGCAGACACTAGAGCAGGATCACCAACTGGGTTACTAAATACGCAAAACAACATTTTACATGAAAGGCTTCCATTTCAGATTGTTCTGTTTGTGTCTAATTGTAGTCATAAATGGGGTTTAAATGCAGATGTAGGAGAAGTACCTGGTCTTGGTTTAATCTTTGAAGCTGTAAAATATCCACTGAGGAAAAAAAAGGAAGTGAGAGAAGTGGGTCAACTGGTTTTATTTTTATAGAACTGAACAAACAACTAAAAAACAGTTCCTCTATATTTAGAGATGGTTTTTGCTCAAGTTTAAGTCCAAATGTGTGTGCAGTGTGTCTCCTCTCACCTGTCCACAGCAGGACCAGGTGTAAAACTAACATCTGGAGTCAAACCTTTATTAACAAGGAGAACAAAACAAACAACAGATCCTTAATTAATGCTTTAATAACCACCACTGGAAAATGGAGAGATAAAAATGTTTATTTAGCATTTTTTAATTATGTTTATATAAGATAATAATAATAATAATAATAATAATAATAATAATAATAATAATAATAATAATGTTGAGATTAATATTAACTATTAATAATGTAAGTTAATAGAGTTCCCCGTATTTGGGGATGACAGGAAATAGGCTCTGATCGTATTAGAGCATTAAAACAAGAGCACCTGTATAAATGTTCATCATAATAATGAGTGAATTGTTTTCAAATGCAGTTCAGTTGTTTTTGTCATCCTGTGATTTGCCGTCCTGATCCTCATCCCCTGCATCTACTGGTTAAATGTTGAATTTTATGGTTTTCTATAAAATGTGTGAAAATCTGACCTTGACCGACCCTCTGCTTGCTCTGGTTTAAGCTGCAGGCTGCAGAGGAGCTCTGAGTCAGAGATTCAGTCTCAGTCAAATTGTTTTCCTGCAGGAAAACAAAATTTAAAGGGATTGATCAGTCAATTTGTTTCTACTTTTAATCCAGATCCAAGACGCGACCTCACCTGGTTTGAGTGACAGCAGTTCATCCTGCTTTTGTGCCTTTCCAGGAAGTATTTCTGCGCCCGCCTCCTGTCCCTGTCGGCTCTTCTCTGCAGTGCATTCTGGGAGACGTAGAGTCCATCCATCATCTTCATCATGATGTCAGAGATCCTGGAACTGACGGCTATAATGTCCGGCCGCTGTTCCGCATCTGGACTCAAGCACCTGACAGAAGTGGGAAAAAAAGGATAAAATGAGCGACTTTCAGCTCCACACTGAAGGGATTCTCAAATGCAGGTCAAGTTTCACCATCTGATCATGTCTGGGACTCGACCCGAGAAGGTGCCCTCTGCAACTGGCTCGTAGACGGCCTCCACGATCTGTCGCTCAGAGGAAAACATCAGTTACTGGTAACAGAGGTGAAAGCCTTACAGCGAAGTCCCAGATTTGTGTGTCTGTGCCACCTTGCTGGCCAGAGACAGCATGTTGCTGCTGTAGAAAGGAGGCTGTAGAGTAGCCATCTGATACAAGATGCAGCCTAAAGCCCAGATGTCAGCTTTCTCCCCGTATGGCTCGTTTTTCACCACCTCTGGACTGGAAACACACACACACACACACACACACACACACACACACACACACACACACACACACACACAGTCAGAAACAGTTGCTTACATCCTAAACAAAAGTTTCCTCCCATCAGCTGTTGGATTGTTATACACACTCAAGCTCACTTCATGCATGATCTGCACATCATTTTGTATGTTTTTGAATCCATGTGCATCATTTTTTTCTCCTGCATAAAGTCACCAAGACAAATTCATCTTTTGTGCTTTAGTGGCAAAACACCTGATGAGCTTTTATGCCCCTAAACACCCCTCAGGTCTAACAGGGAAATAATAAAGCAGAAGTCCACAGTGAGCATGGCTGGAATGACAGTTCTATGAATCACTCACATTATTCTTCAGAAACTCCTTTTCTCTGAAGACTTCTGCACAATGCTCATTGGTTTATGTTTATGTTTATTTATTTGGCAGACACTTTTATTCAAAGCGACTTACAATTTATAACCTGTAGGGCATGTTGTGATCTGTGGGGGAAACCGGAGTACCCGGAGGAAACCCACGCATGCATGGGGAGAACACGCAACTCCATGCAGAAAGGCCACAGCCGAGTTTCGAACTTGCAACCTTCGTGCTGCAAGGCAACGGTGCTAACAACTGCGCCACAATGCAGCCCATTGGTGTTTACTCGTTTTGGTTTTAAACTCATACTTAAACTTTTAAGATGTAAGAGACACAAATCTGTAAATAGGTTTGCTTAAATAAAATGACTCAATTTTTGTTTTTGTATGTAAAATAGTTCTTGTTGCCACCATTATTTCTTGTCCATCAGTTCCTTTTTAGCCAATGTAATGTCCATGGCAGAAATTTCTCAGGTTGTTTCAGCTATGCTAAACATTTATCTCATAAGCTTTTTTATTTAATTGTTTTCTTGCAGAAAAGTAAAACGCAGAGTTCGTTTTCTCTCAAATGCAATTTTAAAACAGAAAAGATTTGCACATTTTTCATATTTAATATATGTTCATTTTGCCCACACTGTTCATTTGACATACCGGGTAGTTTTACTTATTTTACATCATTAGAATTTGTTTGTTTCTTTGTTCCCTTCTTAAACACGAGTTAATTTTATTATTTTGACTTGTCTCCTTCTTAAAACTGAAGCTAAAACAAAACAGCTACTTTCCAACAGAAACGCATCTGAACATTGGTGTTAATCTGCTCACCAGGAGTAAAGGATGGTGCCGACCACCGACGTCAGCTTGCTGTCCTCCTGTTTCTGTTTGGCGAGGCCAAAGTCAGCTGCAGAGAGAAGTAAGAACTAGTCTGAGGTTTATGGAGCTACATGTGACAGGAGGCATGAGCGCACAGACTCACTGATGGTGACTTTATCTTTCTCTCCCAGCATGATGTTATTGGGTGAAAGGTCACGGTGGATTATTCTCTTCTCTTTGTGGAGGTACCTCAACGCCAGACACATCTGACAAAAAATAAATAAATAAATAAAACAGACCTGAAATTAACTTGTACCTCAGCCTACTAAATAATTAAAGACTCTTCTAGCCTCTTTTTTGCCTATTTTCTCATTCAGAGGGATAGATCGATATATTGGTCAGCCGATATTTACCAGTTTTTTATATATCAGCATTGTCCAAAATCCCTCTTTGGAAGAGTCAATTTAAAGTCAAGTACATCTGCGGATCTCCGGATAGGAAGTCTCAGAAATGAGGAATCTGTTGCTATGCTGCTGCTCCAAAGCCCAGTTCATTAAAAGGTTTCATTTATAGTTCACATGGAGGTTGGGTTACTGTTAAAATTATTAGTGTCAAGCAAGAAAACATTGGTTAAAGGTAAAATATGTAAGAATTCTACAGTGAAATAATCACTAAACAGTCAGTGTCTCAGTCATGTTGGAAGGAAGGTTACATTCAAACAGATTTCCTTCTCAGCCGGCTGGTGGGTAGTTAGGTTTTCTCCTCTCAAAAGAAGCTAAAGCGGGTTTATGGTAGGCGCCAGGCTGTAGCTTGGGGTTGCTAAATCAACGGCAGGATTCAGCCAAGCAACGGCTTAGCAAGGTCAATTCCCGAACACCCCCCACCCCCACCCCACACACACACACACACACACACACACACCCTTCAGTCTGTGCTGACGGACACCAAAGGGACGTGTACACCCCACTCCCTAGACCCACTCTTCAGGCCGTACCGGTGGGCATCTCAGAGCCGTCCCTACCCTCCCTCTCCAACTGTACATCTCCTTTAAGCCCCATGAGATGTCTAAGCTGCAGCTGTTCCACACCTGCTTAGACTCTATCAAAACCTGGATGGCTGGGAGCTTTCTTCAGCTGAATGAAGATAAGACTGAGATCCTCATCTGTGCCCCAGACAAGCTGGTTCCTAAAGTCAGAGACTCTTGGTCAGCTTGCTTCCCACACCAAACCTTCCTTCAGGAATCTTGGCATGACCTTTGACCCAGCTCTCACCCTTGATTCTCATGTCAGTTCTCTTGTTCGCTCTTCCTTCTTCCATCTCCGGAACATTGCTAAGCTGAGTCCCATTCTGTCCCGCTCTGAACTTGAGACGGTTATCCACACCTTCATCTCCTCACACTTAGACTACTGTAACTCTCTTTTCACGTGTCTGAGCAAAACCTCCCTGAACGTCTACAGGTGGTTCAGAATGCCTGTGCTCGGCTTCTGACCAAGTCCTCCAAACACACCCACATCATCCCGCTTCTCCTCCAGCTTCACTGGCTGCCAGTCAACTTCAGGGTTCATTTCAAGATCCTGGTTCTGGTCTATAGGGCCTTACATGGACAAGCACCATCATACATTGGTGATCTTCTTAGTCCCTACACCCCCAGCAGGTCCCTGAGGTCCAGTGATCAAAGCTTACTGGTTGTGCAGCACCAGGCTAAAGACCAAAGGTGACAGATCATTTGCTGCTGTGGCCCCCAGACTCTGGAACTCTCTCCCCCTGAGCATGAGATCAGTGGACTCAGTGGTCTCCTTTAAAAAGCAGCTGAAGACTCACCTGTTCAGGCTGGCGTTTGTGTGACCTTCATCACCCTGTACTTGTTCTGCTCTCCCTACCTATTCCACCTTCCTCAGGATCCACTGATTTCCTGCTTTCTTTTTCACTCTCTCTCTCTTTCTTTACATTTTTCAATCACAATTGTCTATTTTTTGCTCATTTAAAATATATTTTTAATCATTTTCTAAATAATTTTTTTATATTTTTACATTTTTTGTTTTTGTGAAGCGCCTCATGCTTTTTATCTTGAGAGGCGCTATAGAAACAATCTTTTCTTCTTCTTCTTCTTCTCCCACCCCTCCATCGGTCTTCAGACTGAATTCAGAAAACAGCAACCCCAACACTCACTAAGCAACTGTAAAGCAACTGGCGCTGCTCCTGAGACGAATGTAGACCTTGTTTACAATCTGTGACTCCGCAGGAATGCCAAGTCCAGACGAGCTAACGCTGCAGCGCCGGCATGTGTAATTCGACACCTGCTGACAAACATAGCAGCGTTTTCTAAAGATCCTATTGCAGTAACAGGAGCAACCCAGAAGTTATTTCTTGAACCCCTAAGAAGCCAAGGTATCTTTTTGTTTTACTCTAATCCCTTCTTTCCACTGGATGCGAAAGCAGCGTGTAACGAAATAGAGGCATTTTACCCTCAAGCACCCTTCCAACCGAGAGTGATTCTGATGCTAAAAAGGAGCCAAAGTGTTCCACAAAGCTGATACTGTGAGGTCACAAAATCACAGGAGATTTGAAACAGGGCTGTGGTTTATTTTCTGTTTTTTTATTTTGTTTTTTTTACATCGGCTATGAGGGTTTCACAGGAAAGACATACTGAACGTAACTTTTATTGTTAAAGTTTCTGGATGTTTTATACTGCCCTCATGTTTGACTTCCTGTTTGGCTTGATCTGAACTGTGGCGTTTGATGTGCTTTGGAATCTGGATCTGGAACTGGATTGGATTAATCCTATTACCTGTATGAATAAACTCCACAGCCGGTCCTCGGTGAACTGCTGCTGCTTCTCCTTCAGAGAGTTCAAATGCTGCGCGAGGGGAACGCCCTCAATCAGCTCCATCACGATGTAAAGCTTCTCACCTTAAACAACACAGGTTCATCTGTGGTTAAAATAACAAAAACCATTGTGGTGGAGGGATAAGAGATGGAAAAATATCCTCACCTTCCAGGAATGTTTTGTAATATTTAACAATGTTCGGGTGTGTCATCTAGAGAGGGAGAAGAACAGGTGAGACTTAATAATCCCGTTTTAGATTTAGACTCCATCAGGACTGAGCTGAGTGCCTGCTCTTTGATGATGGTGAGTTCTGAGATGATTTTCTCGACGTTGCTGTCTCTGGACTTCTTGTCTTTGCCAAACGCTGGGTTGTGTAGGTTCACCTCCTTTAGAGCCAGAAGGTTCTGCCCGCTCTCCTTTCGGACCTGCTGTTTAAAGTGTGCCAATTAAACCCACAACATTTGATTCAAACCAACTAAAATCAGATTACTTTAAGGATATCTTGGACCTTGAAGACACTTCCGAAGGCTCCGGTACCCAGATGATCTAGTATGGAGTAGCCGCTGATCACCCTGAGCGGGGGTCGGTTCTGATCCAGGGTGTCGATGTTCTCTCTCAGACTGTCTAGCTCCTCTTCCTGCATAAAAAACAAGATTATTTCTTTGATTGCAACTTAATGGAGAGTTTAGCTAAAAGGTTTAATTAACAAGTAATGAAAACATAAAGTTTGTGAAATAAACCCATTTAGAGGTTTTGTTTTCTTACAGTGTAGAGTGAAACTGTGCCTTGAAGCTCCTCATATGCCGTCAGGTCTCTCACATAATTTCCAACATCAATAAACAACTCAAAGATGTCTGTGGGAAAAAGGCTGGAATGGACAAAATATTACAAAACACATGTGAAGCTCAGAAATCAGATGTCTCCTCCTGAAAAATCAGCCCAAAGCAGATAATCTTAAAGGATTTATAAAAAGTCAAAAATTGGACTTTATTACATCGTAAAGACACTTCCAAAGGTACTGGAGCCTTTTGAAATGTCTCATCTGAGTCTGTAAATACTGAGAGCTGATACAGAACAGATGTGTATCAGAAACAACAAGGTTATCTCTAATCAACGTTTTTTGTTTAGGTTTAATTTCACTAAATGGGAACAGGAAGTGTGTTTAAAAAGAAGTTATACGCAGAATATGACAGTTTAATTACCTTTTAAACAGATGTCTGTTTCTTTCAACACTAAAGAGAAATCGGAGGGTCCGGAAGGCATAACACTACCAAAAAAATAAATAAAAACATATATATATATATATATATATATATATATATATATATATATATATACATATATATAATTAATTCAGGGATTTTAATTCACATTTGATTTGTTTCCATAAGCACCTGCAAAGAAGTGACATTAGGTTCCTGATCTCGAGGTAAAATTAACTTTGCGATTATGTAAACACCATTTTCCTATAAAAAAGAAATACAAAAAACAAAAGAAAAAGTGATTAATTGATGTAATAATATGATGCTTATGATTAGTTGTTATGTGTTCTTAGATAAAGAGATATTTACTTGAACAATGTGGTGAGCCGATGAATCATCCAGACTCATTTCAGTCAGAGCTGAGCAGCAGGCTGGAAAAAGGAGACGAAATTAAACAAAACTCCAAAATCAAAACCCAAATCCCTCAGTTTGTCCACCACTGGAGCATTTGAGGACACATATAAATGAGGAATGCTGAATAAAACACCAAGCAGCCCACCCCCTTTCTTTTTCCTGGCTAATTTTTAACTTTAATCCTGAATTTTACTTTTTATATTTTTCATAATAAATTTATGAATTTACAACATCAGAAATTATCTAAAAAATATGGTCTGTAAGAAATATATATATATTTACCTTTTAAATCAGCTGATAACTATATTATCCCATATTTGACATTAAAATCTGAATTTCTGATATTTTTCTACAACTTTTATCCAGCTTATTTATTATTTCCCAACTAGAAGAATCCCATTACTGCGCTCATTTTGGGTCAAGGTAATTGTATTTTATTGCAGTGTCATCAGATACTAACAGACAGGAAATGTCCAACCACTTTTTTCTAAATTGCAGCAAGATTAAGTCAAGTCTCAGCAGAATACTCTGTTTACATTCTCAGTCACTGATAAGACTTTTCTACAGGGCAGCATGTCGTTATTGTATGTAAGATGGAAAAACATAACATTAACTCCTATTTTCCATTTTCGTCTTTACTTTTATAACATTTTGAGCGATTTTTAAAACAATTAATTATTTAATAAATATTCTAGTGTCTGACCTGATTGCAGGGCCAAAATGTTGTACGCCTCCTCATGAGGGGCGAGCTCCTCTCCTGTGTGCTCGTGCAGAGCGTGACTGCTGTTGTTGGCCTTAGAAAGCGTCTCGATGGTTGATCTATCTGAGATGTACCACCTGTCACTGAGAGAATTATTTATGCATGTCACTGAAAACAGAATGATTTAAGCATGTTTCCACCCGGACCGTTCTAGATGTGACACACTATGAGCCTGATCTCTGCTGCGTCTTCTTAAAATAAAGTAAATAGTGCTAAAATCTGCTTATTTGGTGACGATCTCTTTGTGCTACTATCGTGACTTTATGAAGTGTTACATTTACAGTACATTTAATGCTAGGCATGAGGATGTTAGTATTACTAGCATCTGTTAGCACAAGGCAGTTATGTCTATTTGCTGCTGCTCTGTGTTACTATGAATAGCAACACAAATTTTGGTGGCTGCACTGTTCAGTAATTTGCTAAACATAAAAAGAAAGCAAAATTCAAAATTGGAGATAAAATAAATGGAAATAGCGTATTCTACGGTAGCTAAAAATAGATTGCGACATAATGTCGCAATGCATTGTGGGATGTATCCCCAGACAAGCGTGTGATTTTTGCATGGGTGCCTATGGACCTGAGTCGCTCCGCTTGTAACAAAGTTGTATTTTTGTCTCCTAAAGATGTTTAAACAGGAAGTAACTAACCACTGCTGATGAGGTGCTAATCGGACTCTATACCCAGAACGGATGTCAGTGGGGACATTTTTTATCCTTTTTTCAAAGTCGGGTGGTCCGCTACCACATGAAACAGCTGGAAAGTGAATATGGCCAAACTAAACTAAAGACAGACAAAGCAAAGCGGTGCCAGTATTTATGTGGAAGAGCAAATTTCCACAGTATGGAAGACATCAAGGGGTGCGCGTTTATTTGTTCCACACATTTTGTCCGTGGGAAAAGTCCTACGTCCGAGAAAATCAAGCCTATACTAGCAACGCTCTAAGAGGTGGATTTACTTATCCAGAAGGCAGGAGTGTAAACGAAGGCTTAAAGAGCAAGTTACCCCCTACCAGAGTCTAACTCCACTCCCACTTCATGTTTGAAAAATGCAACAAATGCCGTTGCCTGGCAGACCGAGAGGGCGGAGCCGCTAACAAACACACACTCACAGGCTCACGATAGCATTGTGACATCATAATGTACCAGTTTACATCATAGCATACCGCTTAGCCAATAGCGATGGCAGATTTAAATTCAATACTAGTGCAGTTTTTACCTGACAACGGCACAACACTGACGGTTTTAGGCAGAAAATTTAAATTTTAACCAAGATGCACTAAAGTGCCTAATTATTGACTACACCTGTCTGCAGCATGATTAGACACTCATTTATATAGTTTATCAGCAAAAAAAGGTTGATTTGGGGGTGACTTGCTCTTTAAGCTTAATGTCTCGGCCAAACGGCATCCAAACATAGACGAAAATGACTTTACTAGAGGTGGGAGGTATGTAAAAAATATTGACACAAATTATAACCTTAGAATCACAAAAGAACTTGGAGAAAATGCTACTTGAGCACTATGAGTCAAGAGTAACTGTTTAAAGAGCAAGTCACCCACAACCAGATTCTTACTCAATTCCCACTTCATGTTTGAAAAATGCAACAAATGCTGTTGCCTAGCAGACCGAGAGGGTGGAGCCGCTATCAAATGCACATACTCACGACATTGTGACATCATAATGTACCATCTAACATCATTGTGTACCTCTTAGCCAATAGCGATGGCAGATTTAAATTCAAATGCAGTGCTGAGTTTTTGCCTGACGACGGTGCATCGCTGACAGTTTTAGGCAGAATATTTAAATTTGAACTAAGATGCACTAAAATGCCAAATTATTGACTACATGTGTCTACAGCACAATCAGACACTCATTTATACAGTTTATCAGCAAAAAAATGTTGATTTGGAGTGGCTTGCCCTTTAAGCATTAAAGGTTGAATTTGGTGTCTGTCGGGTTGTTTTTATCAACGTCCAAGCGCTCTTTCAGCTTTTTTTTTTCAATTGGTAAATGTGGTTAGTTTGTCTAGCACTAGCACCCAGCAGCACTTGCACAGTGATGTCAACTGTAGAATATGCTTGTGAATAAATTGTGTATTTCCTGTGAGAAATCTGAAATAAAAGCATGATATTTTGCCTTATTATCCATTTCATGAGAAGGTGATTATTTTTTATGAATAATAATTAAAGTAATAATAAATAATTAAACTAAAGTTGACCAAAATGCTGCACAAAAACACTCAAAATGATCCCACTCCCTCAGTGGCAGTCTGAATCCATTATCTGTTTGATCCTTCACTAAATTTGTGATTCACCTGCTGAGCAGCCGGAGGAGCTGCTGTACTCCCCCCCAGCTCTGAATCTCTGCTCTGGTGTCAGGATCCTCGCAGAGCTGGACCAAAATCCAGGTGATGCTCCATAGCAGCTTCAGGTTCCACCCATGCAGGAGGCTCAGCAGCACGGGAACTCCCTCCAGCTCCTTTAACTGGAGCCTTATGTGCTGGATCGGAGACAGGAGCCTCAACAACTCTGCGCTCATCCTGCAGGAACCACAAGGTCTCAGATGCTTTAACTCACAACAAAGACATCAGTAAAGAAGTCATTTCAAACCTTTTTGACAGCAGGTCGTATTCCTGCAGGATCACAAGGAGGCTCTCCACAATCGGTGTCTCCCCTATCTCTTTCTTACATTCTGGGCTAAAGAAAACAAGAAATTGCAGATTATGATTTGTATTTGATCCTGTTTTTAAAAATCTACTCACCTGTCAGCCAAGGAGGTGAGTGCCAGCAGGGCTGCATGTAACACCCCGTGGTCTTCAGTGGAGAGGAGCTTCACTAGAGTCTAGACATATAAAAAAGGTGGATTTTACCCCCAACAGTAAACTGGTGACAATAAATTAGGTATTTATTGGGAGTATATTAATTACTCTGATGTTACAATGCAACTCAATTTTAAGGTTCTTCTAATGGTTTTTAAGTGTCTTAACGGTCTTGGGCCTTCTTATCTATCAGAACTGTTTTTACAACATGAACCCTCGCGGCCTCTGCGCTCCTCTGGCAGGCGTCTCCTGGTCATCCCTAAAGTCAGGACACAAACTCACGGCGAGGCGTCCTTCCAGTGTTATGGCCCTCGCCTCTGGAACGAGCTGCCAGAGGACCTCAGGGCCGCAGAGAACGTTCATGTTTTTAAGTCAAGACTCAAGACCCATCTTTTTAGGTTAGCTTTTATCTAAATATTTTCTACAGTTTTATTTCTCATTTTACATGATTATATTTTATTACTTGCTTTGCATGTTCTATATGATTATATTTTAGCACAGTTTTATTATTTAAATTATTATTTTACTGTCTATATCATTTTATTTATTACTTATTTTCTAATTTTTGTCATTTATATTAGCTCTTTTATTACATTTTTACTCATTTTAATCCAGTGTTTCCTCTGTGGGGGCCCTCTGCCCCAGGAGCGGTGGTCGACTGTAGCTTCCTGGGCGCTCTATGGGTGGGGCTCTATGCTCCCCCTCCACTGAGCGCCCTGACTTAGGGTGGAAGACCTGATGCTGCCGAGACAGATGGCTCCTCTGATGGCGTTTCCTTGCGTTACCATACTTGGCTCATCTGGACTCAGCTAAATATAATTTTTACGTGTGTGCGTGTGTGTGTGTGTGTGTGTGTGTGTGTGTGTGTGTGTGTGTGTGTGTGTGTGTGTGTGTGTGTGTGCGTGTGCTTGCATATGTCTGTTAATGTTTTTAACCTGTTATGGGAATCTGGGGTCATTTTGTAAAGCACTTTGAATCGCACTTTGTTTGAAAAGTGCTTTACAAATAAATTTGATTGATTGAACTCACATTATGTGCATTTTAATCCTGCAGACTAAAGTTGAATAAAGATGGACATAAAGTCCAAACACATGATTTTATACTCTTAGAATTTCTAGCAAAAACGTGCAAAAGAAGTCAGTATTGTTTTGCATTGGTAGCTCCAAATCAAACACTATTAACAGATGTGTCCTCATATAGCAATAAATGAATGCCAGTAAGGTTGTATGTAATAATTGTAAGACTAACAACAATACTGATCATTTGAAATAACATAACACATTTTTAAAAAATCCAGAGTTGAATCAGATTAAGCAATAATAGTAGTGATAAAACAATAAAAAGAATCAAAGACATCACCTCTGATATTTCTGTAAATTGTGTTAGACTGAATGCTTTGGTAAAAACACGATATTTTAGGAGTTTTATTTTCATTTATCTTGGGCCGAAGCTGTAGAGAGAGGGCATTTCAGAGGGGATGCAACTCCAAACCCTCTGGTTTCTTCTCTGTTTTAAACCTTAGAACTGAATTATAAACTAATTTGCATGTTATTGTTTTCTTGGAGTAGTTTTTGTGCAATTTAAAAGCCTTTGCCGCAGATTTGAATCCAGATTTTCTGCAGAAGTGTCAATAAGGAAATTAAAAATGTGATTTCATGTGAAAATCATTACCTTATTTGTGAAATATTTGGCTCAGGTTCCCAAAAATGTTATTAAAGACACCAAACAACACCATAAAGATGAAACTCACTCTGTGAGCGCCACTCTCAATGACCCAGACTCTTTGATTTTCAGCGGCAGACAGCTTCTGAAACACGTCTGTAATACAGTCAGTATACACAACCATCGATGAGGAGACAAACAGCTGGTGTTATCAGAGTCGTTCTGCCTGCAGATTACTCACAGGTCATTGTTACAAGTTTCTGTGTATCAAACTCCTGTTCAACACAAGACGTGCACTTGGTAGTGACAGCCTCCATGTACTGTAAACAAAAACAGAAGGAAAATGAAAATAGCACCAATTAATTAGCCTGTTCTAACCTTTGAAAAAGTCTAAAACTATTTACCTTGGCAAGAAAATCAATGCCTTGGAGCTGATAGAGAGTTTTCTTTCAAATAAAACACAAAATGAGACAGTGAAAATATTCATAGAAACCATAATATGCCTTTTTCAGCCTTTACCTGATAGCTGGGATCTCTGATGAATAATCGGAGACAGATGAGAACTCTAAGAACTGCCTCAGGTGGTGCCTGGTCTATCCATTCACTTACAAAGAAGAAATATATCATTAAAATAAAGAAAAAATCATTTAAGAAGAAAAAAGAAAGTAACTAAATAATAATAATCTACCTGCAGAGTCTATTTTTGACCAAAGTGGTGAAAAGGTCCAAGAATTGTTTATTCAGAGGGCAACTGCTGAAACTTCTTTGGTCTTTGTAAATGATGCTAGAAAACAAAATAATTTAAAATCAGGATTAATGATTATCTTTAAAAACAGATCATGTTCAGACACCAGCATCAAAAGGACACAGTATACTTATATTAAAGGGGACATATCATTACTTTTTGTTATTATACTTCTATGGTCGATTACTAATCAAGAGGTTATTTTCCCTAAATTCCTCACCCATAAAGCAGCAGTCTTATTTTCGCCATTTTCAGTACCTTCCAGAATTAGTCATTTCACGTTCTGTCAAGATCTGTATTTTTAATACGTTTGCATTTGTCTCCAAAAAGAATGAATGTCTTGTAAGTTGTTCCCTGAGGGGAAAAAAGCTCAGATGCGCACGTCTGAGGATGTGGAATTCAGCCAGAGGAGAATGTGGCAGCAGGGCTCATTTCCAGATATTCGGACATCTCGCCGCTGATTGGCTAACAACAATGTGACTCTACCACTGACTCCATTTTCTCTGCAAACAGATCTTTTATCTGTGTAAATAACACAAGCCTGAAGAAGTTCTGTGTGTTTTGCTGTTGCTAATGCTAAATATTAGCTTTTATTAGTAGTAGCTCAGGAGAGAGAGGAGGTTGTCCAACAACCGGCGGGTTGTAGAATCGATCCTGGCAGGGTTCTAGAAGGCGCTATATCAAATACAGGGAATTTACCATTTTACCAACTACTTTGGAGTAGGAGTAGAGTCGCCACTTCTCCAGCTGCAGTTGTCAGTTGCACGTGAGAGATGGTTCTATTCTACTTTCCCCGCTTGTGACATCACAAACAGGGGAGGTGTTTCAAATTACTTGTTTTAGGTTAATAATTTCTGAAACCAAACACTGACAGAAAAGAGGTGCATTATTTGTTCATAGTCCATCTTTTAGTTCTTTTTAAAACACAGAAAGGTTTTATTTACCTACAACGTTTCGTTTGCAGCTAAAAGGATTCAAAAAGTGAGTTTTGCATAATGTGTCCTCATTAAGGGTGCATTCTCAAAAAAGCAATAGGCAAATTCATAAGAAAGCTGGATTCAAATAGTTCTTGGTGTATCAACCTGAACTTCTCCAGCTCAGATGCTTCACTAACGATGTCACTCTCACTCCTGTGTCTGCTGGTGGGATTTGGAGACTGTGAGGACCACGTTGTTCTGCTGCTGCCTGCTTTACCACGACTCATCGCTGGCACCTACAGCACAGAGTTGCTATATAAACACAGGTCTGACAGAAGAAACACGCTGGTTTGCTATCTAAAAGTCTCGACATGCTACTGCTTTTACCTCCCGTCTGGTGCTGTTGGCAAGCAAGTACTGGAGTCTCTTGAGATCACAAGATGCCCTAAAAAGGCAGCCTTATCAGATGATTTGTTCTCATTGTGTCAGTAAGAATACATAAATAAAAGAACATTAAGTGTATCAAAGACAAAACCCTGCTTACCTGCTTTGAACCCCTGATCTCAGAGGCAACTTTTCTCCTGTTCTCATTTTTTTAACCAAGTTGGACATTTTTAGCATTAATTTTTGCTTCCATAAGAAACCTGGTAAATATGAGCACATATTTACTTTTATCAGAAACGAGTTAAAACTTCTCGGCTGATCTTACAGCTGACCTGTTTCTGGTGAGCTAAAATGAGATCTTACCATCGACATTGTTTTTCCCCCTCGATGATTAATAGACGTTCCTATTGTAGCAAATAGGAAAAGGCAATGCTCACGTTTCTGCTTTTTACAACCAATCCAAGTGAACAGTGTTACAGCCTTGGTTGCTATGGATACACCTGACGCTATTTACTGCCTGTGGCCCTCTTTGTTTTGGCTTTCACATGACTTCCAAAGAAGTCATAAAAGAACGTGAAACAATCATAAATTTTTAAATGTAAATACAAACTTATCTGGATATTAAAAACTTGCTTGAATAGAAGTGTATTTGGAAATGAACAGTGGTAATACAGTTTTACAGCTTGCTACGTCTTCAGGGTGACAAACGATCTGTTTTGAGATTCCTTTCCCATAAACGGCTGATAGTGAGTTATCGCGATATTACACTGACCGTGAAAGAAATTCGAAGCTATCACGAGACTACCGTGTTCGACCCCCATTGGTACTCACGTACAATTTACGTACGTTTTGTGTCGTAGATTGGTTCAGTTTGCTGTGACTTACGTCGCGCATTTTGCGTAAATTGGGTAAAAGTAGTGAGAAGGGGGAATGTCGGCTTGTGAATGATCGGTGTTTGAGGCGGCAGGGAGCGTTAACATTATGGGTGAGACTGCCTCTGTCAGCTGCTCTTACAACTTACCAGAAAGCCTCGCTTTTAAATCATGGTGGTAATACTTTGAGTTGGGGTCGGTTGTACAATTTTAACAATCTGTTTAGCTTAGGCAGTTGTGGGCTCAACCAACGCCCAATCCGCCTCCAGTTGGATGGCTGTTAGCTTCGGTTCGCTAGCAGGCTGCTTAGCCTAACGGGAGTGCCATTTCCTGTCTTTAACTCTGTAGCAAAGTAGTTCAGTAAACGTTGATATTTGTTTTAAACACTAACCGAATGAACTATTGTAACACCCGGTTACATTTACACGTTGCTGTTTTAAAAATATAGTCTTAAAATGGCTGCATTTGATAACTAGCTTAATTGGGCTCGTAATTCTGATAAAAACTCTCACATATAACGCTAAGTAAGTTTAGTCACGGTGAATGTGTTGGGAGGCACGATGTGCGCTTTTGTGGTTTTTGTCTCGACATTTAATTTTCTCCAGGATTAAGATTAAACCCATTTGATCTAAGACCTATTCGAAATGTTTTTAATATACACAAGGGACCGAGTTATTTTCTTTTTTTTAGATCATGTACTATCAATATTTAGAGTAGCTCAGCATGAGTAACTGCATAATACCAACGCTGTAAATTCGGACATGGGTGATGCCAGGTTAGACATAAGGAGGTTACGGCTGCCATCTAATCTGGATTACAGTAGATCTAGTACCTCGGGGTTCATGCTTTGACTTAACTTTTCCGTTGCTTCAGATTGTAACCCGTAAATTGGAACGCTGCTCCCATTTTCTTTCTTTTCCCCCTCAAATAATGAGTAACCAGTCTAGGTGTTCAGCCTAAATCTGCACTCACTCTAAAATGTCACCTCCACCTGCTACCACTTCCTTTAGCAGACCTCTCAAATGTTACCGGAAAGGAAATACAGTTTGATAAACTGCTCTCTCATTTATCCACTTTGTGTTTTACACTAAAAAGATTACTGATAATGGTTTGTTAGTCCCAGATTCTCAGAGTGTGATGCTACTGGATATCAGCTGCAATTTCTGTTGGACAATCAGCATATAAAGTCCTAGAATCACACAAAAGACATGTGGGTTGCTGTTGGCAGGCAGGAAATGCTCTGGCATAAGAAGCAGAAATCCTCTCATAGCCACAAGGCTTAAACAAAAGGCTGCAACACTGAACGGACCTAGTTTATGGTGCTGCTGACATTAAAGAAGCAAGTGGAGTGGAATATGTACACATTTTACAGTTCCTGGCATTGTGATTTGTTTTTGTTGTATTGGTTCACACAACTTGGACACTGAATATGTGTTTTTTTCAGATGACCTGGTATTGATTATCTGTTGTTTTTGTGCTCTCTTTTTTTGTTTCTTTACAAACACTGACATCGTGATGATGATCAACACGGTACAGCTGTAAGTACAAAAATGTTGGTTATGTTTCAAATAACTGTCCAGTTCATTTTAAATAAACATTTCAGACTTAAAATTGACCAGGTTCACTGAGCAACCTTTTTTAACTTATTTTTTAATCATGATCGATCAGTCTGTGTTTAACATGAGAATGAAAATAGTCTAACTGCTCTGATTAAAAGCCGATCAGACATGCATCGCATTGAAAATTAGCGTACATGGACTCATCCATCTTGGCTTGGAGACAGAGAAGGATGTTGAGTTAGCATCCAAGGATAGAGCAGAGGTCATCTCAGCTAATGAAAGCTAGTCGTTAGCATTAGCAAATCCACCACATGTCAGAAATCCTTCAGGCTTCTGTTATTTGTAAAAATAAAACGTCAACGTTGCAGAGCAAACTGAGTCAGTGGTAGAATTGCACTTATGTTAGCCAATCAGAGGCGAGTTGTCCAAATATCAGGAAATAAGACTCCAAAACGTTCAATTTTCTGCTCCCCTTTTTGCTGGCTCATTTCTACTTCCTGAAAAAGGAGCGCCAGTGCTTCTTTCCCACAGAGATTGACCCACAAAGCATTAATTTATACCAAAGACTACTGCAAATGTGTGTGTGTGTGTGTGTGGGGGGGGGGGGGGGGGGGGGAAGACATGGTCTTTAAGCTTGCTAGTTAAACATCTCTGGATAATCTCTGATTTTAACTCTTGTCTTCTCTGCAAGGCGATATGATGGAATGTGATCCAAGTTTTTAAAGATGTAAAAATACACGTTTACAAAGCGTTTACCATGCTCGTCTTCGGTACTTGACATAACGTCACGTTATCGGCCATATTACCTTTACCTGCCATTTTTTATAGCAAAGTTTTATGCTAGTTTATTATATTTTATTCTACTTTATTCTATTTTTTAATTATATTATTCATGTTATATGTAGCACGTTAGTACCGAAGCAAGTTCCTAGTTTGTGAATCGTTTGTTCACTAACAATGGCAATAAACCTTTTCTGATTCTGATTCTTTGAGGCATATTTAGGAGTGTCATTGAAAGCTGAGGTGGTCAGAAGATTTTATTCTAGCCTATAATGAAATAAAGAGGCGCAGAATTGGACTGCTTTGTGGTTTTAATCTAAAAAAAAATAAATTCTGTCTTTCAGCAACAAAAGAACCTGGATGGATATGTTGGCTTCGCAAGCCTGCCCAACCAAGTGTACAGGAAGTCTGTGAAGAGGGGCTTTGAGTTCACCCTGATGGTCGTGGGTAAGAACACATACTGCTCAGCAATCGGTTTACTCACGTTTTTGTTTTCCTTGTGGCAAGAATTCAGTTTTCTCAGTATTTTTTCTCTTAAGAGGAATTCTAGTGTGTGTATTTGTGTAAAGTGATATTTACATACAGGAACCTTTCTCAAGTGTAGACTGCTGACACAGGAAGGATTTGCATCTCTCCTTTATTTAATGTCTGCCAGGTCCTTGACACTTTTCTCGCCAAAGCAAAACGTTTGGTTTGGATTTATCTACAACTGCACCCGGCTAATCAGAAATGCACACATTTTTGCTAAATGCTTGGATGTGGCTGTTGACTCTTGTCCAAGTTATTCCTTAGCCCTATTTGGAGGGAAAATGTGTCCCAGGGTCAGAACCATTTCCTGTGGAGGGACCAACAGAGTTTGTGCTCAGCAGGCATCTAGGAACATCGTGTTTTGTTCACAGCAGACAGATTCAAAATGTTAGCAAGTGCTCTTTTAATTGTTATTAGAACGTTCCAATAGAATATAACCACAATAATGCACTCGTTTTTCACTTTTGGATGGTGACCAAGTGAGTCTCTTCGGTCAGTTTTTTTGACAAATCTCTTGATTTTGGGCATAATCATAGAAAAGATGAGAAAAGGCATCACAACATGAATCGTAGAGGAGCTGCTTTGGGCGTTCTGGTAGTTTAATGCATCCCATTGTTCTCACACTCACACAATATTCAGCTGGTCCTGGTTCAGATTGGCCCCAGGCCCACATGTCCCCACCATTCCCACATGCGATGCATCACCGGTGTGGTGTGAATGAGGAAGAGAAATCAGTATGGCATCAGCTATCGTCGCATCAGTGTGCCACGTGATCTGCAACCTGTTCGCGCTTTTACAGAACAGCTCTTTGCAGCGCTTTATGCTGCGGTGAACAAAATAATCACGTAGTAGTCTAAACTCACGGTCACGTGCCTCTTGTATTAGGTCTGACACAAGCAGCACACATCCCTTTTAACTAGGGCTCTGCTGTAAACGCTGCTTGGTTAAATATTGACTCCTGGCCTTCAGCCAAGCCAGGCAGTGCCAGTGGTCATTTCCACTAATGATCCTTTTTATTGGGAGTTTGGAAACAGGGGACACAATGGTCAGCCAAGCTTGAGAAGACTCTCAGACCACACAGCCAGTCGGCAACACGTAACAAGAGCCATTGTCTGCCTTGTTTTTGCAGCACTCTTAACTGCTCAGCCCAAATAGATGGATATCTTTGGCCAAAGTCACTCATATCCCTGGAAAGGCACGTGATCCCTGGTTGTCAGCAGTAAACTTTGACTAACGTTTCATTCCAAGTAACGAAGCAGTTGTTTACAAACAGGTGTTCTAATCATGAGGGAGTGCAAGTCAGCATGTTCTCAAAATACTGATGCGTCTTCTTGTTTTGTCTATTTTTATTTTTATTTTTCCAGGTGAATCCGGACTGGGCAAGTCGACTTTGATTAACTCTCTGTTCCTAACAGACCTGTATTCAGCAGAGTACCCTGGACCTTCGCACCGAATCAAAAAGACTGTACAGGTATATTTATCAAATATATATATATATATATATATATATATATATATATATATATATATATATATAAAGTATTTAGAGTAATTGTTATTAATTTAATTAAAACTCAAATTTGTTTCCAAATCACAAACAAGTTTCTTCATCAGAAATCTGGACAGTCATGTTGACGAGCTAAAAACGGCAACAAAAGTTTTCCACACGCATGAGCTGATCTACTGCTATTGTTCATCAACAAGATGGCGATGAACAATGAATAGGAGATCGAGTTTACCACAAAAACCACTCAGTCGAGCACCTTAATCTTAATATCACAGCAAAACCTTAAGATAACATCCAAACTTCAGAAAACAAGACTCATTATTCAGAATAACAATCGATGAAAGGTTGAAACGGACTAAAAACTCCTGGTGTAAAAACCTCTACTTTCATGTTTTCACTCATACAGTTGTGATTTTTAAAGCCTTGGGTGCTCCTGCTGTATGACTGACAGCACTGGTGTCTTCTCAGGATGGTTAGCTAGCGGCATCAAGAGAGACTGCATGTTGGTGCATGCTACTGAGTGTTTTCTGCTGCTAGTTTTATACTTATATACTCGCATTGTAATGAAATCTTGTTTGTTCTTCAACAGCTGAAACTCAAAAATTAGAAAATGGTGCAAAAGTCCATTTATTTTAGTAATCCATCTTAGACCGAGAGACCCTCTAAAGGGTCAGGAACCCTGTGCAGGTGTTCTGGATTCATTAGCTGATTAGAGTGTGATACTTTTCACAATATTCTAATTGTTTGAGATTTCTTAATTTGGGGTTTCATAAGCTGTAAACCATAATCATCACAATTATAACAAAGCGTTGGGATATCTGGACTTGCATGTAATGAGAATCTCATATATTAGTTTCACTTTTTAAGTTAAATTACTGAAATGAATGAACTTTTACACCATAATCAAATTTTTAGAGTTTCACTTATAGATTTAAGTTCAGTTCGGTTTATTTATATAGCGTCAAATCACAACGAGTTGTCTCAGGGCACCTTACCAAGTAAACATTCCACTTAGTTCAGTTCATTAAGCCAGTTAGTTAAAATTCCATGCTGTAATTTAACGAAACATAGCGGGAAAACAGGTAAACAAAACTGCTCTGTGTTTCAAAAAAGAACTACAGCATGGAATTAGAGATACGGCACAGCAAGAACACACCTAAGACAGTTAGTTAAAAGTTTCCTATGTAAGGAATCCAAGCACATTGCGTTGAGTCACTGACTTATTGTGTCAGCGACTTTTACAGCAATTCTCATACGAAGCAAGCAGTAGTGACAGTGGAGAGGAAAACTTCCCTTTAACAGGAAGAAACCTCCACCAGAATCTGGCTCAGAATGTCTGCCATGAAACATACATGCTCTCTCACACACACACACACACACACACACACACACACACACACACACACACACACACACACACACACACACACACACACACACACACACACACACTAGGTGTTTATATACTAAGTAATGTTTCTATGGCTGCATCAGTTGCTATTTCTTAGACTATATTTCTTATCTGAATGAATCCGTAGATAATTCAACAGACTGGTGGTAGCGCTCTGTTAAAGAACGTATACAGTCAAGATCGGGAGAGGGAGATTGTTTAATGGGTTTAGTCAGATCTAAAAATTAGGGATGCTCTAATATAGAGGTCGACCAAAATAGATTTTTCTATTGCTAATATGTAGGAGACATGGTCAACCGATGGCAGATATGTACTGCAGATTTTCTAAGCCCGTTTTCATGGCCAATATCTAGATATTTTCATCTTATTTTCAGGCAAAATTGTCATTAAAAACACCTGTTGATGCACAAAATTTCTGAAGCTGAATTCGTTTTTGAACTCTGAATTTAACTCTTAAATCTTAAAGGTACATAATGTAGAAGATAACTAAAAATGGTATCCTGTGGTAAAATTGGGTTACTGCAACCACAATTCTGGAACTTTTTGCTGGCGCTGCAGTATTAGCTTGCAGGAGACACGGCAACCCCACACTCACTGATGGTAAACAGTTAAGTCCCTCCTTCCTTTGTTTTGAAAGGAGAAAAACTGACAATGCCTGCTGGATATGAAATATGTTTCAGTATTACCTTCCTTCCAAAATGACTGAAACATTAGAATATGTTGGGATTTCTCACTGTAAAGTTCTCATTATATTCTTACATACTGCACCTTTAAATTTGTGCACTGCTCAGTGTTAAAGTAAGACACCTAAATAAAGTAAATTTATTATGCAGATGTTATTAGTGAACAAAAAATACATTTTAATAAAATTCTGCAACAGCACCAGGCTCCCCAAAGATGTGCCCGACTTTAAACCGGCTTTACTAAGGACAAATATTGGCCCAGTATATCGGTCTACCCCTACTCTGATATGGAAATTTTGGCCATTATTGATATTAATACTCCTGTCCTGGCCAATAAACAATACTTACTGATATATTTATATATTTTATTACATTTTTGACATTGTGTCTCTTCTGCAGTCACCCCCCCACCACACACAAAATCCTTCGCTACATCACTAACACGTGCCCAAACAAATACCTTCTAGTCAATTCCCTCCTGAATATCGTACACAAACGCATCATGATGGGGAAAAAAAACATTGACTGTTAATATCAGCCCAGTTTTACTTATCAGGCCGATGCTGATAAGTAAAAAAATGACTAACACCGGCCAGTACCGACGTTTATGCTCATATATTGTGTGTTTCTACTAAAAATACTTAATTTGTCTCTCCTGTCAGGTGGAGCAATCAAAAGTGTTAATAAAGGAAGGCGGTGTCCAGCTGCTGCTCACGATAGTCGACACCCCTGGGTTCGGAGATGCGGTGGACAACAGCAACTGGTGAGACTGAAACTGCATCTCTGCTGTTAACAAAACTAGAGGTGTGACTCTTCACTTGTCTCCCGATTCGATTGCGATTATTGGGCCAACGATTCAATTCGATTCGATATCCCGATGCATCACGATTATTTCATATTGATTTGTTTTCATCGATAAATAGAAAATGTCAGATAATTGCTTTTTATTTTATTTTTATTTTTAATGAAAAACGTTATTGATACAACCTGCCATCCCTCAAAAACTCTCCATTCACAGCAGGTTAGGACAAAACATTTTAAACATTTAAGAAGATTTAACAAAGTAAAACATCTGTTTCCTCGTTCAACAGCCACACCTCAAGCTGAGAAAAACACGCTTTGCAAAAACTTACAAAATCTAAAAAATTACTGAAAACCTACAGGACACATAATGTAATAATAAAATACATAATGGGTTCATATATGAGTGTTTAATGTCTCTGAGCAGCTCTAGAGTCAACTATTTATGCCACAGTTCAAGGGTGTCAGAAATAACACCAAAGTAAATGTTTGACTTAGTTTGTTATTTTACCGTTTCTGAAATGTAGGAGAATGAATCAAGTTCAGTTTGATGCAGAAAATAATAAAACACAAAACATATTCTACACTTCCAATAATATTTAAGATGTGTGTTTTATTCTTTCTGATAATAACACCAGCAGAAGGCTGTGGGCTGGATTAGGATTAAATTACCCAGCTGATGGATCTCTTTCACTAACCAGCTAACTACAAACCTTTCCACTAACCTGTCCTGTGTGACCCTCACCATGTAATCCTCATGTCCATGCTGTCTCTGGAGGAGCAGATAGGAAACAAGATCCCCTGTAACTTAAAATGAACCAAAGCTTCCTCCCAGTTTCTCTTTAAGCTGAATTTAACATCAGTTTATCATCATGAAACAAAAGAATAAAGTGGAACAAGAACTTCTGTCTTCTATTTCTCTCTCCTTTTAACTTCTCCGTGTCCCTAAATAAAAGAGACAGACGATCACGCTACAGCCGCCGTCATTGACAAAACCCCCCCCCCCCCAAGGCCGGATCTCCCGGCATCACAACGCTCGGTCTGAATGAGCGCTTCGAGGAGAAATAATAATGAAATTATGAAAACAATAATGCGTGTTTTGAGCATCGGTTTGGAGGAACGTCCTCTGATCTTCTCTCGCGTGAGCAGACAATGTCTCTCTCTCCCTCTCTCAGTTGCTGTGCGAGCGAGCGGAGCGCGCCGCGTGACAACCCACGCAATTAACATAATTCATGGCCCTAATCCAACAGAACCGGTCGGGCTGATTTGGTTCCGGTTCGGTCTCAGGTTACAACTCTAGCGCTCAGCCCTGCAGTACCACCTTAAGGCGGAACAATACTTGGTAAATGTGGAGGACACTCACTCTGACAGATTTGAAGAAGAAGAAGAAGAAAATATCATTTACCACCACCTGTAGACGGTTCAGAATGACGGTCTCTTTATCATTTGGATGCTGCGCTGGTGCCGCCGTTAAAAAAACAAAACTACATTCCACTATTATCGATTATGGCATACTCTTCTACGATGCAGAATCGTTTATGTCCGCATCCCGATGCATCAATTATTTGATTATTTTCCTCAGCTCCAAACAAAACGGTGTTAAAATGCATCTTTGTCTGTAAACATGAAGTGTGTGGTCTTGTGCAGCTGGCAGCCCATCATCGACCACATAGACAGCAAATTCGAGGACTACCTGAACTCAGAATCACGAGTGAACCGGCGACAGATGCCTGACAGCCGAATCCACTGCTGCCTTTATTTCATCGCCCCCTCGGGTCATGGGTGAGTATGGAAGTTGTTTTAAGTGTGTTTTATGTAGGATTTGTTGTATTTTTTTTACCACACATGGTGGAATAAAGGTCCTAAAATGCAGAATTTTTCTACATGACGACACTGGAAGGAAGTATGGAGTGCATAGAACTTTAAAATGAAAAAGGTGGAAAGGGAAAGGGTGTGAAAACAAGGACAGGAAATGAGTAGAGAAAGAGTGCTCCAAAGGTCAAAGAAGCCATTCATATTTTGATTCAGCCTAAAAGTAACTCTTGAATTACTCCAACCCTTGGGGTTTTCAGATAAAATCCCCACAAAACATTTTTCTTGAGGTTTGAAGAGCTGAAAATGTGTTTTGCTGTTTAACTCAACAACATCTCTGCTCAGATAGTAGCTCTGAGTCACGGTTTCCTGCTGATTAAGGGTTAAAATTCGGTTTCGTAAGAAGGAAACGAGAGAGTCGAATTTCATTAAGCTGGCAAAATACCAAGCAGAGGATACGGATCATCAAGGGTTTCCTAAAAAAGATGGCTGTGTGGAATTTTAATTATGATGTTTATTATTCACAAGCCACCAGATCTTCTGCAGCTGGTCTACTGCTGAAATAGGCTCTCCACTGCTGACTTCTGGTTCATTTATCTGCTCTCATGTAGTTTCAGAATGTGTCACAATAGGAAAGTTTTATTCTCTACGTGTATTTCTTCACTCATTTCAGGTTCAGATGACAGCTTTTATCTTTAACTCATTCATTGCCAGCTGTTTCCTGATAAGTAAAGCCCTTCGCTGCCAGCGTTTTTCAGTTTTCACTGTTCTTTTAAGTCACAGAACATTGTGGCGCTAGGATGATGTCAACGCCAAAACTCACAGAACAAAGATAGACTCACCTTTTACATCAGGAAGAATCCGCACGTTTCCAGCGTTATCCGTTCTTTCGTAATCCGTTGTCGAATTGTGATCGGCAGAAGCTTTTCAGGTTCGCGCCTCACTTTTTTTTACTGCAGATTTAAAACGATCTAACACATGGATTTTCTGCTTCCTGATTACGTGACGTGTGACGTACGCGGATGAAGATCAGCTTTAGAGCTGGGATGTTTGTTCTCACGGTGCGGGGGCTCGTTTCGACGTCCACACATTCATGAGCTACATTGTAGCCACAGCTGCCCTGGGGTACACTGACAGAGGCAAGTCTGCCATGCACAGGCACCCCCAGTCTTTCCGACCGCAATCAGCAGGCAATGTGGGTTAAGTGTATTGCCGAAGGACACAACGGCAGCGAAAGACTGAGCAGGGCTCGAACTTGCAGCCTTCCGATTACGGGGCGAGCACTTAACTCCTGTGCCACTGTCGCCCATGTTCTAACAACTAATGGTAATAACTGGCTAATGCAAGCTAACTGATGCTAAATAAGCCACAAAGTAAAAAGATCTACAATGTTGGACAAAAATCCTTATTACTTACAAGTCCAGTAGCAACAAAGCCAGGTCTCCATTAGCCCTTGATTTCATAGCCTCCTTTAGCTTCCTCAAACTAGTGTAGGCCGCACCGATGTTCACTCTGGTTTTAGCTCTACCATGATGCCAACAAAAAAGTAAAATTCTTCTTCTTGTGCTTTTGACTGTTTGCTAATTGAATTAGCTAACTGCTAGCCTTTATGTTGGCACAGGAAATGGCTATTGCTGTAACGCAGATGGAGACCTCCCACTAGTGTTCCGATCCAAACCACAAAATTGTTAAATTCTGGTCAGCAGAGTGCTCTCCAATGTAAAGTTGATTATGTTTATGGCTCAAGAACCAGTGCAACCAGTTTAAAAGCAAAAGCTTAAAACTAGTCAGTGTTGCTTTAATGTAAACTAGTTTTTGTGGGTCTGCATTTTTTAAGCTGATGAGACTCAAGTTGCTGTTGTAGGGTTCTTTTCTTGTCCTCTCCCCATCTGCCTGTTTTATATGGGACTTTGTGTTTGCACAAGCCCGTGCTCTCGCCCACACAAGCGTGACTTTATCCTGGAGGATGGGCACCATATGCTCCCATACAGACCACAGAGCATCCCCATTTCACCACCCGACTGCTCTCACACAGCAGCACATTGGTCTCAGATAAAAGGCAGACATCCATACCATCGCTGCACAGATGGCTCTGAGTCAAACTCAGAATTTTTATTTTTATCATTTGTTTTTATTAGGGCTGCACAATAAAGAAGGAAAGAACATAATTTTTATATAGCGCCTCTCAAAATAAAAATCATGAGGCACTTCACATGAACCAAAAAAAATTTAAATGTAAAAAGTTTTCAATGTAAAAAGACTTTTTTTTTAATGATTAAAAATATGGTTGAAAAAAATTGATTAAAAAATTTAAGGAAAGGGAGAGAGAAAATGAATAGGAAAGAGGGAAATAAGTGGATCCCGGGAAAGGCGAAATAGGTAGAAAGAGCAGAATAAGGAGAGGGTGATGATGAAGGTCATGCAAAAGCCAGCTTGAACAGGTGAGTTTTCATCTGCTTTTTAAAGGAGACCACTGAGTCTACTGATCTCAGGCTCAGGGTATCGGCCGATGTTTTCAACATATCGGTATCGGTCCGATAAGGAAAACTGGGCCAATATTAACGACCGATATTTTTCCATCTTGTTTCCGTTTGTGTATTTGTTTCAGATGGTGATGATGCAGAATTTTATAGTCCTGTGTAATCATCTCAGAAGTGTAAATATGTGTGGTGTGTTTGTGTATACAATAACTTATTGCCAGTTCCACTTTATAGAAATAAAGCTAAACATTCACAAATTCAGCTTGCATAATTATCAGTCTATACAAAATTTGCTGATCTCAGAAGCATAAATCAGTATCTGCAAATACTGGTTATCAGCTATAATAGTCATATTAATATCTGTATCAGTTAGGGCTGGGCGATATGGCCTAAAATCAATATCACAATATATTGAGGATTTCACCTCGATAACGATAAATGGATTATAACTACGGATAAACGCACAAACGAAAGCCACATGTATTATGTTGAGTCACATTTCTCTCTTGCTTTCCTTCGCTCTCGCTCTTAATCTGGTAAAAACAATGGAAAGGGGTACAGCTTCTTAAAGGGATGTGAACGTTGCCAAACTACACACATCTTTTCATTATTTAATTATCAAATTTATTGACATGGAAAATTATTGAGATAAGAGTCAGAAATTTCGATGATATATTTTCGATTTATTGCCCAGCCCTAGTATCAGCCCAAAATAACTCCTGTCGATGCATCTCTAGTTTTTACGCTTGTTACCTTAGTCTGACTCTGCAGTAGCATGACTGACTGTCTCTGAACTACCAGTTTGAGCACAAACCAGTTTTCTCTTTTAGAGCCAACATGACTGTTGTTTTTATTGTGCAGGTGTGTGTTTCAAACAGGAAGAGCGCTGCGTTTCTATTTTTTTATGGTTTTGCATAATTGCACAAGCCTACAGGAGACCACTGATAGACCTTATGTAAATAACAACCCAGTCACATCTGTGTTTAGCTGGTGAATCTTTTGTTGCTGTTTCGTTTTTGTAAAGCTAAAATAAGGTGTTTTGGCTCAACAGCAAGAATGTTTTTTGCTGTTAAATGTGCATCACTTAGCTGTTTATTTAAATAATTGTAGGCCTTTGTGTGCTGTTACCCAGCAGTGTTTGTGTGGATTTGTCTCCTCTATTGGCCAGCTGTCGATGCCCTATTATAACTGTCCTTTTGTTGGATTTTTATTGCTGCTGTTTGTCCAGATGAGATAAGATCAGCTTCATATTTCTTGTTTAATTACCTTTTTTTGGCTACAGGCAGGGCACATGACCATTATTCACTCTCCTCAAACCTCTTAAGAGCTCCAGAGTCTGCTCCAGGGCAGATTTTAGCTCTGATGGGCATGTCTGCTGTAACCTCAAATGAATTAAATCAAAATATAACCATATTTTATAAATAAAAAAGGGGAAATTCAAAACTATAATTGAATAATACGTCTTGTAGAATGTGATCTACAGGCTGAAGATAAAAGATTCTACATCTGTAGATTAGCGGTTTGGTGCAGTTTGACCACGTTTTATCTGTTCAAAATTACACTGAACGTGGAAACCTTATCTTTTCTCAGACTGAAGCCCTTGGACATCGAGTTCATGAAACGGTTGCATGAGAAAGTCAATGTCATCCCGCTGATCGCCAAAGCAGACACCCTCACCCCGGAGGAATGCCAACAGTTCAAGAAGCAGGTCAGTGGTTTCCACAGCTGCAGAGAAAAAGACCTCAGTCCTTGTTTTTATAAATGTATGCGGTGCTCTTCGGAATGATCACAATGTTATTCATCACAAAGTTAAATACAGAAACACCCCTTTGGTCTAGCATCTGTTTCTGTAAACGTTTATGTAAACTTGTATCGACTGTAGATTCTAGAAGGGCGCTGTTGGGCTTTCCTGATACTCCTGCTGTTCACCGTGGTTCAGTCAGCCTTGTTGGTTGGTTTGAAAATACCTTACACAAATGGGACGTTACTCTAAATTAAAACTGAGCCATTAGTTCAGTAAGGCTTTGTCTCACTGGGTTGCAAATGTTGGCAACACATTGTGAACTAGAGCTAAACAATGTTACATTTGAGAGTCAACATCACATTCTACGTGTGTTATTGTAACACATTGTGCTTCAATGTCAATAGCAACTGGACTTGATGTTTTCTAATGTTTTGGGTACCTGACATGCAGCAATCCACCAGTCAGTCGTTTTTAGGCAGTTTGTGGAAGCAGACCACGAGGGGTTGGTTATGTGAGATTTTGTAGTTTTTCTTTGGCTATTTGTTGCATCAATCGACAACATGCTGCTCTGCCACTGGTTCTAGCTACACTTGAGAATAGGGGCGGTTTTTTAAAAGTGTGGAACACTGAAAAACCATTTAAAAATTCTCATTTCTGATCAGAATCAGTTTTTCATGCAGGCTGAATATAAAAATAGTCTCCTACACATCTCCTGCATTAGCTTCTAAGAGAAAATAGATGGTGAAACTCTAGGAGTTGAAAGTCACACTGTCGCCAAACGTTGATGGACTCACCCATGGTGGCTCACGACGGGAAACGCTGTTGTTGGTTTAGCGTCCAGGAGACTGCAGAGAACATCTACTGTTAGCATTAGCAACTTTACCATACACTAGAACTCCTTCAAACTTGTGTTATTTATGGAGATAAAACATCAGTGTTGCAAAACAAACAGTCAGTGGTAGAGTTATGTTGCTATTATCCAATCAGAGGCAAAATGTCCAAATATCAGGAAATAAGACTCCAAAACCTGTCATCTGAAGCTCAGCTGTGATGTGGCTCACTTCTAGTTCCTGGAAATGGTGCACTGGTATATAATTTGTCAACTGTTGGCTCTGATAAAGATCTCAATCTAAAGGTTGAAGCTAACATGATGATGCTAACGGAGGATATGATGTATACTTTGTAAGAAAAAGGTGCATCTGTTGGAGATTTAAGAAGTCTTCAGCCATTTTATTATGTTGGATTGTGGACATAAGACTTGTGGACTAATTATTTAATTGGAGGATGTTAATTGGACCCTTGTGGACAAAGAGATGGATCTGTTCTGTCTGTGATATGAGGCTTTGAACAGTGAGTTGCACATTGTTTTACATTTCAGAGTGGTTTGACAAAAGTGTTTAGAGTGCCTACAGTTATGATTTTATCAAGTGTTAAAAATGCTGATTTGACCGGGGAGAGTGTCTGTGATACGTAAAGCACCAACAGGGTTCATTTTCAACATGATCACCAAAGTGCAGCAAAGCCTAAAGTGGTTTTCAAGCCATCTGGGGGAAAAATCCTGTATTTTTTAATATTGCAGCGTTAGAGAAAACCTTAAATGTGGATTTGTTTTCCCCACTATCATGCTGCCCGATTGTGAATGGCATTCAGGAGTTTCCTACGGGGTCATCGACTTCATCGTGTCACTCTCAGGGTCTCGCTGTTGCAGTGCAGGGATTTAGAAAATGTTAAAAATTCAAAATTTCCTTTCTAGATCGATGGTGTGCTTGAGTCAGATGTGAGAAACAACAACCAGTTTTATAAATTGCAAAAAAACCTGAAACAATTAAAGACACTTTTTTACTGAAGTGTGACAAAATGTGTTGCCTTATAACCTTGAGGTGAGCTGGAAGTTTGTAAAACTTCTCACAAAAGTCACAACAGTTGAGTGTGACTCCTGAAGATTTGCACATTTTTGTCTTTTAATTTTGTATTTCAAACAAGTTGCCGACAGTCTGTTTAAACGTAATCAATATTGATTTATTTTACAGCTTAAATTAGAAAATATATGATGATAAATTACCAATTTACTAGTTGAGTTTCAGAGCACGCTCCTCCTTTCTCTCCAGATCATGCGAGAAATTCAAGAACACAAAATCAAGATTTATGAGTTTCCAGAGACGGATGACGAAGAGGAGAACAGACTGGTGAAGAAGATTAAAGTACGCAATCTGACAAGTTCTCACGGCCATATTTAGCATGAATAGGTGCCTCATAAGAGCCTATTTTTATCAATCAACACTGTTCTGCTAGGACAAGCTGCCGTTGGCTGTGGTTGGAAGCAACACGATCATCGAGGTGAACAGCAAAAGGGTGAGAGGACGACAATACCCCTGGGGGGTCGCAGAAGGTAACCATGTTTGTTCACTTCACAGAAAGATTTTATTACACAATTAAAGTTTTAAACATTTGATTTTTTATTTTCCAGTGTGTTAGGTTGTTTAAGAAATTCTGTCATTGGCTTTTCGGGTACAAAATGATCTTTAATTTGGTAACGGATGTTTTATTTTTGACTTCTAGTTGAAAACAGCGACCACTGTGACTTCACCATCCTCAGGGACATGCTCATCAGGTACAACAGCAGGCTTTCATTTAGTTATAAGGCCGTAACAGTACGTATAGCTTAGTTTTACTGTCACTGTGAGGGAACAAAGTGGGGAAATAAAGTTTGTGCTGTGTAAACCGGTACGGCTTTGATGACATTTGAAATAAAACTTTACTTCCAGTAAATTCTCCAGTGAAAGATTCTCAGATAACAAAATGTATGAAATAAAAATGAAGGATATGTATGTGTTTATATATCTTTTATGAAGCTAACAGTAGTACTGTCTTTCTCAGCTGTAGCTGAAGCAGGCTGAGCTGTTGGAAAATAGTTTCTCTCTTTAGGAAATTAACATTACAATGTCTCTCTTCTCACTAGGACCAGAGGCAGCTTGTTTATAATAAGCCCCTTATTCCCGTTTTGATGCTTCCTGACCTTTTAGCCAGCTGAATCCCTTCTGGGTTGCTGTGCTGTTTGTTTTCTCCTTGGTGTTTTTTTGATCAATTGTTGCAAGACCTGCCAAGGATAACTGGATAATCCAGATCATATTTAAGATGCCACGTTCAAATAAAGACAATGGTTTTAAACCGTATGTGCCCACCTACATTCATAATGAAGGTGAGGTAACAAACTTCTTCTTTAGGTTACTAAGTGATGATGCATGCTAGCTCTTTACTAGCCAAAGTTAGCACAGTGTTGAAGCAATGCTAACAATGTTATCAGAGATACATTAACATCATGAGTCTTTTTTTTTGGTATCTTAAATGCTAACTCTGCTGACGTGTTAGCGTTTCTTCCTCACTGTGCTAGTAAAGAGCTAACATGTATCATTTAGCTACCCAAAGCAGAAGCTTGTTCACTTACCTTTATAGTTATGAATGTAGGCACACATACAATTGAAACCCTTTGTCTTTATTTGATAGTTGCGTCTTAGATGTGGCCTAGGTTATGTTATGTACGTTGTTGATCGTTATTCTCAGCAGTTCCTGCAGCCATAGTGCACAAATACCACGGAGTACAGTAACGTTACTGTGACCTGGAAATGATTCAACCGGCTAAGAAGTCAGGAGGTGTCAAACCAAAGGTCTGTGACCTATTTCACAGCTCTTTGATTTATAATCTTCCTGGTTAATGAAGGGCTTTGTATCTGGGACCAATACCAGGCTACGTGGACCGGGTCGGTCAGATCCTAAATTTCTGGACGAGTCTGTCCTGTACCAAACATTTTTGTAACAAAACCGTTACTCTGGGTCACACACACTGCTAACAGTCCACAACAAAGGCTTTATTTAGCTTTTCCTTCACCTCTTAAAGAGTTCCTGTCTCAGTCTTCTCACGTCTCCTTCGACATCTCCATAGATAGTTTCATAATTTATCTGTAGTCGGAGGATTACATAGACAGATCTATGATCTGCTTCCTACACACAGAACTCACATGCAGGACCTGAAAGACGTGACAAACAATGTCCACTATGAAAACTACCGCAGCAGGAAGCTGGCCGCCGTCACCTACAACGGAGTGGACAACAACAAAGCTAAAGGACAACTATCCACCAAGTAAGTCCTCCAGCTGGTGTCTTTGCAGAGGCGTCCACCCTAACATCTGTCCCATCGAGTGATCGGTAGAAGACTTTTGGCTGTCATGTTGTGATGGTGATCAGACTTTGTAGTCTGATTTTAAAAGTATTAACGTTGTATGTGAAAGGAAATCTGCAGTGTTACAGTAGTTCTTACCTTCTGTTTGAGGTTTGAAAGACTTTTTGACATTTCTCTGATTTGAACTGATTTTCTCAAAGTCTCCATTGAAACTCCAGTGTTGCTTCTTCAGTCATAATGAGATGAAATACAAATGTCTAACTCTCTAAGCTAACTCATAACTAAACACTGATTCTAACACACAGCTACATTTTTGCTAATGTTACACTCGGCTCACAAAATCAACCTTTTCTGTTTTCCATCTGCAGATGAGAGGCTAGCCTGAGTCACCCAATACATTTAATAATACGGTTGCTAGTGCATGACCTCATTGCATGGTGTGTGTCTGTGTTTGTGTGTGTTTTTGTTTTTAGACTTGACACAGTTGAAGGGATGTAAGTGATCTTTTTTTATTACATTTGTTTTAGCTCCTTTAAGATTCCACCTTTTCCTGACGCCCTTCCTGTTTCTCCCTCCGTGGTGGCAGCATTTGGATGTTCTTTCCTTATTTTTGCTCCTCCCGACTCGTTGGTGTGGGTTCCGATTTTTGAGGAGGAAAACTAATTTGGTATTCCTCCTGCATGTCAGAAAGGTTTTCCAGCTCGGGTTGTGACTTTTGAATTTGTTTTCCAAGACAAACTCTTTCCATCTGTGATGTTGACGCCTTTCATATAAGCTCACAGTGGAGGTTTGTGCTTGAAATTTTTGGAGCGACTGCAAATTCAAAGGAGACATGAAGGTTTTCTCTTGTCACTCTTGATTTGACGTTTATAAACTAAATTCAGATCGGCTAACGGTTTAATTACTAATAAAACCACAAACCTATATTCCTGAAGTTTCCTCAGCTCACGTCAGAGCTCTTGAAGAAAAACAGGAAAAGAACGAGGCTTGATGGAATTCCTGTTTTTTGCAAATTCAACTCATTCAGATGAGTATAACAGAAAGCCATCTGTTCCAAGTTCTAAACACAATAGCTAAACTTTAATAATCAAAGTGACCATATTGGGTTATTTATGTAGGCTGTGCAGGCTGCAAGTGCTTAAGTAGTTATTTAAATAAAAATTAAGAGTCCTTTAACACTCTGGAGGTAGGCGTTACAGATTTGCAACGTTAAAACCTACCTACCCGGTTACTCCACATACGTATTTCACGAGCATTTTTAACTCAGAAGTACCCTTGAGGGACTTAGTTGTTCGTCCTTTTATCAAAACTTATTTTGAGCCTGAGAGGGCTAAATCTGTCAGGGCTTGTTGCAACTTTTAACCTTTAAGTATTTGGTTGAGTTTCCTGTACCGGTGCACCATTTCCAGGAACTAGCAGTGACCCACGTCACAGCCGAGCTTCAGAAGGCGGGTTTTAGTCTTATTTTCTGATATTTGTACATCTCGCCTCTGATTGGCTAACAGCAACATGACTGGCACCATTTGCTCTGAAAAGTTGATGTTTTAGCTCCACAAATAACACAAGCCTGGAGGAGTTCTGCTGTGTTGTGGAGTTGATAATGCTACCTGTTAGCTTCTACTAGCCAAGATGTTCTCTGCTGTTTTCTGGACACGAAACCAGCAACAGCCTTCCTCGTCATGAGTCAACATGGGTGAGTCCATGAATGTTAAATGACAGTGTGACGTTGATCTGTCAGGCTTTTCAGATCCTAGAGTTTCTCCAGTTATTATCTATCAGAAGCTAATGCAGGAGATAGGTGTAGGAGACTATGCTCATGTTCAGCCAGCATGAAAAACTCAGAGCGATTGATTATAATCAGAAATAATCATTAAGAAAATATTTTTTCAGTGTTCCATACCTTTTAAAAAAAAGGACTTTTAATCTGGCCTCATTTCTGTTTTTATTCCTGCCTTCATGTGATTCGGTAAGCGCTTCACAGATTTCATGACTGTCCTCTGGGCTCTTGCTAACTTCCTACAGAGCTTCACTAATCTGCTACCTTCACTTTCATCATGTGTTGTTTCCTGTCACAATGTTGGTGGGTTCAAGTCATTCCTGCACTTCCTTTATGGTCTTTTTTCTGAGGAAAAGCACGATGAAGTTGTCCCATTAGTTTGTTCGAAGTCCAAACAGAGGCTTTATGTTCCACTTTTTGTCTTATTTCTACCAAAAATTAAACAAAGTGGGGGGAAAGCATAATTTGCAGTCGTAGCAGGGTTGCTTGACTAAGGCAGACATGGAGCAGGATGAAGCAGAGCCTCTGAAGATGACCTGGTCAACAACATGAAGCTCCAGAAAAGCGACAAGGGAGAGATAGACGGGGAGAATGAGAGAAGCTAAAAGCATTCAATATAGTTTGGAGCGTAGACGATGAGACATGAAGCACATTAAACCAAAAACTGGAATATTTAGATGTCTATATTCATTTGGAAAAAATTCCACAGTGTTATTAGGGCTGCAGCAGAAAACGAGCAGTTTCCTTTACTCAGGAGCTGGGTTGTGGACACCGTTAGGAAGGCAGTGATGTAATCAGGAGAAAGGTGGGGAAAATCCTAGTGCTTAACCCAGAGCAGGAATCTTTGTCCCTCTTTTGTCTTTTCCTGCAAACTCCTCCAGTGTGCATGCTAAACCTCGGAAAGGAAAGGAAGGCTTGTTCGTTTCCTGTTTTCATGACAAATAGGTTCAAAACTTTGGGTTTGTTTATGAACGGCTCTGTTTGTGTAGTTAGGAATGTGTTGGCATGTGTGTGCTGGCAGTACCTTTCTAACTGTGTGTGTGTGTGTGTGTGTGCGTGCGTGCACGTGTGTGTGTGTGTGCGTGTGCGTGTGTTGACACACTTCCTTTGCAGGAGTCCTCTGGCCCAGATGGAGGAGGAGCGGCGAGAGCATGTGGCCAAAATGAAGAAGATGGAGATGGAAATGGAGCAGGTGTTTGAGATGAAAGTCAAGGAAAAAGTGCAGAAGCTCAAAGACTCTGAAGCAGAGGTAACACACACACACACACACACTGATGTTGCTTAACCCTTTCTGGGTGGCTTCATGCTGATGTGTCTGTGGTTGAACGAAGAAGTGTTATTTAGCTTCGTCACATTCACACAGTAGCTCCTGCTAGGAATGGACTTGTTTTATTTCAACAAGAAAAAAGTGTGAAGTGTGAAACAAACTATTTATGAATTTATTCACAGTTGCAGTTAGTTTCTTTTTCAGTTAACAATTTCATTTTGCACAAAATAATTTAAAAAATTGTGTTTTCTTAAACAACTCAAAACACAATAGATTTAGATTTAGGAGGAGCAATGTGGTTGTTGTCCTGATCATGGAGCACTGGACCAGCTCAGTACCCTTAGGGGGTTCTGGAGGGTGCATGGGAGTTCGTCCAACCGGTCTACATGTGGATTTGAAGAAGGCGTTCAACCGTGTTCCTTGAGAGGTCCTTTGGGGGGTACTTTGGGAGTATGGGGTACCCGGCCCTCTGATACGAACTGTATGACGGTGTCGGAGCTCGTTCCCGGTGAGAGTTGGACTCCACCAAGGCTGCCCTTTGTCACAGATTCTGTTCATAACTTTTATGGATAAGATTTCTAGGCACAGCCAAGGTGTTGAGGGGGTCTGTTTTGGTGGCCTAAGGAATGAGTCTTTGCTTTTTGCAGATTGTGTGGCCCTGTTGGTTTCATAAGAACATGATCTTTGGCCCTCACTGGAGCGGTTCACAGCCAAGTGTGAAGCAGCTGGGATGAGAATCGGCTTCTCTAAATCCGAAACCATGGTCCTGAGTTGGAAAAGGGTAGAATTCCTTCTCCAGATCAGGGACGAGGTCTGAAATGAGCTTTCTCTGTAGGGTGGCTGGGCTCTCCCTTAAGCCGGGCGTACACTGTGCGACTTTTTCACTCGCAGCGTTCAGCTTCAGCTCAAACTGTATGACTTCCTCGCAGAGCAGATCTCACGAGTCGTGTGCTTACACTGTACGACCCAGTTCTCGCATGCGACCTGACTGCTCACACTGTACGTCTGGTAGCAACACGTCGGCCCTAAAAATATGCTAAAAATAGCAGTTTTTACTCAACACGTCAGACTTTTTTGTCTTGCCTGTTGTCCTTCGGGAGTGCTGCAGGAGGACACACAGGGATTTATGGGGGTTGGATGAGGAAAACGAAATAAAGAAAGTAAATATGTGTTTTGTGATCAGTTTAATTTGACATGAACACGACAAACACGCTTTCTTGACAATCTTTGTGAGTAAAAAAAACGTGTAGAAACAAAAACGAACAGCGTGTGTTATTAGGGAAATAGCGAGCGACCGGCGTTGATGCAGGATTGCGCGCGCATGCGCCGTGAGCGGCTCTGATACTTTTTTGGATCGTAGCTGCTCGCAGCGCCGCTTCAACAGTGTGATACCCTCACGAGGGACGAGCGAAATATTAAACACACCAGAAGTCCCTGCGACCTCACGACTGCTGATCGGCGGCTGGTCACGTGGTGTTAATCGCCTCTCGTAACCCCCTGTACACTACACGACCGCTCGGCGCAAAACTCGCCCCGATGTCGTGGATTCTCGCACGACTGGAAAATCGGCTCAAAAAAGTGAAAAAGTCGCACAGTGTACGCCCGGCTTTAGAGAGAAGGTGGGAAGCTCAGTCATTCGGGAGGGGCTCAGAGTAGATCCACTGCTCCTCCACATCGAGAGAAGCCAGTTAAGGTGGCTCGGGCATCTAGTTAGAATGCTTCCTGGACGCCTTTCTGGCGAGGTTTTCTGGGCACGTCCAACTTGGAGGAGACCCAGGACACGCTGGAGTGATTGTCTCTCTGCTGGCCAGGGAATGCCTTGGGATTCCCCCAGAAGAGCTTGAGAGAGGGAAGTCTGGGGCTCCCTGTTTAGGCTAGTGCCCCTGCGAACCGACTCAGGGAAGTTCCTGTAAATGTACCCTGAAGTTCTAAACAGTGGAAACACGCCTTGTTCTGCAGTTAGCGCTGTATTGTTGATACTGAAATGGGTTGGGACATGCAGATTTAAGAGTGTGTGTCTAAGCTTTTCTCAGAATGAACCGTTTCTTTGTGGCCATTACAACATCACTAATGTACTAGTACAGCAGACTTTCTGGTACATTAGACACGCCATGCTGCCTTTATTCAACAACAAGGTAAATGATGTTTAGGATTCTAGGACACCTTTAAAATAATCCTTCACTGAATAAAGGGCCGATTCAACCCAAGCTGTTATTTTTACAAGGACCTCCAAGTATTTTTCTATTTGTTTCCATTTGTTCAGCTGTTTATTTTTCTGTAAACAGCTGACACCCTCATGTTTATTTATGGAAGAGCTCAGAGGGCCTTGAGTTGACTGGTGCTTTAGACTGATCCCTGCCTCTTCCGTGTTTCATCACAGCTTCAGAGGCGTCACGAACAGATGAAGAAGAACCTGGAGGCTCAGCATAAGGAGCTGGAGGAGAAGAGGCGTGTCTTCGAGGAGGAGAGGGCTAACTGGGAGACCCAACAACGGCTGGAGCAGCAGAAACTAGAGGCCTCCAGGTAACTAGCGAGCTACCATTTTGGGTCAAATCAAATCATGCAAAAGTAACAAACTGGGAAATGTCTGCTTGGTACCTTTGAGGTTCTTTATTGCATTTTCCACAGTCAAAACAAAAGGAAAGGACCTTTGTCTGCGACTATCTGTTAATTCTCCGTTTTTGTTGCAGGACTCTGGAGAAAAACAAAAAGAAAGGCAAGATCTTCTAAAGACAATTGGCAGGACCACCCCAACTCCAGTTCTTTTTGTTTGCCAAGGTCGCCGGTCAGAAAACCAGAGCGTGGAACTGACACCTCCCCGCCTTCATCTCCCCTCCTCATCCTTGCCGTTCCTTTTCTCCTGTGCTCCACCTGCTCCCAGCCACCAGAGGGCGCACTGAGAGCAGTTTTTTTTCTGTAAGAGGCATAGGAGCTCTGTGAGTACAGCCAGAACTGCACCCACAGAGCCCCCCCACCTGCCTCAGGACTCCTCCTCCTCATCATCATTAAGGAATGTCTTTGCCTTAACAGACAAAATAACCCAATTTCTTTAAGGCCAAACCCTTATTATTTTAAATATTATTGTTATTACGATGTTATTATAATTGTTACATAATACTTCCCCGCTCCTACATGCTGTTCTTCTTGTTTGTTTGTTTTTTCAACCCCAAGGTTGCTTTAAATGATCGTTTGTACAAATATATGGAAAGCAAAGACTACAACAAACACCCCTGAGTCACATTTGACTGTTGTACAATCGGTTTCTGTCGGATTATGTTTGTTTACAACAAAAGAGCAGTGTTTGTAAAGGACCCTGAAACAGAATGAACTAAATAATTACGTTTTGATTTGGAAATGTTGGATAAACCTCCAATCAGTGAAACAGGCTGTCACCAGAAAAGGCTGAGATCAAGTAAAACATTAAGATGCACCTTTGGCCTTTTTATAAACTTTTAAAAAAGTGGCAAAAGTTTGTTTAATTTTGAATTGTTACACATTCTTTTTCCTTTGTGTTTAGCTTTTTCCTCTAGCCTTGGACCACCATTTATGTCATTCATAAGTGTTATATTTCACTTTAGTTTATTTTTATATATACCGAGCCAGCGGAAGTAATACCTTCTTTTGTATGTTTAGAGAAAACCCTCACAGACTGACAGCAGCGGCCTCTGTTGAACTCAAACAAAAGTTTTCTGGAGGCTTTTGTAAAATCGGAAATCTTTTGAGTCTTTCTGCAGAAACAGACCGGTGGAAAATGATGAGTCGACTCCACTTTTTGCTTTGGCTATGTACTCCATTTCTGTATTTTTAATTTTATTTTTCATTTGTAATGTACAATGTCACTTAATAAACATGTGATGGTATTTAGGAGTGAAAATGCTTTGTTACAAAATTCGTCTTCCCATTTTAAAATGGCACCACTAGATTTCGCTGTTTGCTCTAAAGTTTTTAACGATTGCGTGAATCTAGTGGAATATTCAAAATCACATTTCTATGAAACGACAACAGACCGAAGCTACTGATTCTACTGAGGCATGCAGCTAAACAACAAAACATTTTGTTTTTTACTGTCCCAATCTTCCACCTTCCAAAAGCTCACAGGGCTCCTGCAGGGAGGAAAGCAGTCGTCACCAAACAGATTTCAGTTGCATCATCGTAAATCTGGCGGCTCCATGAATAAATACCTTCGTAATCAGACCTCCTTTTACCCATCAAGCCTACGAAGGTTTGAAACTTGTGCCCTGAAAGTGGGGAAAAAAAGTTCTGCTCATGTTTTCTTTCAATCATTTTAAATTTAAAGCCCAAGAATTTACTTACTTTTTCTTGCTGTTTGTATTTTTCCTGCAACGAAACAAACCTATGAGCCGTCATTAGATCTAAAAGTAGCGACAAAGATTGTTATGGTAACAATGATGGAAACTGGAAGTCTTACCACATCCTTTCTTCCCTCTGAGACTGAAATGTTGGCGTAGTCTGGGGTTTCTGGTCATTTCCACTAAAAAGTCTCGGATCACATCAGTGTTTGGCCATTTGGTCTTCCATTAAAAAAAACATTTCTACTAGATTAGAACCTAGGAATTAACCTGATTATGTGAATAAATGTTTTAAGTATAAAATGAGTCAATGAAGCGTGTCTTACCTCTTCGATTCGTGCTCTCCAGCTGTCAGCGTCCAGCTCTTGACAGAAGACGTTTGTCAAAATCAGCGCAGTTATAAGACCAAGTTTAATCATCTCCATCGATCCGGACTGTGGAACTCCAGAAATATGATGTGAGCCAGAGACTGATGAGCAGATAATCCACACCTGACTGCTGGACGGATCCAAATGCTCAAAAAAAAAAAAAAAACTAATTGGTGCAACTCATCGTTAGCATACAGCAGGGGTAAATGGTGTGGGTTCATTCTGCTCAGTAGGAATAATTCTATCTCAAGGCTTCATTTGGACATTATAGTGGGACAGATGGACATTTTAGTTAATTTTATAAAGTGAAATTCAAGGATTGTTTTGTAGAAAACAAAATAAAAGCAACTCAGCTGCCAGTAATGTGTTTCTTTTTGGCTGAAATGTAAATTTCATGTATAAAGATTAGAAAATAACATTTACTTAATTGGATATGTGGTTGCACGGTGGTGCGATTGCTATCTCTGTTTCCTGCAAATAAGTTGCAGGTTCAAATCCCAGCAGCAGCTTTTCAGGATGGAGTTGTTCTCCCCGTGCATGTGGGTTTTCTCCAGGTACTCCAGACCAAAAACATGCATCTCAGGCAATTTGGAGACTAAATTTGTCCCTGAAAGAGAGTGTGTGATGGAAGGGAGACATGTCCCCTGCCTCTATGTGAGCCCACAAAAGACTTTGTGGTTTTTAATGGTGTTTAAAGTGCTGAATGGACTGGCTCCAGGCTATTTAATGGAGTAGTTGCAGCCACATACTCCTGCTCGAACACATACAGTCACAGAAGCAGCTGCTGCTTGTGGCTCCCACGGCTCCGTAGAAGTCAAGAGGAGATAGGGTGTTCTCTAGCCTGGCAAGCCAGACTAAATAAATGTATTATTTAGTCTGGCAACGCTCCATTGACGGCTCTCGGTTGTGGGGCGGGTTCTACCGTTGTCTTTCAAATGATCTCCGCATTCCACTGGACAAAGAATGTGACATACTCTTGTTTCACTCTGTTGCATCATCCCACCCACCAGGCATATAGAGTGCCCTGATTGGCCCACAAAGCGGATAAAGCTCTGTGATTTGTTCACTAAGCAGAAAGAGCACTATGATTGGCCCACCATTATGGACCAATCACAGCTCTTTATGTGTTTGAAACCCCTCTAGAGAGCTGTGATTGGCCAGCCAGAGTCCTGGTAGGAGCTGTGGAGGTTCCAATGGAGCATGCCTAGACCAAACTTTGCAAAGCAAGAATTTGGTCTAGTTCTCTAGGCTAGGTGTTCTCTGTAGCTGGACCGAAATTGTAGAACGCACTGCCCCTAACTGTTAGGCTCTCTCCATCAGTAGCCGGTTTTAAAATGAGGCTGAAGACCTACTTTTAGGATCCAGCTTTTAACTCTGTGGGTTAGCCATTGCTGGTGTTTTACATGCTCTTATTTCACTTGGTTTTATTTGTGTCTGTTGGTTTTATCTGTTTTATTTTTTTCATGTACAGCACCTTGGTAAGGTAATTTAAAAATAAAGGCTGAGTTGAGTTGAGTAGAAAAAGAACGGGGAAACCTATGACACTTTTCAGACTGAAATTGTTTTAAGACCTTTTTTTTGACCCACCCCATTCTGACTACCCATTGGCTCATCAATCAATCAGTGCTATTCTGTTTCTCTTTACTGAGGCTGTTCAGAAGAACATCGCTTAAAAAAATTTCGTTTTATCTTAATTTATTATGTTTTTAGATGATTTCCAAACGAAATATTGCTGATAAATAGAAAAACTGAATTAGAATCGCGTTTATTTTCTAAGCTTTGTGTCCTCTCGGGGCAACCGTAGATAGTGTTGGGTCCTCCCAGAGCTTCAGCTCCTCTTGATATAAAAGGGAGAAAGAAATCTGCCAGTTTTGATGTTTGTATAAGTTTGGTTTTTTTATTTTTATTTGTAAATAAAACTCAGCTGATGTGACGTAAACTGGTGGTTCGTGGTGAGTTCACTGTCCCTGTCCAGTAGCGGGAAAATGGCATTGCTGCCTTTAGGCTCCGCGGTGTTTTTGTTCCTGGTTGTGACCTCTCATGTGACAGAAGCAGCGGGGAGACCGAAGCGCCGGATGAGCCTGTCTGAAGATGACAACTGGCCCCAGAATTTCGCCAGCTCTCAGCCAGGAGCCGGGCCGGAACCCGGGGACGTGGTGTCCGCCTTCACCGTCTCCACTCTGGGTGGGACGTTCTCCTACCTCCCCGGAGCTCTGAACGGCTCTCTGGTCATTCACGCCTTCACCAACAAGTCCGGGTTCCTGGAGAGTCTGTGGAGCTCCGAGTCCTCTCTGACCAGTCTGGTTGATGGTCTCCCGGACAGTACGCAGGTTCTGTTTCTGTCCCTGGACGACTCTGCGGTCTCAGATGTTCTGTGGATGAGGGAGCAGCTGCAGCGGGTCGCGATGCGCAGGTGACCGAGGAAGAAGCCCTCATTCAGGGGTCAAGATGGGAGAAAAGTGGCTGAAAGTTTTAATCACAAAACATTTGTGCAAAAGTATTTAACATGTTATAATCATACAGTATACATGTAAATACCCTCAAAGCAATGATTTTTAACTTCTCCCCCAATTTGATTCAACCTGCATTAATGTGAAAAGATTGAGTTTAAATGGGAAATTTTATGACTTTTTAAAAAGTTTAAATAGTTCTATGGATGATACCAATCATGAAGTACTTGGCATAAAATCCCTCTCACATTGTCAGCAGTTTTATTCTAGATATTTTTAGTATAATCCAGAATGAGCCATTTGTACTTAACCCATTTGTGACATCACAAATGGTTTGTTTAAGACACATTTTCCTGAAATCAAACACTGACTGAACATGGATGTAATTTTGGAGCGTTTATAGAGGCAGTAGAGACCCACATGGAAGCACAAAAGGTCCGTTGTAGGACTGGGCGATAGGGCTCAAATCAGCTGTTCACCTCTAAAACGTTAAGTGGACAATAATTACCCATACACCAGCAGTTAGAGGGAGCGGCGATGGTAGATTTGGTGAAGGAGAAGTGTGTTCCCACAAATATCCTTAGAAATTTTAGATTTGGTTGCCGCTGCAGCTTCCACAGTCGTTTATGTACTGCCCTTGCCCACTGCTTCAACATTTGAATCATCCTCCATTTCCTCACTCTTTCCCTTCTTGTTACAGATCAGATGGGGTAGAGTCACATGACTACTCCCCATCCAGTTTGCAGCATCTTAAAGGAACATCATAAAGGACCATCATATCACATCAGCATAAATGTAATTTATGGACACTTTTTCCTGCAGAAGGAAGGAGGTTCTGGCCCAGTTGCACTTCTCTCCTGTGCCGGTTTTCGCTCTGGGGAACTGGATCCCGAGTGTGTTTTACTACTGGGGCTGCGTGGGACACAACTGTGGTCTTTCTCAGGCCGTTTTCACCTGTGATGGTAAGAATGATGTCAGTTCTCTGAAACATTGTTTCTCTTTTTCCAAACTCTTCAGGATAAAAGTCTCTGTTGTCCTGTTTCTTCCTGCAGGATGCAAAATGCCCATCGTTATTAAGAGACTGGATGCGAGGTACGACTGGCTCGTGGCCCGCTGGAGTTCATCGTCCTATCAGCTGGTTGATGTGGGAGACGGGTGTGACCTGTCGCCCTCTGTAGCCGGCTCTGTGGCCTGGGTCTCTGAGGTCAACTGCTCTTTCTTCAATAAGGTCTGTAAATGTTAAACCTTCATCTACCCATATTGAGTTTTAGATCTTTAAATCATTAGACCCGTACGTAATCTCTTCATAGGCCAATTTGTGAACAGCACTACTTTTTTTTCAGTATTTTGCTGAACTTTGCATCATTTACATCACATTTTTGCTTTAAGCAAGCTAGATTTTCCGTCTGAGCAAATGTTGCTCAACCGTTTAACATAATCTAAACATAAAAAAACACATAAACTAACAGTGAAACCTGTGTTGGAACAAAGAAGAGTCCTAAATAAACTGCAGAGTTTACTTTGGACAGCAACAGAGTTGTTAACATGAAAAATAGATGTACTGATAGGTGTCCATGTTGTCCTCCAGGTTCAGAACATGGCCCAATCCAATGCCGCAGGTGTCCTTGTCTACTCACTTCCTGGGAATCCAATCCAGGACATGAACTGCGTTGGGGATGAATGTAACTATCCTCTTAACATTCCGGCTGCCATGGTACATGAGGAGGTTTGGGTCACTTTGGCGCTCCGGTAAGACCGGCTCACATAAAGGATTAAATGTGGTTAAATAATCCCTTGGCTCCTGTCCAGATCTAATATTAATGAATTTCTGGGGTTAACTTGTTTTATTTAAATGCAAACTTGTTTTCAGATACCTCGTGATGATAAGATGTTTTATTTTGTAGGTCTGGGCAGTTGGTGAATGTTTCTTTCCAGACGACCCCATCTCCAAATTTCTTCATTGGCATTGACCAACAGGGCACTCTGGCTGAGATGGGCTGGTTCCTCTACCCAGCCTTTAATTTTATTAATTGGCAGGCCCAATGGTATGAAGTGACATGATATGGAAAAACACCCAGTAATTCTGCGTTATTCCTACTTCTTTTATATTTATCCCCGTGTTAATACACAATTCTGAAACACTAAATTGCTGCAAATGGCAGGTTTTTATTTATAGTCCAGTTAGGACTAAATAATTATACAGATATGAACATCTTCATTTTTTAATCCATGATGTTTGCAACATATTTATAATTTAGGCTGTCCTAATTGAAGCAGAGTGGCTGATGCTCTAAATATTTAACTTTTGTTGACTAGTGACCTGTCCAACATGTACAAAATTTAGTAGATTCGTTTTGCCAGGGACCTGGTGAGTAAAACCTATGAGGTGTGATTGTCGACATGCTTAAAAACAAGACGTAAGAACTACGGATGTCCTCGTCCAGATTCCGAGATCGGATCGGGCCGATTTTTTCATATTTTTCAGTGATCGGAGATCGGCAATTATAACAGACGATTATTGCCGATCTCCTGAAATAGACTATGAGCATGTTAGCATATGCTACTTTTGGGGGTAAAACTCCTGTAGAGGGCTCCTTTTCCGGTGTGATAGTCTTGCCCTGTTTATAGAGGTGTGCTCCAGTAAGAGAGCTAGCATTAGCTGCACCCACCTTAAGGGCGTTAAAAACACGCACAGAAGAAAAAGCAAAGAATAAAAAGAGAGTAACAAAACGAGAGCTGTTGTTACTGGCTGCAGCCCACCTGGTGCTCTTTGTAAGTGAAAGCGATCTTTCCTTTTTCGTACTTTAGAGTCCACTTTCACAGTAGCAATTCACAAATGAAGCAAATGAAGCTAACGAAACACTCAACATCCATTCTCAAAACAGGAAGTTAGCATTTTCTTGTGCACATGGTCTATTGGCGGCATTATAAGTTTCCCTGCCACTCTGGTCTTTATTCACATATTTTACAACAATAATGGTAATACTTATTCATGAAATTAGTCTTAAAAAGTTAACTTGAGTTACTTGCTAAAAATATATTTCAGCTTTATAAATTTCAATAGTAAAGGCAAACTATTGGATCGGGACTTCAAAATCGTATCGGATTTGAAGTTAAAAGATCGGATTGGGATCGGAAGCCTAAAATGCTGATTGGGACATCCTTAGTAAGAATGTAAAGTGGAAGCTGAATCTGACAGAAACCAACAGCCCCCTAGTGGATGGCTGCAGTATAAGACCAAGTTCACTCGTGTTTTTCAACACATTTGCAGTGGTCTCTAGTACATCTGAATTACTGGTGAGTCGATCTCTTTGTGGGAAAAGGCTCTTGCGCTCCTGTTTGACCAAGCAGAAGTGAGCTAGGTCAGAGGGGAGCCGAAGACGGCAGGATTTAGAGTCTCATTTCCTGATATTAGGACATCTCGCCTCTGACTGGCCAACAACAGCGCGACTCTTCCGCTGCCTCCGGAGTTCTGCCATGCTGTTAGCTAATGCTCACTATTAGCAGCTGAGATGTTCTTTGCTCTCTCCTGGACGCTAAACCAACAACAACCTTCCCCGCCCCGAGCCAAGATGCATGAGGCCATGAACGCTCATTTACCGTGTGACGTAGACCTAACTGGCTTTTCTAAATCGAGCATTTCCCCGTTTATTTCCTGTCAGCGGCCAATGCTAATGCAGGAAATAGGGGTAGATGTAAAAGGCTCGGACATCGTTCTGAATACATTAGAAATAAACTTTAAATAACTTTATCCAAGCATTGACTCATTATGGACACAAGGTGTGACTTTCAGTCCCAAGTCTCAACACTCTGGTTTCAAAAATACAACAAGGCAGCACCCATAATAATTTGGCCTCGCTTTTCAACACCATATTTATGGGTTAGGGTTAGAAAACACATCGGCTTCTAACTAACCAGTTGATTTGTTGTTTTTGTCTCCAGGTTTGAATTTGTTGCTGGTCTGAAGACCAAACTCCAAAGTCCTGCTAAAGTTGTTTCTGTGTTTGATAAAATCACAATGCAGGGCGAGAAAGGAGCCGTGGCCACGGTGGACCTGCCTTTAGGTAACCTAATCTGCTCTGAGATACTACTAGTTAACGTGACTGGTCTGAAGAAAACAGTTTCTAATCTTGAAATTGAATTTTATCAGCACAGATTAAGTTTATCTTAAATGTCTGTGCTCTAAATAATGTGCAGAATTCAATGTAAGCTATCTGAGTCTTTGTTACAGCTTAAAATCTCATTATACAGCAAAATGGTGACGCTGTGTTTTAAGTCTAAACTTTATTTGTGTCTGCAGACTTGTGGGACTTTGACACTCTGCAGCTGGACTTGTCTCTGTCGTGTCCCAGCAGAAGAGACTCGTCCTGCGCTCAGTGGGACCACACGGTGCAGCTGTTCTTGTGCTGCGATGAGCTGAGTTCGTTCTGCAACACCGAGCTGGGGCGATGGATCACGGCGTTCCGCAGGTAACGCCTCAAAGAGACTTTTCTTCCTTTCCTTTATCAGCTTTTCCCTTCAGGAGTCGCCACAGCGAACCATCTGTCTCCATTAAGTCCTCGTCTTCTGCATCCTCTACCATTCATGTCCTCTGTCACCTCACTTATACAGCGCCACCTATCCTTCTACTTTTGTGATGCTCCATTATATCAGTTACTTTGAGCCCTTTTTGTGTTAGCTAATGGTTGATTTGTTGTGGCGGCCATCTTGAATTAGACTGAAGTTTATCAGTTGTAGGCGAAGAGGCAATGGTAAATGGTTAATAAAACAAATTGAAATAAAGAACTTTTTAAACCTATTTTTGTTGTGGACATCAGCATTTGAACATTTATAATAAACAGGGTATCCGCGGGTCCTTAAAAAGTCTTAAATTTGCTTAAATTTAAGGCCTTAAAAATCCTTAAAATTGACAAATAATCCTTAAATACAGTTTCCAAAGGTCTTAAATTACCAAAGACCCAATAAACAAGACTCTTTTATTTCTATAAATTATTTGTGAATTTCTAGTTTGTGTTCAGCATTTTTTGTGTATGACATTTGCATAAGCGGAACCGTACACATTCAGTTGGTTGTGAAAGGGGGCTATTTTTAGATGAGCACATTAGCTGGTTAAGCTAGTGGGAGCTTGCACCATGGGGAAGTGCAAGTTTAATGGTAACTAGATGGCTAATCCCACGTTCGCAACGTGGTTAGCACCGTTTCCAGGCAATAACAGGAAATTATAGCTTAGATTTAATAAAAAAAAAAAAAAAGCTTAAATTTGGTCAAAGTGGCCTTAAAAAAGGTTTTAAAAAGTCTTAAATTTGGCTCCCTTTAACCTGCAGATACCCTGAATAAAATTGGAAGATTTTTAGTTGTATAAATCTGCTCTGCTGGTTTTCTGGTTGTTGTTTTTATTTTTGACCTGCTGGATGATCGCGTGCTTTGTTTTGACAGAGGCATCGGACGCTGGCTGACGGACGTGTCTCCTCTGCTGCCGTTGCTGAACAGAAACAGATGCACCTTCACTTTGAAGACGGTGCCTTGGGCGATGCCGTGGATCGCCTCCCTCAGCCTGAGATTCAGCATCAGCAATCAGACGGGTAAATGCTGGTGACCCCCAGCAGATATGTGACAGCAGCTGGAAAACCAACGGCTGTTTGGAAACAAATCCGATCGACGGGGGCGGATCTTTTCAGTGTTTTTAAAGTTTTTGTTTGTTTATTTCTGTCTGTTAACTCTGGTAACGCTTCAACGTTTCTAATCATCAATGTTTTTGACAGATGTAGATGGTGCGAGAAAGCTCCACCCCTTCAGAGTGATGCCTCTCTTCAGCGGGGGGACGTTTGACAAAAGCTACAACAAGAGATACTGGCCAACGAAACTGCCAATCCCAAAATCGTCCAAGAAGGTTTCAGACGCTTTGGCGATCACTTTCCTCTTCATGTGACGAACATCTCACTGTCTGCGTGTTGATCCTCAGGTGGAGCTTTACGCCGTCATCACAGGACATGGCAGTGACGAGAACGGCTGTGGAGAGTTCTGTGTCACCTCCCACCACTTCCTGATCAATTCAATTTATAACAACACTCTTACATTTGACTCTGCAGGTGAGGAGAGGCGATGAAACGCTTCATCTCTAACGTCTGCCATAACTAAAGTCTATTCATCAGGCGCCTTTTACAGACATGCGACCACAAAGCTCTACACAGTAAACTGATGAGAGACCAAACATCCAATTAATAAAATCTCAGGAAAAAACTTGTTTGACAATAATGATTTTTAGTTGCTTTTAAAAGCATTAAAGGAAAATTCCACCCCTATTTAAATTTAGTTATATATTGAATGAGTGGAAAAAAGCATTTTGTAACCAGCCCATTAATTTTCCTAATCTGGCAGTATTTGGTTTGCTTTAGCTTAGCATAAACAATAAAAGTGAATGGTTACAGGTAGCATTTCGAGTGAAACACTCATGAAAATAGCTCAATATTGATCCTAATTTGTCTCGGTGACCTCAATAATCATAACAACAGTAAATGAAAATAACAAGTAACGCAAAGGAATTACAGGAGCCAATGAAGACCTGAGACTTCGTTACGACAGCACCGCTGCAAGGCGCAAGGACACGGCGCAGCGGCCCCACATGCTTCAACTTTTATGTACACTGCCATTTAACCGCAACTTACTATGTTATTCGTTCAAAAAGCTATACCGGGTAGTAACCAAGCATTTGTGTTTGCAGAAATAGGTGTAATTTTAAATTTGAATGATTAAATGCTAGCTGTTACCATTCACTTCAATTGTTTATGCTAAGCTAAAGCTAACAGAATACTGTCAGATTGAAGAGGAAGACTGGGCTGGTTGAGAAATGCTTTTTCCCACTTATCTAACTCTGGGAAATATGGCAACAGACTCAATTTCATTGAATATCACTGTCTCCATGGTTACTCTGGTATGGGAACAATATGTTGGACAATTTTCAAAACATGAGTGATGATAAAAAAAAAATTCATGGAAATACCAGTTTTGAGTCTACAGTGTGGGGTGCGGCAACTCAGCAAAATTACATATAATATAAAAATCAATGTCACAGACAAACATTCCCAAGTCAAACAGGAAAACCTTGCGAGATCAAACGCAACTTCGGAGTAAACATGGCAGAGGAAAAGTGTGCAAGGTGCTTCCCTCATCTTATTTTCTGATTGGCTTCACATCCCTTTCTACACACAGTACTCTCACTTCTCCTTGGGGCAACAAGACAATTCAACATGTTTAATAATCCCAATTTGTGATTGGAATGGTCTGATGTGTTTCAGCGGAGCGAACTCCGTGGAACCCCTCAGGTCAGAGGAGCCGTTTTAGGGGATCAGTTGTTTATCTTGACAGAGACACAAAGATAGGAGAACTAATAATAACTGCAAAACATAAAGCCTACCAAGCAGGCAGCACTGGGATTGGTCAAGATTTGGTTTCTTTATTAGACGGGTCACCTCAGCATGAAAACAACTTTTTAATAAATGAGCAGAGATGTGTAAGGGTTTAAGGAGTTCTCTTGGTTGGTTATATAAGGGTTTTATTATGGTTAAGACCGTTTGAATGACATAAATCTCAATGTGAGACAGCTTTTGTTACTGAAGTTAGTGCAAAAAGTTACATTGAACTGATGATATTAGTCCTGATTTTTATGATTTTAAACAAATAAAATGAATCACAACAATTTAAAGCAACAAAATCAATAACTTCATGTTTTCTTTTAACTAAATTATTTTCAAAACTGCTGCGTTCTTTTTTATATATGAGCTTTATTTTAACAATGTTCAACAGCTTATTGTTCCTGATTTCATGAGATCAAAGTTATTTCAAGTAGAATTAAAATAATTCAGACTTGTACGTTAATCACATAAATTATTCCAATTTTTTAAAAATTTCCACCAGCTGAAGACCAAAGTTGAGGTCTCAACTTGTAGCTGCTCTCATTGTGGTGTTTTTCTGTTCTGTTGTCGTGTCTGGAATAAAAAGGAACAGCTCTTGGCTGCACGATGCGTGTGAAAGACGGCGCGGTACCAAACGAACACGGAACATGGCTGTACGGGCGAGGAGGCTGGTGTGACGGGTTGCAGGTCGACCCCTGGAGGGTCGACATCACCAAACAGGTCTGTTCCTCTGCAAAAAATAAAAATCTTTCCCCTTAAAATGACTTTGTGTGATCCACAGTGCTGTCTGTTTTTTCTATTTCTACTGCACATCTTAATTCTACAGGAAAAAACATAACTGGTGCAGTTTAGATCACAGTTCCTGTTGAATCCTTTTAGGTTTTACATTAACAGATAATAAAAAGCTAAAAAATCTGTCACCAATTTATTCAAACCACAAAAAATAAAGCACATTTTCTATTTAAATGAACTAAAGACTAGAAATATTTAGTTCAAATTCATTAAAATTCACAGAAAATTACAGTGAGATAAATCTCAAGTGATTAAAATCCTGTCTAACATGTAAATCCTAAAGCTTCTTCACAAGAACATCGCTCTGCAATCAGATTCTGGAGTTACACACTTTAATTATTACAACTTCATTAATTATAAAAAGTGCTTGATTACACTAAAGTGTGTTATTGACCCTAAAGGCAACTTCATCTCAAGCACACATACACTTCCTCTGGGATTTGATCAAAAAAGGTCCCATAATCAGAATTACACACAGATTTTATACTTGGCAGGTTTATTTGAGCCTAATTTTATCAACAACTTCAACATTGTTGTCCTGTTAAAGATCTTGTGTGACTTTTTCTTCCATTTTTTTAGCTGGACCTGAGCGAGTCTGAGTCCAACACAGTGGTTTACTTCGGTTTGTTTGACGGCGTGGATCCTGATCCGGCTCAGCAGCCTGGATACATCATCATGTCCTCTTTTCTCATCTTCTACAAATAAAATAAAAACAGGTTTTTTTCTTAACACGATTCTTAACGATGAAATGAATTTAACACAGAATGTTCACTCAAACAATAAATGTCTATTTTCTCACTTTCTGAATGTTTTTTTTTAATATATACATTTAATTATATTCCAGTGAGAAGCTGAAGTATGCACACGTGGAGCTATTTTCATCCTGAGAGGCTTAAAACTCAATAAGCACCAACCCGGCTCTTCTTCGTGTCTCCAGCTGTAGATGTTTTGTTCTGAGAGCAGCTTCTCCTCCCTAATTACATGTAATTAGTAACTTTGGGCTAAAGGAGGTGTTTCTCAGTGAGTCATCTTCATCATGAGTTTCTGATGGAGGTTAATCCTCTGGACCTCATCACAACAACGATGCATAATTGTTTACAAGCAAAACCAAACCAAAGAAGAGGACAATTATTCTCAAACCACTGTTGAGAACATTTTATTTCAGTTCTATTTTAGTTAACAATCTTTACAGCATATTAAAAACGTTTCATTACTAAAGAACGGATCAAACTATGCATGTTTCTTTACACTCCCTCTCACTTTCAAACCGGTTTCTGTTCCCAAAGCAACCTCCAAACCAGAATCGAGCACAGCTGTTTGAGGTTTCATCGTAGTACCACTTTATCTCGTAGTCCAAACATGGTCCTGGATCCGGGGTCTCGCTGCAGCCGTCTGCTGGACATGATAAGAGAATTATACAAGGGTCAACAGGGACAGATTTATTATGGTGTTTATTAGCAAATCTCTAAATAATTTATTCTGTTTACACTTTTATTTAGTCTTTGAAGACTCACCGGATGTGTGGAAGTCTAAGGGCAGAAGGGTCGGGGTGGCTGGAGACGATGCTAACTGATCTTTACTGGGCGTCGTCAGAATGGGACCAGTTGGCCCGATGGCCCTGTCAGGCCGGGATGGTAGAAGATGAGGCTGTGGCAGAGAATGTTTCATAAGTGACTGGCATTCAAGATAATCAGCCCAAAGATCTAAGAAAAAAACAAAGATGTTTTTATTGTAAATGTGTTTAAAAAAGCAGAGATCTGATCCTCAAGCCACCAAAACGGATCCGTCAACACCTTGGCTGCGCCTAGAAATCCTGTCCATAAAAGTTATGAACAGAATCGGTTACAAAGGGCAGCCTTGGCGGAGTTCAACTCTCACCGGAAATGAGCCCGACTTACTGCTGTCAATGCAGACCAAGCTCTGACACCGGTCATACAGGGACCTCACAGCTTTTGTCAAAGGGCCTGGAACCCTATACTCCTGAAGTACCCCCCACAGGGCCTCCGGAGAGACGCGGTTAAACGCCTTCTCCAAATCCACAAAACACATGATTGGTTGGACGAACTCCCACGCGCCTCCCAGGACCTCCCTAAGGAGCTGATCCAGTGTTCCACGGCCAGGATGAAAGCCACATTGCTCCTCTTGAATCTGAGAATCTCTCCAGAACCCCTAAAATTACCTTACAGGGAAGCTCAGGAGTGTGACCCCCTTGTAGTTGGAACACACTCCCCTTTTTAAATAGGGGGACCACCACCCAGTCTGCCAGAGGAACTGCTCCCGATGTCCACGCAATACTGAGGACCCATAGCTACTTTCTTCTAGATATTTCCTGCAAATTAGCAACAAAATAGCCATTTTTGCTCCGAATCGTTCTTTGAACGTTGTTTTAGCTGTAATCAAGCATATAAATATTACAGATACCATTAACATCAGTGGTGGTTTAGCTCATCTATTTAGACGTTGGACTCTCGTGCATGAGACCCGGATTCAATTCTCGGTGAGAACACAGTTTTTTTTAGAGTTTATTTTTTACATTAATGGTATATTTTTTTACAGTAAGATGCCCAAATTTTTATTTGAGACTCACCGAACGGCATTGAATTCACAGATAAAAAGATGTGGGTTCAACTTTCATTATGGAACAATTTTTCAAGCAAGGGAAGGGAATGATCTGAGCATGCAGGAGGACTGACCCATCATAAACCTTTGTCGGCTGTGCTGAAGAGAAAGGTACAGAACCAAATTATTTAAGTAATAATTAGCTACACGTTCTCCTGTCCTCTGTCCTCCGGGCCACACACACACACACACACACACACACACACACACACACACACACACACACACACACACACACACACACACACACACACACACACACACACACACACACACACACACACACACACACGGGACTGTCAGTTCTCAGAGCTCTGTGATGCTGACCCCCGTCAGCTTCGCAGAGCTTCGTCTCAGCTGTTATTTTCATTAAGGAGTGTGCACGTACAGCATGCGCGCCTCGTGCACGAGCCTCCTATTGAAGCTGCCGTTGCGCTTTTGGCCAGAGGGGGCAATCGCGAGCATAAAAATTCAAAACTCCGTAAAGTCCCTTTAAGGAACTCTAGGCGAATCTCATCCACCCCCTGAGCCTTGCCACCAAGGAGCTTTTTGACCACCTCAGTGACAGAGACTGGAGAGCCCAACCCCTTCTGAGGTGCCGGATGGTTGAGCCGATTCACCACCAGGTAAGGGTCAGTTGTCAGCTCCACGCCTCTCTTCACTCAATCCATCCATCTTATTAAGCAATTAATACATTAGGGGAAAAAAAAACTTCATACATAAAGAAAATGCTAATAACTCAAGTTGTGTTTTATTCTCTAATCAATTTAGTTTATTTGTTCAGGACGTTAACAGAACGTCTAATAAATTAGAAAAATCATCTTATTATTGTTCTTTTAAAGAAGTTGGCTCATCTCACCACCCAAGTCCTCCTGGATTCCTCTATGAACTGAGACACGACTGCGCCCGTCTCATACAGATTGCTGATGGAGACGTCTGGTATCCCTGGAAGAAGTACAGAACTCGGGATCGAATCGAACAAATTATTCTTCCCGTCCTCTAAGATGCAAGTCAGCAGGTTTTTCTCAAGAACTGCAAAACCAGAAACCAGAAGGTCATCAACACTTTGTTTTAGTTTCCCCAGAGGAAAGAGGACAGTCATGAGCACGTCATCTGCTGCCTTGCTAAAGGTCACCATCGAGATACCGTAACTCTGGAGTGAGGTCAGCATTTGATTTATTTGGTGCCACCAAGTGTCAGGAAGGTTTTACTTCAGAAAACGCAAGTTTTGTATTTTTAGAATCTGATGAAAAATATTAAAAAATGAAAAATGCTCAGGATTTAGCAACATCAGGTTTTTTCTGACGTTGCTGCAACTTTTTGAAATGCAAAACAAAAACCCACATGCATTTTGGATAATTATGTAAAATTACATATTGCTCTATGAACCAAGATTTTGTATTTAGGGGTAAAGCTGCATTTTCTGATCTGCTACTCAGCTGTTATGATTTTATTTCAAGACATCTTAAAATCTTAAAAGAAATCCAACAGAAACAGGGAGAAATGAAAAAATGACCTTGGAGGGTTTTTAACTCTTCGATCAGGAATGTGTAGTCTGTGGAAGGGTAGGAGGAGATGAAGATGAGCTCCTTCTTGAACTTCTCAAACTCAGGATTCCTCTTGTCCATCACCCCGACGACAAACATCTCAATTTCACTCCGTTTAGCGTCCGTCACCGCTCTCTCCAGACTGACTGAGTCACTTTTATCAGCCAGTCCATCTGTGATGAGGATGGCCACCTTCCTCACACCTGCCCGAGCCGAGTGGAACACCTGGCTGGCCGTCTTAATGGCGCTGCTGGTGTAGGTGCCCTCCCCCAGGTAGTTCATGGAGCTCACAGCAGATTTGATCTCATCAGTGGAGGCCTCCTGCTGGAGGCTGACCACCACCTCGTTCGTGTAGCTGTAGAGGACTACGGCGATCCGCTTGGCGTCCGGGCTCACTAAGACTCGGTCCACCATGGTGTTCACAAAGTCTTTGATCATGTTAAAGTTCTCAGGGCCAACCCTCCTGGAGCTGTCAATCACAAAGACGAGCTCTAAAGGCGATTGGCTGCAGGCCACCACGCAATCTGGTTATAACCGTAGAAGGAAGAAAAATTTCATCTTCGTCATCACCACCACCACCACCATCATCATCATCATCATCATTTTGTCAAACTTACTGCAAATAGATCTGATCATGCTGATGATCTCATCTTTCTGAGAAATAAAAAAAAAAAGATCCAAAGTAGTTAATCCAGTCCATTACTTCATTATTTTCTACATTTTCCACGAGTGTGATAGAAAATATTTCCAGACCATAAAATGCAACCGTAGCATTTTTAACTCACTGTGAGTCCAGGTTCTCCCTTTTGACCTCCTCTGCCCTGTTTGTGAAACAGAACATAGGTGGAACAATAGGTAGAAAAGCTATTTTCAATCCTGGTTCTGGAGAATCACTATCCTGCATTTCTCTGCTCCAACACACTCAGAGTGTCTGAAATAGCTGTGCAGTGTGTTCCTAACCTGCTTTTAACCACTGATTCAGATCAGATGGTTTGGACTTCAAAAACATCTAACGTGCAGGATGGTGGCTCTCAAGGACCAAAATTATACATAATTGATTTGAATATTTCAGTAAAAATACATGAAATGAGTAAAAGAACTGATTTCTCTTCTGTTAAGGTACCGCATCTCCGACTTTTCCTGACATTCCTGGCGGGCCTCTGTCTCCGGTTTTCCCCGGTACACCTCTCGACCCTTGGTCCCCCTGCAGGAGGAAACTGGTTTCAGGATTTTGTCACAATTTATAGAAGAAACAAACACAAACGTTTTAGATAATTTATTCTGTTGAATTTACTTTGTCTCCCTGCAGGCCTTGTCCTGGTAGACCTTTGGGTCCAGTAATCCCCTCCAATCCAGGTTCCCCCTAAAAACATCCAAACACATTTCATGTTTTAAGAGAGTTGAATATTTTTAAGGGCTCTAATATAATAATAATGAACAGTCACTGTTATTTTGATTATTTTGATAGTATTAAACCTATACCTTTTGGCCTTGTATACCTTCTCCAGGTAACCCAGGAGGACCAGTTGGTCCTGTCAGACCCACTGAACCCTGCAAGAAAATATTTTTAATTCCTCAAAACAAATATTAAAGAATCAGAATGGAAGTATATTTTACCTTTGGACCCATTTGACCAATTCCTGGAGGTCCAGCAGGTCCCGGGGGTCCAGGCAAGCCTCTGTCTCCCTGAGAATATTTATAAAGGCTTCAAACTTATTCCGTATTTTACGACACAGTGATTATTTGACATTTTAACTGGAAGAGCAGCAACCTTTTAGTTCCTTTATTTAACTGAAACATTCACTGAAACAACAAAAAAGAAGCTAAAAGTATTTTGTCACATTATTATTACCTTTCATTGCACTATGAAGCATATTTTCTGAAATAAATAGCAAAAAAAATGTAATTTTCATAGCTGTTTTCTTTTTGTGGATGGAAAGGCTTAAAATCTTTTAATAAATGTAAAAACTTTAAATTTTTGCATTTTGCAAACACTTTAATCCAAAGCGATTTACAATTTAATCTAGCGCATGATTTTGGTTTGTGGGCGGAAACCGGATACCTGGATAAAACCCATGTGAAAACTCCATATAGAGAGGCTGCAGTCGGGATTTGAACCTGCATCATTCTTGTGCGAGGCAGAAACATCACAAACTACATTTTTTCTAAGATTTAAAAGAACTGTTATCATTATTCTTATTATTGTTTTGAGAAACTGTTTTACCTTTGGTCCCGGTAAACCGATGCCTTCAGGACCAATTTCTCCTTGAACACCAGGAAGTCCTGGAAGTCCCTACAACGCATATTCATTTTTAATTATTTATAAAATGGGATTTAATGTGGTTTGTGAGAACAATAAAGTAATAAAATGGTCTGATTGATACTCACTGGGGGGCCGGGGAACCCTTCACCTTTCAGTCCAGGTAACCCAGGAGATCCAGTCGAGCCTAAATCCCCCTAAAAACCAGACCTGTTTCTTTACTCCTAAATTATTTGGTTTTACTCTAAACCTAAACAAAACTCACCTTGGGTCCAGGTAAACCAATCCCCGGCTCTCCCATGGGTCCAACTGGTCCTGGTGGACCCATTTCTCCCTGATGAAAAAACAGAATTATGATTTAATTTTTCCTGGAGAACGTTAAAATGACCTTAATTCAGCTTACTTTGGGACCAGGAATCCCTCTGCCCAGAGGTCCACTTGGTCCCTGAAGTCCAATTTTTCCTGGTTCCCCCTGAAACAGATTTAATCAGATTAGCCGAATTTGCATTCTATGGGTGACAATTATGTTTAAAGGTGCATTAAGTAAGAATGACATCCAGTGATCAAATTTGGGTACTGCAGTCCATTTTCAAAATTTGCTGAAAATTCCTCTCACTTATTTTCACACTAGAGGTGACCGATCCTTTGAAGCTGTAGCTCCTATGCTTTGGAATGATCTACCCCCCTCTTTGCGATTATTGAGTCTGTCAACAAATTCGAGAGAGAATTGTAACTCATTTATTTGTTTAGGCATTCATTGTTAGCTCAAGGTTAGCCTCTAGTCTTCACCCGATATTAGATTAAAACAAAAAGATGCTTAAGGTTACAAATAAGGATGTTCAATATTATTGGTTTACCATTAATTATCAGCATTAAAATGTCATCTTATCTTATCTTATTTTGTCTTGTCTTGTCTTTTCTTGTCTCATCTTATCTTGTGTCAGATATCGGTAAGTAAATATTGAGCATCCCTATACAAGAAATAACTTCTGGGTTGCTCCTGTTTACTGACTTCAGGTTTTTAAACAGCTGTGGAGCTGTTTGCCAGACAGTGTCAAATTACAAATGTCGACAAAGCAGCATTAGCTGGCGCAGACTTGGCAACCTCGCGGCCTCACTAATTGTAAGCAAAGGAGCGGATTCTCATCCCAGCTGCTTCTCACTTGGCTGCAAACCGCTCCAGCAAAATTACCACAAAGTTGAATTTTTCTAAACTTTTGAATCATTTTAAACATAAAAATGAAAACACCTGAACAAATAAAATAGTTTTTACCTTGTAGAGTAAAATATTAAACTTGTAACTCATTACCTTTGGCCCCGGTGGCCCCATTAAACCAGGTGACCCTGGCTGACCTCTGACCCCAATGCTTCCTTTGTCTCCCTGCCAAAGTAAAACAAACCCATTCAGACATTTGAAGATTTGTGTTTTACAAAAGAATAAAAATCACAGTGCTGTAATAATTGTTTAAATTGTTACCTTATCCCCTGGAGCTCCTTTACCTGGAGTGCCATTGAGTCCCCTGGGTCCTGGCGACCCGGTGTCACCCTGACATCGTTTAAAAAACAGTTAGAAAGGGAGAAATGGGTACAGACAAGGTTGTGATAGAAAACAGAAGATGAGATTTCACAGAATACATATTGTTTTTATAGTGATCCTCATCATCATAATTTTTATTGTTAGTATTCTGTTTTTCTTCTCTGTTATTTTTCTTCTAGATAGGTATAAAAATACAAAAAGTGACCTTCTGTCCTGGAGTTCCATCATTTCCCGGTAGACCTGATGTTCCCGGTAAACCCTGAGCTCCAGGGTCACCCTAGAGACAAGACAACAAAATGAAAATCACACAAACTGCTTCACAAAAGTGTAAAACCAGGATCACAAACAACCCATGACCCTTTAGATCCTAAATAATTTGTTCTAATAATTTTTAATACTTTATTTTAAACTGAACTTTTTATTGGCTAATATTACAATACCAACTATTTAATATTTTACCATGTAATTATAGAACAATTTAACTGTAATAAATAAATAAAATTGGCCCTTGCCATCTGTACATCATTCACCAGAGGGCAGCAGACATGCATAGGACTGTGCATGGGGCAATATATGTCAAAAGCTAAGAAATTCCCGTGATTGTGATTGTTTTGTTTCACATTAATTTCCTAAACTGTCATGTTCAGTAGCAAAATCAGAGGTCAGGCGACTTACTTTGGGTCCTGGTGCTCCAACTCCTCTCTCACCCTGAAGTCCTTGCTCACCTGGTGGCCCTTGAGTCCCCTGAGGAATAAAATCCCTGTCAGTGGTAATTTTACAAAAATAAATGCTGCTACATTTCACATAAACCCTTTATTGCTAATTCCAAAAATACACATTTTTACATGTTTCATTACAATTTATAGACATAGCAGTAATTTCATGAAACAGCAGGGTTTACTTTATAAACATGTTTTTACACTTGCTAATATTTTCATCTGGATATTATTAAAGTTTAATTTGAAAATGAGCCCTGAAACTTATTGTATGGCAATTTTCTTTTTATAAACCATAAAACTTAAAATATGTGAAATTCTTTATAAATTTGATCACCAACAGCAGTTCCTCTAGTTCCCATCACTGTGATGCAGATATGATGGACATCCAACACCTATTTAATGGTCATCTCTTTTAATGTAGATGCAATTTAGCTACCAATCACCAATCAGTGCTCCCGGACTAACCTACCTTTGGTCCTTGTAAACCAACACCTGGAATACCCCTGAGTCCTGGAGGTCCAGCTGGGCCCTGTTTTCCCTGATGGACAGAAAACTGAAATAAAAACCAAAGAAAGCAGCTTGGACATCCAGGTGGCTCTGCTGGCAACAAACTGGGAATGAGTTTCTAAAAGGTCTCAAAATGGTGACGTAGGTTTATGAATTAATCTCAATCTGTCTCAGACTTCTCATTTTAGTTTCTGTGAGTCAGAAAGTGGAAGTTTGAAAAAACTTTAGGAGATGTTAAAGCAGTTGTCCAAATTCATTTTTTTATCTGATGGCACCACCTACTGGCTGACAAGCGTATCACACCATGACCTAGTTTCACTTCCGTATTCACGCCAAAAAGCAACACCTCTCGTTCATGAATGCACTCCTGTAGCCGAAAAATCAGAGCTAAACCCATAGATTTACAATTATTATGTTCATGTTATGTTGTGTTTTCATATAATTATATTTTAAAGATTTACTTGTCCGCGAGAAAGGTCGCTAACCTGCACCAACCGTGGTATGTTCTATTTCGTATAGCTCCACCCTTTAAGCCATCGCCTATTGGGTTAATCCCATCCCCTTAACCAGGGGTCGGCAACCTGTTCCCATCAAAGAGCCATTATTACCCATTTCCCACAGTAAAGAAAACACTGGCCACAGCAGCCACGGCAAAGAGCTGCTTTAACCAATCACAACAGGTGACAGCAGCCAGTAACGGTCGCTCGTGTACGTCAAAGTTATCTTTCATAAAAACATAATCAATGAAACGATTTATATAAAATGGATCCAGAAGTTGTAGCCCGTCTCTGCCTACAATATTTTTATATTTTTCACCCTGTTGGTGGTTTTACTGAGCAGGTGCCACTTTGTCATACGTTTCTTTTAAAAACATGTTTAGACTGTTCAGAATACAAATTCACGTTTGATTGTTGTAATTAAACTTTGTAGGTGGAGAAGGTCAGAAAAGGATCCGATCAATTTGTTTTTCCCTCATTTACAGCGACGGAGATAACGGCGCAGTGCGCCTGGCTCTGGTGTTAATCAAGTTTAATTTTATCTCTTTGCAACAATTTTCACAAGAAAACAGAACAGTTAAAAGCAGGGCTTGTGTTGACCGCATAGTTCCCATATTTGGCCGTTTATTTTGATGGAGAAAGAATAGAAAGAATTACCCCGACGAATGCAGACGAACAGACATTTTATTCGTTTCGCACATCGTAGATGTAGCTAAATCACTCAAGAAAAGATTCCCATCTGAACATCTGAGCTGGACACGGAGCTCAGCGCTGCTCACTGTCAGTGCGTACGTACGGTGCACAGCGAGCTGAAGATGTGGAGAGGGGCTTGGAGCGCGTCGCAGAACCAGAGTGCATGCGGGAAGATTCCTCTGACTGAAGCGAGACTTGTCAGTTAAAAAATGTTCCCTGATTATGAAACTTTGGCCGAATAGCGCTTGTTCCTGTCTCCAATGTGGCGACATATCCAGGAGCCGTCTGAGGAGAATCCCAGAATCTCACATCCTCTTCAGCTCAGAAAGCGCATATGATTACGCACAAGCGTGACGCGTCTACCCGGTCTCACAGTAAGACCGGGTTGGAACTGTTCAGGTTGACGCAGACAATCTTTACATTTAGAATTAGCATACAGATGTAAAATTAATGCAGTAAAATATAAAGCATTTTATTTAAATATCCATTCATTATTTTACAAGCACAGAGAGCCGCATCAGATGGATGGAAGAGCCGCATGTGGCTCCAGAGCCGCGGATTGCCGACCCCCGCCCTTAACCAATCATTGAACAGCTTTTATGTACGCCCACCTCCTAGGCGGGTCCTGGCCCCTTAAAAGGGCGCAGCGAGCATAGCTCGTCTCCTTTTTCATCTTCAAACAACTAAATCGTTTGAATGAGCTTAAACTAACCTATTCTTCAAGCACATGTCCGACAGTCCGGTCAGTTTGTGCTCCCCAGGATTTACATGACAAGAACAACTTACTGAAAAGTGTCATGCCCAGCAGAGCCGTTTGGCTTCTCCACTGGACAGATACTGTTTATTTCCTTAATAGTGGAAGCAGGCCTCCACAGTCCCTGGCGGGATTGAGGCCTGGACTCCCTCGCTCTTCTCCTACGCTGTTTCCGGCCATGAGAGCGCTACTTCGTTAGCTGGTTGCTGAGGCTTTCTGTTCCCGCGCCCGTGCTGCATTACCTAGCTTCGCCTTTTACTAAAGCTGGTTGTTTGGTGTGCTACCCCCACCTCCAAACACGGATTGTGACGCAGCTCTTCACTGTGCCCAGTGTTCTGCAGCTGCCCCCGCTGACAGCAGGACTGCTAAAGCGTGTGACTCGAATCTGTGCTCTGCTGCTTTGTCTATGCTTCCCGGACCCCCGGTTAGCAGACACCGGTTCAATCAGCTCAGACGTGCTATGTGAACCACAATATTGCAGCGCTATTGAGACCGCAGCAACCGGCGGGGCTAACCACCATTCAGGTGTCTAGCTGGCCCGAGTTCTGCTCAGAACTAACACTCGACTGCTGTCTCCATTCCTCCAGCTCAAGCTTGGTGACTCGATGCAGGGACTCCAGTGCTCTTCTCCTACGCTGTTTACGGCCATGAGAGTGCTACTTCGTTAGCCAGTTGCTGAGGCTTTCTGTTCCCGCGCCCATGCTGCATTAGTTGAATGGCTTATTGGCCAGCATGGCGCTGTCCAGTTTTGCTGCTCCTATCCAGTTATTACTCGGCTCCCAGCAGCTCTGGCTTACTAGAACGATGTTAGGAGCCTTACTTAGCTTCACCTTTTACTGAAGCTGGTTGTTGGTGTGCTACTCCCACCTCCAATACGGATTGTGACGCAGCTCTTCACTGGGCCCATTGTTTTGTGCAGCTGTCTCTGCTGACAGCAGGACTGCTGAAGCATGTGACTCGAATCTGTGCTCTGATGCTTTGTTGCTTTGTCTATGCTTCCCGGACCCCTGGCTAGCAGACACCGGTTCAATCAGCTCGGACGTGCTGTGTGAACCCCAATATTTCAGCGCTATCGGGACCGCAGTGACCTGCAGGGCTAACCATTCAGGTGTCTAGCTGGCTCGAGTTCTGTTCAGAACCAGCACTTGGCCGCTGTATCCATTCTTCCAGCTCAAGCTTCGCGACTTGATGCAGGAAATGTGTGTGATTATGACTGCTTATGAATGTTATTTAAATTAAACATTCTCTGACAACAAATTACTGTTACGGTCCACAGCTACAGATGGTTTGTACAATCCTTCTGCTGTCCTCTCACACATATTTTCCCTCACCAAGCACAACCATCCCTCCTGCACAGCGGGAATGCACGTTTCACTAGGCCGCCATTTTGAGCTTTCGGGTCGCGGCTGAACAGAACCGGTGACAAAGGGCAGCCCTGGCGGAGTCCAACCCTCACTGGGAACAGGTCCGACTTACTACCGGCTATGCGGACCAAACTCACGCTCCTCTGGTAAAGGGACTGAATGGCCCTTAACAGAGAGCCACCCACCCCATACTCCTGGAGCGTCCCCCACAGGGTGCCCCTGGGGACACGGTCATAAGCCTTCTCCAAATCCACAAAGCACATGTGGATTGGTTGGGCAAACTCCCATGCCCCCTCCATCACCCTTGCAAGGGTATAGAGCTGGTCCACAGTTCCACGGCCAGGACGAAAACCACATTGCTCCTCCTCTATCTGAGATTCAACTATCGATCGGACCCTCCTCTCCAGTACCTTGGAGTAGACCTTTCCAGGGAGGCTGAGGAGTGTGATCCCCCTATAGTTGGAACACACCCTCAGGTCACCCTTCTTAAAGATGGGGACCACCACCCCGGTCTGCCACTCCCTAGGAACTGCCCCCGATGACCACGCAATGTTGTAGAGACGTGTCAACCATGACAGCCCTACAACATCCATAGCCTTGAGATACCCAGGACGAACCGGTTCTGTTCATCACTTTTATGGACAGAATTTCTAGACGCAGCCGTGGTGTGGAGTGTGTCGAGTTTGGTGGCAGGAGAATCTCGTCTCTGCTTTTTGCGGATGATGTGGTCCTCCTAGCTTCATCCAGCTCTGACCTTCAGCTCTTGCTGGGTAGGTTCGCGGCCGAATGTGAAGCGGCTGGGATGAGGATCAGCACCTCCAAATCTGAGACCATGGTTCTCGACCGGAAAAGGGTGGCTTGCCACCTCCGGGTCGGGGGAGAGGTCCTACCTCAAGTGGAGGAGTTTAAGTATCTCGGGGTCTTGTTCACGAGTGAGGGTAGGAGGGATCGGGAGATCGACAGGCGGATTGGTTCGGCGTCTGCAGTGATGCGGACGCTGAGCCGATCTGTCGTGGGGAAGAGGGAGCTGAGCCAGAAAGCCAGGCTCTCGATTTACCGGTCGATCTACGTCCCAATCCTCACCTATGGTCATGAGCTTTGGGTAATGACCGAAAGAACGAGATCGCGGATACAAGCGGCCGAAATGAGTTTCCTCCGTAGGGTGGCCGGGCTCAGCCTTAGAGATAGGGTGAGGAGCTCGGACATTCGGGAGGGACTCGGAGTAGAACCGCTGCTCCTCCGGATCGAAAGGAGCCAGTTGAGGTGGTTTGGGCATCTGGTCAGGATGCCTCCTGGACGCCTCCCCGGGGAGGTGTTTCGGGCATGTCCTGCCGGCAGAAGGCCCCCGGGTCGACCCAGGACACGTTGGAGAGGTTACATCTCCAATCTGGTCCGGGAACGCCTTGGGGTCCTGCCGGAGGAGCTGGTGGACAAGGCCGGGGAGAGGACGGCCTGGAGCTCCCTAGTTGGGATGCTGCCCCCGCGACCCGGACCCGGATAAGCGGAGGAAGACGAGACGAGACGGGTCGCGGCTGCGCACCCCATCGCTCATGCGTGTGCTCTGCTCCCAACACGTTTTTTCTCTGCGGTGTGTGCTGCAGCCTGCATGGTTGTGCTGTCTCGCACTCCCTACCCACCAACATGACTCTTTGGGGGAGGTGTGCATGGTTATCTTCATGTTCAAATCATAAGTGCAGGATTTTGAAACAGTGTTTTCGTCAGATGGTTCTGCTGAGCACTCTGTCGGGGTTTCCCACACCTAAAGCACCCATTTCTGGTGACCATTCAGCTGAGGTTCACCATGGGTTAGCTACAGCTGCAAACAGCTTTAAGACTGAGGGACGACACGCTAACAAGGAGCACACTTCCTTTGCTTAGCTGTCAAACTGTCTCTGGTGGGGTTTTCCTTCCCCTCGTGTCAGAGTGAGATGCAGCATCCCAACTGCTATGCCCAGTGCGTGCGCTCAGACTCTTAAGTCTTTCAAAAAGCTCAGCTGCACGCTTCGCAGCAGGCAGCTGTTTGTTCACTACCGTGATTGTTCCAAAGGGCAAGCTCTGTCATCTCAGCTTCTTTCACATTGGCTGTGTAACGTCATCACAAGTGCCTATGCTTCATCTGGCTTGGACGCTCCAGTCAGATTAAAAGTACATTCTAATCAGGCGGTTTCTTCTTCTGTTGCATTGCGAGCTGGAATGTCTGTAGCAGACATATGCATGGTTGCTTCATGGTTTTCACCACCTGTTTTACCTCAGAGACGTGTTCACTAGCCTCGTTACCAATGTGGTGCTAACGCACAGTTCAGCTTAATCACAGCTGTCGCTGAAAGTTCTCATCAGAAACTTTGCAGTTTCGTTTTTGTCATCCTTGTGTTCTTAAACACCCTTGTTGACATGTCCTTACAATATGCCACATTGTGTCCTCTTGGTTGTGACAGTTTCTCTCCCACCAGTTGCTAGTCAACCTTGGGTTGATTCTCATCAGCTATATGCTGATCATATGCTGTCATCATGTTCTCCAGCTGTTCTCTCATGTTTACGCCCGCCAACAGCCATAGAGGTTTATTAGGTGGAGCTTCTGAGTCCGCTCAGGTTTAGTTCTGAACCAGTCTGGCTCCACTTTTAATCCAATAGACGATGGCTTAAAGGGCGGAGCTATACAAAATAGAACGTTGGTTACGTTTTGTAACCCCAGATTCTACGAGTATAGTGCAGCCCTTTAAGCATCCTGGCCCCACTGGTTCTTTGGGCTCAGTAAGACATGGAGACGTGCTATGCTCGCTGTGCCCTGTTAAGGGGCCAGGACCCGCCTAGGAGGCGGGCATACACAAAAGCTCTTCAATGATTGTTTAAGGGGATGGGATTAATCCAATAGGCGATGGCTTACAGGGCTACACTATACTCATAGAATCTGGGGTTACAAAACGTAACCAACATTCTTAAACACTAGAGCACGCTCTGTGATTGACGTCTGTACGTAAGCGGTAGTCTAACGCTACAGTTAGTGCTGGCCAGTGCTCAGTTCATATTGCATGGAGCTCTATGGGACAGAAGGTGGGCTTAGCCAAAAAATAAGAAAGACATATTGCCTACATTATATCACAGTACATGATAAGACAATCAGTTTTATAGATTTCTGAAAAAATCATACATACTGTCATTCCTGAAAGGGGGAAACTCTGGAGAGCAACTTTAAAGACCAATTTGGAAATAAAATGAAAGTAAATTGCAGCTGACTGAAAAATCCTTAAAATACTTTCTGACTAATTTCCACAACTGCTGATACAATGATGTCACATGGCCCGCGTTACATAGCCGTTAAGGTAACTGATCATTTTAGATAGATTTCAAGCAGAAATCTGGATTTTTTCTTGAAACTTTAAATCAGCATGCAACACCTTTTCTCCTTGATATCCCTGCCCAGGATAACCAGCTGGACCTTGAGCTCCTTTCGACCCTTGATTTCCCTAGACAATAATCAAACAAATCAGTGATTAGTTTAACAAGAAAAAGATAAAAAAAAAAAAAAAAAAAATTCTTCTAAATCACCTTTTGCAACCATTTATGCTGCCATGTTGCCTCTATAAACACTCGGTTCAGTGGGTGGGATGATGCGACAGAGTGGAATAACTAAGATGGTGACAGCTCGTTTAAAATGTCTTTGGCATCAACTTTGGGCTACTTGTGCTTTTCTTTTAGTCAAGAGCAGGTAGAAAATGGATGCATTTGTGTCTACTTCAACGGTACATGGCTGAAACAAGGTGTTTTTAAAGGTCCCCGTTTGTGACGTCACAAATGGGGAAATTAGAATAAAACCACATGTCACGTGCAAAAGAGAGCTGCTGCTGCAGGAGCAGTGACTCTACTCTGACCATCCAGATATCAGAGCTTCTCAGCTTATAGCAGAGGGAGATAAGGGGGTGTGGCCTAAAGGGCTCATTCTAGAAGGTACTGAAACCACCAAGAATAAAACTGCTAAAATTGCTTTATGTGAGAAGGTTTTTGTGCAAAAAACTTTGTAAGCATGTTTGGTATTGACCATAGAACTATTATAACTTAAGATAAAACTTATAATTTGTCCCTTTTAATTACTCTTAAAGTCAAAGTCATTTTAAAAGTCTCATCTGTTCACCTTGTCACCTTTGACCCCAATGCCAGGAGGCCCACGACTCCCTCGTGGACCACCAAATCCTTTATCTCCCTAAAACAAAGATGACAAATAAAACTTTTAACAATTTTGAGTCAAACATAATCTAAAATTTCACACATACATTAAACTCTCTGACGTAATAAAATAATTTTAAGAGCAAAAACATGCTGGAAACATTACGTAATTTTACTATATTCTAAATACAATACATTTCAGTTCATTTAGGATCAGAAATCTGCAAAATGCAATGATGAAATGACAAAATTATGCATAATCAGAAAGATTTTAGCTTTATCAAAAGTAAATTTTCTTTCATGATGGTATTTGTTTAACCTTTGGCCCTGGTAACCCTTCTCCAGGTGGTCCGGGGTTTCCCTGTGGTCCTGGTGGTCCTGGTAGCCCCTGAAACAAGTCTTGCAGCTTATACGCTTTATCTATAAACCCTCATTTCTGTTGAGTAATTTGTTTCTCATATATACTCATCAGTTTAGGATCTCTCATGTATTTTTACACTCACTGGCTGTCCTTGTTCTCCCATCCCAACTGGACCTGTGGGACCTGGTCTTCCACGAAGGCCCATTTCACCCTATAATCAACGAACCAACAATATAACATTAAGTTAAATATTTTTGTCTTTTTTGACCTGAACAGATACTTAACCTACATGAGAGAAGATAGATCACTTTTATTCATGACACACTAATTGTATTTAATTAGAATTATTAAACAGCAATAATAAAATAAAGAGTCACCTTGTCTCCTGGAACTCCAACGCTAAAGTCTCCAGGTGGTCCAGGTGCTCCGATGAGACCCCTGTCCCCCTGTAAACCAGCACAGAGCTCAGACCACAGCTGACAAAATGTGATGGACAGCTTCACACAGAACCACTCAATCAAACAGCATCCCCATTTTCAGTTCAGTTCACTGACAGACATAAATTAATTTTTATCACTGCAGATCTGCAGCCTGATAAAATTGTTTATGTTTAAACATGTTTAGTCGACGGGATCTTTATGCAAAGTATTAGAAAGATAATGTGTGACAACTTTGAAGTTGGTGGTTAGTTCATGTCTACAATCTCTTTGATGCGCAAATATTACATCATACATTAAAGCTGCTAAAGCAAATATGGAGAACAAGCTAGCTTAAAACATTCTTTCATGCCTCTTAACAACGTTCAACATAGTACAGCTATAAATATTTTGTGGAGATAAAAAATATTTCTCTTGCATTTGTCTGAAACCCTCCGCCAATAACGCGTTTCAGACCAAAAGCAGCTACCATCCGGTTGTCGGTCTTGCCAAACCGCCACACTTCCCTCGGTCCTCCACTCATTACACACTCTCCTACTCAGCACCAGAACACCACTGGCGTAAGAGGTTCTTCGCTCAATAATGACAGAAAAGGAGAAACAGCCGGCTGCTACCTCTTCCACTTTAGGACAAACTACCAGAGTCCCAAAAAGAAAGACACCATTTGAATTCACCACAACAAAAGACGTTTGCACCTAGAAAACAGCAACTCAGCGCAATTCCTCCGGTATTGCTGGTTACCGGTTCGGGCAGAAATGTCCCAGGGAAGATACCCGAGAGGAGGGATGAGTGTTCTGTTACCGTGTTTGCATTCAAAACCTAGCTTGTTTGCAAATTTGCTATAACAGCTTTAAAGATCGCATTTTTCAAGTCAATTTTTGCATTTTGAGATTCATGTCAAGCCACGAGGCCTGAAACAAGCCGGCCAACAAATAAATAAACAAATTACGCAATATCACGAGTATAAAAATAATATATTTTTCAAAGTTCCTAAAAAGTATTTTAATACAATTTACCTTCTCAGTGGCCTTGCGCTAGAGTGTCCACCTTGGGGTTGGGAGACCAGGATTCAAATCCTGGTCGGGTCATACCAAAGACTTTAAAAATGGGACTCAATGCCTCCCTGCTTGACACTCTGCTTTAAGGGGTGGGATTTGGAGTTAAACCACCAAATAGTTCCTGAGCGCAGTTACAGCTGCAGCTCCCCGCTCTCCATGGGGATGGGTAAAATGCGGAGATGTAATCTCACCAGTGTCTTTGTCTTCGTCTTCGTCTTCCTCCGCTTATCCGGGTCCGGGTCGCGGGGGCAGCATCCCAACTAGGGAGCTCCAGGCCGTCCTCTCCCCGGCCTTGTCCACCAGCTCCTCCGGCAGGACCCCAAGGCGTTCCCGGACCAGATTGGAGATGTAACCTCTCCAACGTGTCCTGGGTCGACCCGGGGGCCTTCTGCCGGCAGGACATGCCCGAAACACCTCCCCGGGGAGGCGTCCAGGAGGCATCCTGACCAGATGCCCAAACCACCTCAACTGGCTCCTTTCGATCCGGAGGAGCAGCGGTTCTACTCCGAGTCCCTCCCGAATGTCCGAGCTCCTCACCCTATCTCTAAGGCTGAGCCCGGCCACCCTACGGAGGAAACTCATTTCGGCCGCTTGTATCCGCGATCTCGTTCTTTCGGTCATTACCCAAAGCTCATGACCATAGGTGAGGATTGGGACGTAGATCGACCGGTAAATCGAGAGCCTGGCTTTCTGGCTCAGCTCCCTCTTCCCCACGACAGATCGGCTCAGCGTCCGCATCACTGCAGACGCCGAACCAATCCGCCTGTCGATCTCCCGATCCCTCCTACCCTCACTCGTGAACAAGACCCCGAGATACTTAAACTCCTCCACTTGAGGTAGGACCTCTCCCCCGACCCGGAGGTGGCAAGCCACCCTTTTCCGGTCGAGAACCATGGTCTCAGATTTGGAGGTGCTGATCCTCATCCCAGCCGCTTCACATTCGGCCGCGAACCTACCCAGCAAGAGCTGAAGGTCAGAGCTGGATGAAGCTAGGAGGACCACATCATCCGCAAAAAGCAGAGACGAGATTCTCCTGCCACCAAACTCGACACACTCCACACCACGGCTGCGTCTAGAAATTCTGTCCATAAAAGTGATGAACAGAACCGGTGACAAAGGGCAGCCCTGGCGGAGTCCAACCCTCACCGGGAACAGGTCCGACTTACTACCGGCTATGCGGACCAAACTCACGCTCCTCTGGTAAAGGGACTGAATGGCCCTTAACAGAAAGCCACCCACCCCATACTCCTGGAGCGTCCCCCACAGGGTGCCCCTGGGGACACGGTCATAAGCCTTCTCCAAATCCACAAAGCACATGTGGATTGGTTGGGCAACCTCCCATGCCCCCTCCATCACCCTTGCAAGGGTATAGAGCTGGTCCACAGTTCCACGGCCAGGACGAAAACCACATTGCTCCTCCTCTATCTGAGATTCAACTATCGATCGGACCCTCCTCTCCAGTACCTTGGAGTAGACCTTTCCAGGGAGGCTGAGGAGTGTGATCCCCCTATAGTTGGAACACACCCTCAGGTCACCCTTCTTAAAGATGGGGACCACCACCCCGGTCTGCCACTCCCTAGGAACTGCCCCCGATAACCACGCAATGTTGTAGAGACGTGTCAACCATGACAGCCCTACAACATCCATAGCCTTGAGATACCCAGGACGAACCTCATCCGCCCCCGGGGCTCCGCCGCTGTGTAGTTGTTTGACTACCTCAGCAACTTCTGCCCCCGAGATCGGACAGTCCATCCCCAGGCCTCCCAGCTCTGGTTCCTCCTCGGAATGCGCATTGGTGGGATTGAGGAGCTCCTCAAAATATTCCTTCCACCGTCCGACTATAGCCTCAGTTGACGTCAGCAGCTCCCCATCCCCACTGTAAACAGTGTGAGCGAGTTGCTGCCTTCCTCTCCTGAGGCGCCGGACAGTTTGCCAGAACCTCTTTGGAGCCGATCGATAGTCTTTCTCCATGGCCTCACCAAACTCCTCCCACGCCCGAGATTTTGCCTCGGCAACTGCCACTGCTGCACCCCGCTTGGCTATCCGGTACCTGTCTGCTGCCTCCGGAGACCCACAGACCAGCCACGCCCTGTAGGCCTCCTTCTTCAGCCTGACGGCTCCCCGAACCTCTGGTGTCCACCAGCGGGTACGGGGGTTGCCACCACGACTGGCACCGGCCACCTTACGACCACAGCTAGCAACAGCCGCCTCGACAATCGCAGAGTGGAACAAGGCCCACTCGGACTCAATGTCCCCCACTGCTCTCGGGACGTGGTCAAAGCTCTGCCGGAGGTGGGAGTTGAAGACCGTCTTGACAGGTTCTTCTGCCAGGCGTTCCCAGCAGACCCTCACTATGCGTTTGGGTCTGCCAGGTCTACACGGCATGTTCCCTTGCCATCTGATCCAACTCACCACCAGGTGGTGATCAGTTGACAGCTCCGCCCCTCTCTTCACTCGGGTGTCCAAAACATACGGCCGCAGGTCAGATGATACGACTACAAAATCTATCATCGACCTGTGACCTAGGCTGCCCTGGTACCAAGTGTACCGGTGGGCATCCTTATGTTCGAACATGGTGTTCGTTATGGCCAAACTGCGGCTTGCACAGAAGTCCAATAACAAAACACCGCTCGAGTTCTGATTAGGTGGGCCGTTCCTCCCAATCACACCCCTCCAGGTCAAGCTGTCATTGCCCACGTGAGCATTGAAGTCCCCCAGCAGGACAATGGAGTCCCCTGATGGAGCACTATCTAGCACTCGTCCCAGGGACTCCAAAAAGGGTGGGTACTCTGAACTGATATTTGGCCCATAAGCACAAACAACAGTCAGGACCCGTTCCCCGACCCGAAGGCGCAAGGAAGCTACCCTCTTGTCCCCCGGGGTAAACCCCAACACACAGGCAGAGAGTCTCGGGGCTAACAAAAAGCCAACCCCAGCCCTCCGCCTCTCACCCGGAGCAACTCCAGCAAAGTAGAGTGTCCAACCCCTCTCCAGGTCTCGGGTACCAGAGCCAATGCAATGTGTCGAGGTGAGTCCGACTATATCTAGCCGGTACCGCTCAACCTCTGCCACAAGCTCCGGCTCCTTCCCCGCCAGCGAGGTGACGTTCCATGTCCCAAAAACTAGTTTTCTTGTCCGGGGATTGGACCGCCAAGGCTCCCGCCTTGGTCTGCCACCCGATTCGCATTGCACCGGACCCTTCATGTTCCTCCTGCGGGTGGTGGGTCCACAGTTGGACGAGCCCATGTATCCGGTTCGGGCTGGGCCCGGCCGGGCCCCATGGGCGAAAGCCCGGCCACCAGGCGCTCGCTCACGGGCCCCAACCCCAGGCCTGGCTCCAGGGTGGGACCCCGGTAACCCTCCGGGCCGGGTACTCCGACTCTTCGTTTTAACCGCCATGAAAGATCCTTCGAACCGGTGTGTTATGACTAACGGGACATTATCCCATACTGTACTGTATACCAGTCTTTTCCAACTCTGGTCCTCAGGACACACTGTCCTGCATGTTTTTCATGTCTCTGCTTCAGCACACCTGATTTACATTGGCTACTCAGGAGGACATCAAGTACTGCTGTCATGTTCTGTGTCCCTGTGGTCCCCAGCCCCCTCCTGTTCTCCCTCCAGGTGTCCCCTCAGATTCTGTGTCCCTGTGGTTCCCAGCCCCCTCCAGGTTCCCTCATGTGTCCCCTAATCTTCTGTGGCCCCCTTTTTGGTCCCCAGCTTCTTCAGGTTTCCCTTTAGTCACTTCACTTACCATTAGTTTATTTATCTTTAGTCTTTGTTCTACAGTGTTTAAAGTTCAGGTTATTTTAGTGGCTTTGGTTTAGGATTTAGATATGATTTTCTGGTTTCACCTGTGCCCAAATCCCCACGCACCTGCTTCTCGTCTCCTATCTCCCAGCCCTGTGTATATAACCCTGTCTGTGTCTCTCAGTGTTTATTGGTCCATTGTCGTTGTCAGTGTTGTTCTGTTCCTCCTCGTGACACTCTAGGTTTTGCTCATCAAAGAGCTTTTTGTTTTTGTCAGTCGGCTTGGCTTCCTGCCCCTTCTTGGATTTTTGGATTTTTTGGACATTGACTCCTAATAAAAGGATTTTTTGTTTTACTACGCTCCTGCCTTGTGTCGTTCTGGGTTTCTGCATCTTGGGTCCTGACCTACTCCTGCACCACATGTGACAGTTACAGATGCCCGTTAATCACTGATTCATTTAAGTCAGGTGTGTGGCAGCAGGAAAACACTGGTGTTAGGGCAACATGGGAAACATGCAGGACAGTGTGCCTTGAGGACCAGGGTTGGGAAACACTGCCGTATACAATACATTTTTGCAATAGTCGTAAAAATGTATTGTATGGTTTTAATTCTGCTTGTACACTAGTTCTCTTAAACTGATTATATAAATTATACAACAAATTGTGTTCTTTCACAAAATTATTTCTCGAAATGTAAAGTCAATTTCTCAAATTTGATTTAAATTAGAATTTCAAGCTGGTTCTATTGAGCTCGGTGAAATTGTGTATAAGCAGCTGGCTTTCTCTGAAACGGTAACATGCTCATTCTGAAAACTTAAACACAAAAATGAAGAAAATAACCTTTAGAAACATAATTTCAAAATCTGAGTCTTACTTTTGGTCCTGCTGGTCCCGCTGGGCCCAGGTCTCCCGGTGGTCCTATTGGACCCTGATAAAAAAAATATACAAATATAGTTCAACCTCTTAAACATTTAACATCACCAGCATCTGTTTGACTGCATTTTTGCCCAAAAATCTAAATATTTCAACTCGGCAGCACAAAAAGGATGATTTACAATTCATAAATGAAGTTTCATGTTTTAGGACCAACCAGCAGGTTTTAGCTGCTGTGGATTAAAAACAAAAGTTTAACAAGATCAACATCAACAAGCACTGATCTCATTCCTTTTGATTCTCAGACATGTTCACAAAATAACAAGGAACACAGAAAACACATAAGTAAGAATAACTATCTAATCTCATCACACAAAGTGTCTTTCTGCTAAAGAATAACGTCTCACAAGCCTGGATTCACAGCTTTGGTGTCGGGATTACCTATAATCCAATATTCACATTCCATAAGTGCATTCTGGAATACCACTTCCAGTTTTCACATTGAAGAGACAAAAGGCAGACTCCCTGAAGTGGATTAACTGGTGTTTTTGCTTTAATGTGGCTTGCAGGCAGTAGACTCAAGGATATAAATATACTGTGACAGAGACAAAATATCCCATCAAAAGAAGATTTCCATCAAGAAATGTTAGTTTGCGTTTTTTTAGTCATCAATATGAAATTATAAAAAAAGATGAAAATACTACTGAAACTGAAGATTTGATAAACTGAGGTACTTTCAGCATCACATCCAGACTCTAACCATCAAAAAGAGATTAGACATCATTTTGGAGGAGACACAATTAAGTGAATCCATTTAAAAGTTTGAAGACATTGAAAAAATGTCAGAATATTTCTCTTAGAAATGCAACATTGACCATGATTATGGTGTAAACATGTCCAATGCTGTGTGTAGTGTTTGTAATGGAGGGTTCATGAACAGTTGTAGAAGAGGAAGGGGTCAGCATGCAGGTTGCTTAAATCCTCTTGGCCCAATATATAAAACCTGATCACTGGATGGTTGGCTTTGGACACAGCTACGAAGATCAATTTAAACAAAGAATCAACTCCAGTCAAAGTCTGGAAGGTCAGAGCCCATCAGGATTAAAAAAAGACACAAATGGAGATTGTGATTAAAACCTACAAACACTAACTAAAACCAGTTTGGAAGTGACAAAACGTGGTAAAGACTAAGGTGAAGCACCTGTTCTCCTGCTGGTCCTGGTTGTCCTGGAGGTCCTTCGTGTCCCTGCAAGAAAATGCGTCAGTCGTCTCAAAGACACAATAGTGTGATAGACTTTTAAAGACTTGCGTAAATAAGGATCGTACGTTCTTGCCCATTTCTCCAGGAATGCCACACTTTCCTTGTTGTCCCTGCATCAAACAAATCAAATTATGATCTACAGAGCCAATAATTTTTGAATGAAATAATACAGGTGAAGCAAAAAGGTTCACTCACTTTGTTGCCTTTAGAACCAGGAGGCCCCTGGGAAGGTTTCTATGTTAAGGAGTTTGCTGAGGATGTGAGAATCTGAGAGAAAAGAGAGGAAGAACTTTTACCTGTGGGCCGTCGCTTCCAGGTAGACCGTCAAATCCAGGATTGCCCTTTAGAGAGAACACAGCTCAGAGAAGTTAACTTCTGAATGAATGAAACCTTTTATCTGAACCCACATCTCAGCTAACCCAACAAATAATAATAATTATGAAAAAAGCAGGGGTTGAACTTGATTTAATAATTAATCATACGCTTTGAAATGAATTAATCTGAATTAATCTTGATTAATCACATTTTAATTGTTCAATTAATTCATTATTTACAATTTGCCTCCAAGAAAAACTTTTTTAAATAAAAATAATGCATCACTGTGAGTCAGAAGGTCACCAGAGACCCTAAGAAGAGCTGTTTCAGTGGAATGACCTCTACAAAAACCTGACTGGAAAGTACCATAGATGTTAAGTTCATCAAGAGCAACTGTGAGTTGTTTAGCCACAACCTTTTCCAAGATCTTGATGATGAACAGAAGTTTAGAGATGGGTCTGAAGCTGCTATGGAGAGAATGGTCAAGACTCGTTTTTTAAAGAAGCGGGTGGCTCACAGTGTTCTTAAAGTAAGCAGCGACCTGACCAGAAACCAGAGAAGCAATAATTTTAGAAAGCACACCGGGACCGATGGACTGAAAAGCACTGCTGAAGGGCTACAAGATGAAAGTTTTATGTATGCTTGTACCTTCTGCTGTAATAAAGTTCATATGGATAAAGCTACTGCCTGCCTGCCGTCTAACAGCTAGATAAAATACCAGTAAAAAGTTTACTTTTCTTTCTTTCTCATATTCATGAAGAGAAATTTGTCACGATTAATTTAATTGTAGCTTTAGTTTTGTTTGGAGAACGTAAAAAATGTTTGTATGGTCTTGTAGCACTGTCTCTGCAGTTTAGTTAGAGGTGCAGCTTTGTGATGTGTATTGTTATACAGAGCATACATTGTGATGCAAAATTTCTTCAGAGAGGAGGGCACTAAGCTCAATTTGTTAATTAATTGCAATAAATGCATTAAAATCCCACCCTACAAATCAGATCTTTTAGGATGTTTCAAAGGAAAAGGAAAAGCTCAGTGATCAAATCTTTAACTGACTTCCTTGATTCCTTTGGTTTAGCACACGATGGTTTCATATGTTTATATGTTTTACACACAAACAACCGTGCACCATAGGTGACAAACCCACACAAAAATAATATATAAAATTATTTAAGAGCATTAAAAAAACTGAAATAAATCAACACGGATATTTCCATCTTCACAATAGTTTTTTTTAAACTGCTTTAAAATAAGAAAAGACCACTTTACACAAAGGCAACTGTCTTTCTAATTTGTTGCACAGTTTCACTCCACAAACAGCCTTTTTAATGTTCTTTCTGCAAAAGAGTCAAGAAAATGGAAAATTATTTTGCAAAACTACCAAAAATAAAAAGACTTGATAACGTCAATGAAGCTAAATGAGAGAAGCTGCCTGCTCCTGTTGGTAGCAGGCGTTGTGCAGAACAATTTACCCCAAAGTGAATTAACTTTTCTGCATGAACTATGGCAAGCCAATTTATCATATGATAGTTTTACAGAAACACAAGTTTCAAAGGATGTATTCATGGTAAATGTATGGAGATTTCATAGGGTTCTACAACCCCCCAAGGTGATTCACAACACAATCAATCATCCACCCATCCACTTTCACACTCTAGTGATGATGAGCTGCAAAGCCACATTTACCATTTACCACATCACATAAGTCTAAAAAAGGTCTGAGAGACTCACAGGACTTCCTGGAGGGCCTCTCGCTCCTTTCTCACAGAAGCATGCATAGATCTGAGTACACTAAAAACAAAAATTGTATGTCAGTTCTGCCATTTTTCAGTGATTATTCAGAAAAAAAACAGTTGAATTCCATAAATAAGCTCACCCCTTGAAGTGCAACAGCTCCCTAAAATGAAAACAAAACAAAACCAGTTATAAACAGAACAGAGACTGGATCAAGATGCCACGAAAACCTACACAAACATTTATTTATTATTTTGGGGAAAATAAATCATTTGTGTCTTGTTTGCTCATTTTGTGTGGGACTGGAAGGAGACTCAGGTGAAATCTGTGGTTCCTCACATTGTGTCTGTTTACACAAAAAATAAATCTGTTTCACACAAGTTCTCCCCCCACCCACTAGGGGCTGACTCCAGAAAGGAGCAAGTTCCCATTGACTCCCATGTTAAAAATGTCAAATTTACAGCAGCATTAAACGATTTTACATCCTGATTAAAACCTTTTTAGATGTAACACGTCAACTTTACTGTCGTGACAACTCACCTAGCTCATTGCTACATGGACTCAAGTGTTTGATGAGCGTCAATGTTTCTTACATCAGCTCGGGTACCAAACTCACCATCTCCCTCAGCATGGTCTCTACTAGTTGAGGGTTCTGAAGATTTTGGACAAACTGCTGAGCAGGCGTGCTGGAGACGGCCCGGAGGTTTTCAGCATTCTCTTTCTGCTGAGAGACATCAGACAAACCAATGGTGAAGAACTTGATGCCTTGATCTTTGGCCTCTGCTGCAGCTTCCATCATGGTGAGACTCTCTGGGAAGCTGAACCCGTCAGTCATCAACACAACAATCCGGACGCTGTCCTTTGGTGTCTCCCTCAGCAGGAGCTGTGAGGCGCTGTAGATGGCGAGGGTGGGGTCAGCGCCCTGGCCGACGTAGTTCATGCCGCTGACCTCACTGTGGAATGAATTCACATCTTTCCAGTCTATGAACCTGTGACTGATGGACACGGAGTCGCTGAACTGCAGTGCGGCCATTTGCACCTTTAGCACCCAGCCAGACACCTGGAGCAAGGTGAGGCGGGTGCTGAACCCCAACACGAAGGCCTTTTGCTGCTGAAACAGGTCCTGTTTAGTCATCTCAGAGCTGTCCAGGATAAACACCACCGCCAGAGAGCACGATCGGCCTGGAGGGGAGGAAAAGTCAAAAAGTCACGTGACTTCAAAGTCCAAAGATGCACAAACCTTCCAGTAAAAGTAAGATTGTTCATTACAAAGATTGCTTTATACCAGCCTCCCCTCCAGTGGCAGATCAAGGATTTTTCTGCCTATTATGGCTATCAAGGGGCAACAATATTAACAGAGGAGCTAAGTATTAGTCAGACACACTTACACACAATCCCTGTTCTTTATTCTGTGAATTCATTGGGAAATTATCATTAATGCAGACTTAGTGGTACTTTTCATGTCATACTTGGAGTTTTGACTTCTGGCCCAGTCCAGCCCCAGACTTAGCATTGGCCTGGCCTTTCTTGGTCAGGTTTTGTTCACACAGCCTTCTCAGAAACACAGACATCTCTGAGCACGTGGGCGAGGCAAAAGGCACGAAGGCTGCGGTGTCCTACTTAAGTCAGTAAACAATGGCGGCTGTGAGCAGCGTTGCTTTTGAAGACTCTGATATTGCATTCTGCTCTCTCTCTCTAACTGTGACTGCTGTGTGCAATCCTCACAGCAGTCTGTCCTCGTGCTGCCATGGCTGGAGTGGCAGCTCTGAGCTGTAGTCAGAGGAGATGTTTACTCCATAGCATCCAGAATGATAATGAATCATGCATGTGGGAGGCCCCAGCTGGCTGATTCTGCCCACCAATTTAATAGTCCACTCTGTAAAGTTGAGTGAAACAATGATCAGGTGCTCCAGGTAAGATCCCTATCCGAGGAGTCCAAAGAATAATCAGAAGAGCCAAGAACCACTCAGACAGAACTTCAGGAAGACATTGCATCAGCAGGTAAACTATAAGCAATGCACTGAACCACCATGGCATCCATGCACGCTCATCCATTGCTCTCCACTGCTGAACAAAAAAGCACATTAAGGCTTGGTTAAAGTTTGTAAAACAGCATTTGGAGAAGCCTGTGGATCACTGGGAGACTATAGTATGGTTAGATGAAACCAAACTGAACTTTATGGCTGTCATTCTATCCACCATGTTTGGAGAAGAAATGACACTGCCCACCACCCCAAGAACACCATACAAGTAAGTCTGGGGGTGTAAGCATCATGGTGCGGGCTGATTTACAGCAAAGGATACTGGCAGACATCATATTATTGAAGCCAGGATGAATTGAGAAACTGCCATCTACCAGAAAGCTTAAAATGGACGGTGGACATTTCAGAAAGACAATAATCCCAAACACAAGGCCAAGGAAACAATCAATAGGTTTCAAAGAAAGAAAACCAAGTTGCTTGAGTGGCCCAGCCAATCACCTGACCTAATTCCCAGAAAAAAATCTAAGGAGAGAACTTGAAGATCAACGTTCATAAAAGAGAACCAAGGGACCTTCAAGATTTAGAGTGCCACTCCAGAGCAACGTAGACAACTGGTCTCTCCATACAAGAGACGTCCAGAAGCTCTTATCACCAACAACGGCTTTTCTACAAACTATTAAAGTGTGTTCAATACTTATTCCCTGTGTCATTTCACTTTATTTATTATGACTCAACTTGTAAACTTAAATGGTCTGATATCTTTGTATGAACATTTGGCTTCACGGCAAAATGGTGGAAATTTTGTGTAAATCACCCACTTAGCAGTACCCTTACTGCTGATAAAAATGCTGATGTGTCAAAAGCTTATTCTCTCAGCTGTATTTGGCACATTTCTGTAGTAAATCCACCATTAGAAAAGGTGCAATAAAACATGTAACCAGAGGAAGGCTCTTGTAACTTATGTTATGGTGAACTTTCCACCCATTATCCACCTGTAGAGTGTAAAAGTGCCACATCAGAACTAAACAAAACCTTTAATCCTGTCTGTTTCTACAGAGAATAGCTCAGATTTCTGTGTGTTTGATTAAGTTTATGTGTTGCACTTACATGTTGAGCTCCTCAGTCCAGACCAGTCTCAGAAACCTTGGTGTTCTTTTTGACCAATCCACGTCTTTGAGCTGCCACTCAAAACATTTAGTAAAAAATTGCTTTTATCATTTGAGAAACATTTCCAAATTGAGAGCTTTTACTTCAAAATCGGACAAGGAGATGATTATCCATGCTTTTATTTCTTCTCGTTTAAATTATTGTAATTCTATCTTTACTTGTTTTAACAAATCAGATGTCAGCCGTCTCTAGTTGGTCCAGAACGCTGCAGCAAGGCTTTTAACAGGAACCAATAGAAGGGCTCACATAACACCAGTTTTATCTTCTTTACATTGGCCACCGGTCAAGTTTAGAATTGATTTTAAAATTTTAGTTTTGACTTTTCAAGCTCCAAAATATTTATCAGACCTTTTAATCCCTCACTCTTCTGGCCGCACTCTACGGTCCTCGGGTGAAAACCTACTGAAGGTCTCTAAGACCAGATTGAAAACTAGGGGGGACCTGTCCTTTCAAGCTGTAGCTCCCAGGCTTTGGAACGCCCTGCCCCTGTTTCTTCGTGTGGCCACTTTGTGATTTTATCTGTGAAAAGTGCTATATGAATAAAGTTTGACTTACTTACTTACTTACTTACTTGCACTTGAATACATCATATAAAGGTGTGACAAAGGGCAGCATTTCTTTCAGGCTGTCAGAAGTTCAGATGGAGGGACCGCAGTTTTAATTCTTTTCTATCCCTTTGGCCTCAGAGGGATGAGCTAAAACAACACGTCTGACCCGCTGACGCCTGGTCTCACGGCTAACAGGACATCAAAGATTTGCTGCAAAAATGTTTTGCTATTGACTCCCCCGATGGGTCGGGGCTATTCACTGTAGTACACACATTAGTCATGCGGTCAACAACACACAGTATTCACCATTTCAGTTTAGTCAGGGAATGAGAAACTAAATCATTTTATCTTGTCGTTCAGTCAAATCCCGTTTCCTCAATCCTGATCCAGTGAAAGATTCTCACCAGTATTCCTGCGGCTAACGCTGAGAACTTCGTTTCCATCATCACGCGGCGTGTAGTTTTTCCTCCATGATGATTTCCTCCTCTGCCCGGTGGCTTCATGAATCAGAGCTAACAACAGCAGCCAGAGCCCCAGTCCTCTGCTCAGACTTCCCAGCAGCAGCATCTCAAACTCCGGCTTTGGAAGGTCTGCATGGAAAATACAAAACAAACATCCCGCTTCAGCATCTGGGCAGGTTCCCCAGGGCCCTAGTGACACTTCAAACCCCTTAGATGATGATGATGATGATCGTGCAGCAATAAACACTTTTACCATCATTAAATAAGTAAAATGAAAAATCAGCTTCTACCTGATTCAGATGTGATGAGTTACTGTGGCCCATGCAGACCGTGGGAGAAAGGTTCTGCGCCCCGTTTGGATCGGGTCACTAAGCCCAGACTGAGATGAGCTGATACGCTGTGGCTCAACGCCAGGACTTCCCTCAGCTATGAATGAGCAAGAGTCATTCCTTTAGAAGCCTGTCTGTAATTATTGGCTACGTAAATAAAGTTTTTTGTGTGATTTGTTTATAATGGTGATTGCAAAAGCAATAATAATAATTGTATAGTTTCTAAATCCTATGCTTAATCCAAACAACATATTTTAATTTGTATGTGGAATGGTTACCTTGCAGTGTTACAAATAATTTAATAAATAAAATAGATTATTTCAACAAATAACTTAATCTACTTTATCTAAAAATAGTTTCAACGTTTTTCAGTAAATAAAAATCCTTAATAAGTCACACAATCTCTATCTGTTATAATGTTTTAATCCTTCCATAAGACAAATAATTATTTGGTTTGAAAAAAAAAGAAGAAGAAGAGGCAATTCGTTCCCTGCGCATTGCACGCCCTCTTGCGGGGAAAGTTACCTTGCGGAACTCTCTTCACTTTAATCAGTACGGAATTATTTTGGTGTTGCACACAACATCCGTATACGACATGTGTGCATCAAAACATAACTCGGTCGGCTTTTTAAAGGTTCTACATGTAAGTACTAATTTACTGTTTTTGTTAATTTTATCACTTGGTAGCGAAATCGTTTTTACTGCTGGGTAAATTAGTGAAGGAGAACCTGTTTAGCACGTCCTTCACCCGTTAGCTTTAGCTTAGGTAAGCTAGCATACAAGCAAATTTGGTACTTTTCTTTCACGAGCTTGTGCAACTTTTGGATTTTAGTAGATGGGTTGAACTTTGGGCCCACAATGATTTCTTCATTTAGATATCAGAACTTGTTAGCTAGTTAGCATCTCGTGGGTGACTCAACTGTTTGAAATCAGTTGCAAAGTTTCAGTAGTAGATGTCGGCTAACTCTTCACACGTTGACCTTAATTGATTGACTTTATGAGAGATTACTGCGGAAAAGTCTCAAGACTTCCAAATGCAATCGAATTTATCATAATCTGTGGTCATGATCAGTATGTTTTTATCTTTCTGGGTGAACACTATCTTCTTAGAATCCCAGTAATCACAAAGAAATAAAAAGAGGGTTTTAAAAATAAAATGTGTTGGAGTGAAACTATATTGAAGAACTTCAACAATGATTCTAAATCTGGTTCTTTGGTAATGAAGCCCTGACAAACAAACATGAAACATTTTGACTTCATGCTATGTTTATAAGTCACAATAAATATAAGGATCAACGCGTTTCTCATTTGTTCTATATTATTGAACCAGATTTTGATAACTTTTGAAATTATAAAATGTGATGTTGTAAAATATTACAGTAGTAAAAAATTTTACAAAATATTTAAACTCATTTTGTGTCAAAAAATAATTGATGCATGAATAATTAGCTGTCTTTAGTCATTTTGACATCTGTCCCCCTCCAGCAGAAATACATACACCATCTCATGTAGACCAGAACTGCATCATGCTGCACTGCATTATTTTTACTATTACACAATTGCCTGCTGTGAGATGACATCTACCCACTGCTGTCTGATTCACAGTCTCCCATGTCTTCTGTCATATTTCCAGATTGTTGAAAGCAGACTGTGTTGAAGCTCATTTTGCTCCTTCTGAATCATGAGTGGCTCAAAGCCGGACATCCTGTGGTCTCCTCACCACCCGGACCGCTACGTCATCTGCGACTCTGAACTAGGACTGTATCGCATTGGGCCTGTGGGTGGCACAGAAACAAAGCCTGGCACTCTGCCACTCTCCGAAGAAACTGCTGCTACTTTATTGGCTATAAACTCTGACACCCCTTATATGAAATGTGTGGCCTGGTACCCGAAGCACGAGCCTGAGTGTTTACTTGCAGTGGGACAAGCTAATGGCAGAGTTGTGCTCACCAGTTTGGGCCAGAGCCACAACTCTACATGTAAAGAGCTAGTGGGGAAAGAGTTTGTGCCCAAACATGCGCGACAATGCAACACTTTAGCCTGGAACCCTGTGGACAACAACTTACTGGCTGCAGGGCTGGACAAGCACAGGGCCGACTTCTCTGTTCTTATTTGGGATATTAGCAGTAAGTTCGCCCCAGAGACCAGCGTAGCAGCTGAGAAAATCCGTATCTCAACTGTGGATTTGGATTCAAGCATGGTAGTGACTAAGCCATTGTATGAGCTTGGCCAAAACGATGCTTGTTTGTCTCTGTGCTGGTTGTTTCGAGACCCCAAGCTGCTCTTGGCTGGTATGCACAGGAACCTTGCAATATTTGACCTGAGAAACACCAGCCAGAAGATGTTTGTCAACACCAAGGCCATCCAGGGCGTGACAGTTGACCCACACTTCCACGACCGTGTAGCCTCCTTCTTTGAGGGGCAGGTGGCTATCTGGGACTTGAGAAAGTTTGAGAAGCCTGTGCTCACACTTACAGAGCAGTCTAAACCTCTTACCAAGGTATGAAGGAGCCTTTTCCTGTTTTAAAGAGACATTTATTTAATGCTTCATTCTTTAGACTGTAGCTGTGTTTTGCTGTTTCCATTCTCAGGTGGCATGGTGTCCAACTCGTACCGGCCTTCTGGCCACGCTCACGCGTGACAGCAACGTCATCCGCCTGTACGACATGCAACACACTCCTACGCCCATCGGGGATGAAACAGAGCCCACCATCATCGAGCGGAGCGTGCAGCCATGTGAAAGCCAGATTGGCAGCTTTGCCTGGCACCCCTCCTCTCAGAACCGCATGGTGGTGGTGTCCGCGACCAACCGAGTCATGACTGATTTCACCGTGTTCGAGCGCATCTCTCTGGCCTGGAGCTCCACCACATCACTCATGTGGGCGTGTGGGAGACACTTATACGACTGCGCCGAGGATTCGGCCGAAGGAGCGGAGAGCACCGTTGAGAAAGACATCGCCACTAAGATGAGGGAGCGAGCTCAGTCCAGGTACGGACACGACACTCTGCAGGTGTGGAGAAACCACCTGCTGGCTGGAGGGAATGACCCCCAGCTCAAGTCCTTGTGGTACGATCTGTCCTATATCCTTTAAGGTGATGAAGTGACAGAAATACTTGTGAGTAAAGGTAGAGCTTTTGAAGTAGCAAATCAACTTCCAAAAGTTTTAAAGCATTTTATGAAGACCGAGTTCACAGAGACGCCGTTTTTCCTTGTCGTTTTTAAATATGGTCAGTCACTGAGTTTCACATGAAGGCTAAATGTGGAAATGATCTAACAGAATAGAATACAATAAGACTTTATTGTAATTGCTTCATGAGCAACTAAATTGCAGGTGGTCCACCCACAACTTTACTCAGAACACACAGGACATGAAATGTACACAGAACATACACACAGTAATATACACAGGATAATGTGCAAATTAATTCTATATTTCATGTAGGAGTCCCAGTTTATGGTTCTGGTTGGGGGGGTTTCAGTGGTTGATGCTATTTGATCTGCGTATGGCCGAGGGGAAGAAGCTGTTGGTGAGCCTAGTGGTGTGCCATCTGACTAACCTGTAGCACCGTCCCAAGGTCCATTTCCTTCATTAGCTGCCAATAGAAAATAGACGGGAAAACTCGGGTTAGAAAAGCCTGACGTTTCCACGTCAGACTGTAAATTTGCATTTTGGCTCATGACAGGGAAGGCTATTGTTGGTTTACCGTCCAACAGAGCACATCTCAGCTAGTAGAAGCTAATCGTCAGCATTAGCAACTCCACCACACTGCAGAACTACATCAGCCTTGTGTTGTTTGTGGAGATAAAACAACCTCGCAGATCAGAGCCATTGGTAGAGTCCCGTTGCTGTTAGCCAATCAGAGATGAGATGTCTGAATCTAATCCATCCAACTAACTTCTAGTTCCTGAAACAGGAGTGCCATGGTAAACAAAGCCTTGCTCTGCTAACGGCTTCTAAAATGGAAGAATTTGGAAAGTGTCTTGCTGGACTGATGCAGTGTTTGTGAAAACACGCTAGCCTTTTCTCTTAACTTGTAAAAATAAACAAAACTTCCTGAAATCTATGAGGTCCGTGACACAGACATTTGTCAGAGATCATCTCTGCTGCTGTTGCTGCTGCTGGCAGGCAGTGTTTTTTTTTTTGTTGATCTTTACACCAGAGGCTTTACAAAATCAAGGTAAGCTAAAATCTTAATATTCTGCTAGTATCACTGTCATATGACCAAAACAGTTACATGCAATAACAACAGCCCCATCCGCCTGAAACACACACATTCGGCAGCAGTTTTACTTCTCGGATCGATACAGACATGTTTAACGATGACTAATATCGGCCGATATAGATATTGTTGCTGATATATCGTGTATACCTAATTACATCTTAGCTTTGAGTTCTACAGATATTGAGTCTTTGAAACGGTTTTGTTGATCTTTTTAAGATAAGCTGATTACAGTTTAAATCAGAGGTGGAAATGCATAACTGTAAGAATGAAATTTGATCTGGTCCAGTTGGTTATGATTCCTATGTAAGTTTCACATATGAAGCAGTGTGCAGAAGACATGGAACTAAAGCTGCAGGGGAACAAGCAGTCGTTGGTTTATTCTGGTATCAAGAACATCATCAGAACCAGCTCCGGTAGGAAAATAAATGGAGAAATGATTTCCAGAACATTCTTGTTGCTTGTTATTAGGTTGAGTTTTCTGTTGTCTTCCTTGTGCGTTAAGGCACCACAGAGAGCCGCCGCTGCTGGATCGGCTCGGACCGGCAGACAGACGTGCCGCGCTTTAGCAGTGAGGAGCGCTGCCTCGCCCTGCGGCTCTGTGGCTGGATCAGCCGGGGTCCTGACATCGACGTGGAGACCTTCCTGCGATCGCTGGAGCAGGAACGCGAGTGGGAGCGGGCGGCTGCCATTGCTCTGTTCAACCTGGACATCCGCCGGGCCATCCAGATCCTCAACAAGGGAGCCACTATGGAGAAGGGTGAGGGAAAGCTGGTCGGATTCGTCTCGTTTTCCTGTAAACCATCATCCTGGTCCAGGAGCAAACAGCATAATTAAAAATCTTAGAGATTCAAAGACGAAAGCCGTCTGCTTTATATGTCTGATGGTCCTCGGTACCCGGATATGAACGAAAACTAATAAAGTACCGTTGGAGGAAAAAAACAGAGCAAGCCAGCTTTCTAAAGCATTTTAAACACCGACAAGTCCAAAGTGCTGCACACTAACAGCAGTCACATAATACGACATAAAATCAGAAAGACTTAAAATCAATAAAATAATAAAAACAATAATATATTCAGGCAAGATAAAAATTAATGGTGGAACAATTGGTAGCAGGAGGTCACAGGTTCCATCCCCAGCTGTGAGCATGTTCTTTTCACGCTTGCATGGATTTTCTCCGGTTTCCTCCCACAGACCAAAAACATGCATGTTGGGTTTATTGATGCTCTGCAGGTGACTACCATATAAATAAACATAAACATAATTAAAGGCATTCAGTGCTTAAAGTAACACTAAATATTTTTTTAAACTTTAAGCTAGAGCTTTAACTGATTGTTGGGTTAGTAACTCGACAAGTTCCATTATGTGACACCACTCTGCAGCCCTCTACTGGTCAGATACAGCACTTAACAGATTTGTGGAATAGGTGGGTGTCCTAGGGGGCGCTCTTAAATCTGCGTTATGGCTGTTAGCGATTTTCTGGGCAAGTTTGATCTTCTGTTGGCATCATGGCGGCGCTGGAAGTAAAAGCAAGAGAGTAATGTCTTTGGAGGTGAAGAAAAGAGCTAAAACCGGAGTAAACATCGGCGTGGCCTACACTAGTTTTAAGGAAGCTAAAAAAGGCTGTGAAATAACAGGCTGATGGTGACCTAGCTTTGTTACTACAAGACTTGTAAATAATAATATTTTCTGTCCAACAGTGTGGATCTTTTTGATTTGTGGCTTATTTAGTAAGACATGGCTCATGTCAGTGTTGGCTTGTTGCTAGCGCTAGCTACAGCAGACTGGTGCAGGGATGTTGTAATTCCACTTTCAACCAGTAAGGCAGAGGAGCAGGAAACTGCTCAGTGTTACTTTAAGATAAAAATTTTCTGAAATTAGGACACATGATAAATCAAACTTTTTATCTAGAAAACAAATGCAAAGAAAAACAAAACATTTTACGTTCATTATTGGTATTTTTGAGAAAACTTGGAATTGCAGGTCAAAGATCATTTATTACTGAAGTTAGGTGAAGACCAAGATGGAGAGGCTTTGTAAGTGTTACAAACTTTTCTCCTAAACATTTTAACTGGAATGTTTTTCTATCCAATAATCTTCAAACATGTTTTTGGTTCAGAAACCCAAATCTGTGCTCTCCAGCACAACCATCGTTTCTCCTTTAATAAAATGTTCCTTTAAAATAAGGAAGGCTTTGTTTTTTGTTGGTAATTGTGTTAGGATGGAAACATCTGAATGATTTTTGCCCCGTTCTAATGGAGGTGGTCCCACCTCCTGGTGGGAAAATCCAACCACCAACGAGTGCCGCTACCTAGCAACCAGTGTTTTCATGTGCTTGTGAGGGTGTTCGGAAACATGGACGTAATCTATGGATTTTAAATGAATCTAGACACAAAGCATCATCTCTAGAGCTAATGAAATAAAATTCCTGGAGGAAAAACAGTGGAATTTGAAAAATGTGACAGCAAAAGGCTCGTGTTTTCTCACACTGCAAAGTTGTCACACTCAAGTTAAACGAAAATGGAGAGAGAGAATGCTGATGTTTACACACGTGTGACCTAGAAAATGTCACCAATGTGGGTTGAGCGTTTTTCTGTTGTGTGTTCTAATGAGAGTTTCCTGAGCATGACTGATGCAGTCATTCATTAGATAAAGTGTGTAAACACCTCATCTGGAACCATGCTTTTACTCTGAAAAGCTACATGCAGCCTTATGTAATAATACAGATAATCACTCATCAGTTGAAGAGCATAGGTAAGCTCACATCTCAAAGGGTTATAAATACTATAAAAATACATGCATAAAATATTTAAATTTGTAACTAAACACTTCAACCAGTGCTTCCTCAGAATGGAGTGAAACAGGAAACGTTTGCTATCAGATCGGAGCGCTACAATTATGCTGTTTCTCAAGCCACCCAGACTGTCTCTAAAAGTAAATATTAACTTTCTTGCTGTAAAGTGAAAACACCCAACTGGCACTGTCCCCTTTAGGGGTCCCACAGAAAATCCCAGAATGCTCTGAAGACGTTCACTCAAAAACAAAAGTGGTTCTTTTTTTAATTCAATTTTGCTGAAATGCAAAACCTAAATAAAGAAGCAGCTCATATAATATTTTCATACATTTGAATCTTCCTGTTCTTGCTTCGACTATCACTTTACTGATGTCTAAAATCTCACCTTAAGGTTGAATATTTAAGTTGTACAGAAACCAAAGGCGGATAGGCGGATTGGTGCTGCATTTACGGTGATGAGGGCGTTGTATCGGTGAAGAGAGAGCTGAGCTGGAAATCGAAGCTCTTGATTTATCGGTTGATCCACGTTCCAACCCTCATCTTTGGCATGAGCTTTGGGTAGTGGCCGAAAGAAAGGGAATGTGGATACAAACGGCCAAAATGAGGTTTCTCTACCGGGTATCTGGCCTTAGAGATAGGGTGAGAAGCTCTGTCATCCAGGAGGGGCTCAGAGAAGATCCGCTGCTCCTCCACATCGAGAAGAGCCAGTTGAAGTGGCTTGGGCATCTGTTTAGGATACCTCCTGGATGCCTCCATGTTGAGGTTTTCCCATTTGGGCTGAATGGCTGGGGAGAGGGAAGTCTGGGCTTCCCTACTTAGTCTGCTGCCTCCGCGACCCGAACCCAGATATGCAAAAGAAAATGGATGCATGATTGAATGGCTGGCAGGAAATCTTGGGTGGATAGATGATGGATGGATACATAAATGAATGGATGCATAGGTGGATAGATGCATAGATGGATGGATGGATGGATGGATGGATGGATGGATGGATGGATGGAGAAACCAAAGTGTATTGCTTTAACAGTGTGTTGATCACAGCCCCAGATTTGCAAAAACGTGAGAATCATCTGCTGCCCCTTTGTTCAGAAGATAAAAATTTCAGATTGTACAACCTTATGTTGCTGAGCTTTAGAGACATGTAGTTGGGCTTCTTGTTAACATTTAGTCACTAAAACCCCCAACAAAGTATTAAACCTTACATGAAACTGGAGGATAATTTTATGAAGCTCCACCTACTTTGAAGACACAACCATAAAATCCTTTATGACCTGATTGCAGTAGAAACAGAAAATACATCCTCTTCCTCTGACCGACAGGTGACCTGAACCTGAACGTGGTTGCCATGGCGCTGTCCGGCTACACCGATGAGAAGTCCTCCCTGTGGAGGGAGATGTGCAGCTCTCTGAGGCTGCAGCTTAAGAACCCCTACCTCTGCATCATGTTTGCCTTTCTGACCAGTGAGCCTGGAGCCTATGATGGCGTGCTGGTAAGAAAAATCCCAGGATGGTGGACCTTTAAAGCTAGTTGGTGGAAAACACAACACTGGCCCTTTTGTTTTGACTTTATATAAAGCTTTATTTATTCTTCACACAGTAATACACTGGCGGGTTATACCTCAGTGATCTTTATATGAAAAATTCTCAGGTGTGCAGGAAGAGGTGTTTCACATTTCACCGTAACACTTAAAAGTTGTTATGTAAAGAGGAACCTTTGCCCAAAGCTAAGTGCTAGTTTATGTTCTTTACACCCTTTCTGTTCTGTTATACTCAGGCTTCTGTTTGGTATTATTTTAATTTATCCTCCTTACCTTTTTCAGGTCAAAACAAGTCATTTTTTGCTCCTGTTGGTTTAAAATCATTAAAGTTGTTGTGTCTTTTTAAAACAAGAATTCTGCATCTGTTTCAGTACGAGAGCAGCGTTGCCGTGAGGGACAGAGTAGCGTTCGCCTGTATGTTTCTCAGCGATGCGCAGGTAACAGCAGCTGATCATGTTCTGGCAGGACTGCATCGTTGCTCCCGCTAACCTTTCTGTGCACGTCGTCGGAGTCTGTTCACGTAAATCGGGTTTATTTTGCTTGTTTTGCTGCAGCTGCCACATTACATTGACAAATTGACCAATGAGATGAAGGAGGCGGGAAACCTGGAGGGCATCCTGCTGACGGGCCTGACTAAAGATGGAGTGGATCTGATGGAGAGCTTTGTGGACCGAACTGGAGATGTTCAGACGGCTAGCTTCTGCACGCTGAAGGTACTCTTGGGGTCGTAATGAAAACACAAAACTGTGGACCTCAATCCCGATAGTAGGCAGTCTAAACAGGAAGCTCACATTTTTTCTCAGATTTTAGAAGGCGCTATATCAAATACAGGCCATTTACCATCTATTTATTAAAGACTTGTCTATAAGAAATGTCGCCAACTCTGCCTTGATCCTTTCGTAAATGAGCACACGATCTGTGATTGACGTGTGTATGTAGGTCGATGTCAAATGCTATTGGCTAATGCTGAGCAGCAGTCAATTCAAATTGCGTGGGGCTCTGCAGGACGGAGGTTACGCTTAGCTAAAAGAAATAGCATTACATTATCGCCCAGCCTTTCCACTAGATGTGTGCGGGGTGATCAACGTAAGGAACTTTTCTTTCCAGATGCTTTACACTGCTTTTGTGAATGACTTCCTGTCTGGCTCGATCTGAACGGCGAAGTTTGACGCATTCTGTAAGTGTAAGCAATGCGCCCCCTACTTCTGAGACGCTTCCAAAATGACTCTTTGCGGTCAGTGGAAATGCACTTATCCGCTTAAACGATGGCTAATTGCTGAGTTCTAGTGGTGTGTCCGTTAAGGTGCCAGAGGAGTCAGAGTTCCCATCACTACTGCGTACAATGTTTCACGGACGTTACGCATTGCCTACGCACCTGGTGGAAAGGGCCGGTCACAGTACAGGGTCACTAATCACTTTTACGGGTTTCTAAAATAAATAATTTCGTGAAATGGGGGAAACTCTGGATTGGTTTTAACTTTTTTTACATTGACTAATCAAGGCTACAAATACTTACTCCAAATACCTGGCCTGTCTCGTTTATCAGGGTTCCCCGGGTGAAGTGTTGAAAGACCCGCGAGTTCAATGCTGGATCGAAAACTACCGCAACCTGCTGGACGCGTGGAGATTCTGGCACAAACGGGCCGAGTTTGACATCCTCAGAGGCAAGCTGGACCCCAGCTCCAAACCTCTCGCCCAGGTAATAAATATAAAAGTCATCTTTGAATTGTTTTATTTTTTGCTTTTCAACATTTTATCTTTTAGTTAATTTAACAGAAAACTGAACACGGTGACTTAGGGAAAATTTGTCACAAGTGTTTTTAAATGATTTAGTCGCAAAATATTTACCAAATTCAGGTTAAAGATTAATTAGCGAATGGCTGTCCTCATGAAACAGCTTTGTTGTGTTTTGACAAACAATCACATGCTTTTGGTTTCTTTGTGATGCAGAACCAGAACACTCAAAGCCGTCCAGGAGTTTTCTTTAACATGTTACACATTAATACGTTCACAACCGTGTTTGTTAACCCTCAGTTAGTTTTTATCAAGCAGTCTGATAGAGGTGTCAGCTGACTGCTTGTGGTTTACAGCTTTGATGCTGGAAATCTGTTGTGCTAAAGGTGTGCAGGAGATGTTTTTCTTGCTGTTCAAGCAAGCTACTTTAAAAAAAAAGAAGAAAAAAAAAAACACACAATTCAAAAGTCCAAATCCCTTTCTTTTGGGTCCACCCCTAAGCCACGCCTCCAGAATACAGAAAAGGGCAATGTTTGTTCCAAAGAGTTCACTTTTTACCTTTTTGACCTGTAGTTGCACCAAACATAACACCCCTACTTAACTGTGTGTTTTTTTAGTACGCTAGGTAGTGTAGCTGGCTCGGCTCTGAATTCACTTCCTGTTTGGCTTTTCCAGATTGAGAAGGTTTGATTTGTGCACATTGAGTGGTACGTGCAAAGGGGAGAGGGACGATCAGAGGGCAGTTTGATGGATGGATCTGGGTCTATTCATTAAGAACGGGACATTCACAGTGACTGGTTGAGGATTTTCTAGGACTGTGCATTTCAGAGATGATTAAAATGATTCATTTTTGACAAAACATTCAATTTATTGGTTGCCATCGGTGTGTGAATTGTATTTCAAGCAATATGGCAGAAATGCTTCAGAAAAACATCCCCTACCCCTCGTTTAAATGAACAAATTCTTCACATTAGTAGGAGGGGCGATGATTTCAGAGGAGTTAAGTGCCCGACCCCCGTATCCAGAGGGTTGCAGGTTTCTGCTCAGGCGGTTGCCGTCGTTGTGTCCTTGAGCAAGACACATCAGCCTCCTTGCCAGCTGGTGGTGGTTGGAGGGACCTGTGATGCCTTTGTATGGCAGCCTCGCTTCCGTCAGTGCGCCTCAGGGCAGCTGTGGCTACAATGTAGCGCATCACCATATATTCAGTGTGTGAATTTGTGCATGTGCTTTTGCGATTGATGTTGTGTAACGTGCCTTTGTGGGTTGTAGAACCCTAGAAGGCTCTTTATCAAATATATATGTTTTTTTAATGTGTGACTAAAAGTGAACTGCTGCTGTAGGTAGGACTTAAAGGAACATCATGGAAGTTTGACAGCCAGAACATGTATAGAAATAATAAATTTCTTCTTCATACATTCTCCTGCAAGGTCCTGTAGAATGAGCCCTGGCATTTTTACTGTGATTGCCTGTTTTTCTGTAAAATCACAGAAAAAGAGATTTGCTTTGGTCGAGCAGGCTGCTTCATGCGCGTTCACGCTCAGGCATAGCCCGTAGCATTTGCTATCCGTAGCTTTAGCGGCAGAGAGCGAGGTAGTGCCAACTGAGCGACTTTGTCGCTGTTCCTAACGCCTAGTGACAAACCTAGCTACATTTCTGAGGACCCTTAGCTACTTTCTGTAGAACTTTCTTCTAGATATTTCCTGCAAATTAGCAACAAAATAGCCATTTTCGCTCCGAACCGTTCTTTGGTTTGACGTTGTTTCAGGTGTCATCAAGGATATAAATGTTACAGATACATCAAATGTTACTGGTGCGTAGCTCACCTTGTAAGTTGTCTGACGCTCATGCAGAAGACCTGGGTTCAATTCTGGGTGTGAACATAGTTCATTTAGAGTTTCTTTTGACTTGAATCTGCACCGAAGGGCCTTGAGTGTCTGTTAGTGCCTGTTTTTGTCTTCTTAAACTGTTGCTTTGCACTATCTTCCATTGGGAAAAGAGAAGGAAACTCATCTGTGGGTTATTCCTGTTGTCTAGTAGCTCCAGTTTGGGCCAATTGAAAACAATAAGTGCAATCAGGGGCTGTAAACGAGCTGTTTCTGCCCTCCCTGAAAGCACTCATCAGGTGATCTAGGTGGGCTGTCCTCTCACCTAAAGCAAAGCTTAACAAGCAACTGCAAGCACTTTCAAACAGACTTGAATCTGCACAGAAGGGCCTTGAGTGTCTGTTAGTGCCGGTTTTTTCTTCTTAAACTTGCAATCAGCTGCTGCATGAACACCTGTTTCCAATTAGTAGCACAGCATAAGTTTGGTGGCATAACTGAAGCGTCAGCGGAAGCGTCAGTCCTTGTGTCTCAGCCCCTCAGGTGTGAAGACACTCCGGGGTAAAGACATACGTGTCTACTTGCGCGTGTCCACAGAGCAGACAAACTTGACCCAGACGCTGCTCCATCAACACCTAGCAAAATGTGCCATTGTCCTATACCTGTGATCACTGGCTTCAGAGGAAGGTCACACACAGCAAACCACTTTCGCAACCTTCAAAACCTCCGCTCGCTAAAACCAACTCCCCCCGAAGACACCCACCTGTCTATGGGACTTTGGAACTGCCAATCAGCTGTAAACAAAGCTGACTTCATTACTGCATATGCTAACCACCTGTCACTCGATGCACTGGCTCTCACTGAGACCTGGATCAAACCTTGTGACAATGCTACCCCATCTGCTCTGTCAGTTAACCACACTTTCTCCCACACTTCACGTGCATCTGGCCGAGGTGGTGGAACGGGCATGTTAATTTCCAATAAATGGATAAACAGTCAGTTGCTACCCATCACTAAATACAACTCCTTTGAATACCATGCCATCCAGGTAACTGTACCGAAAACGTTCTTTTTGGTTGTCATATATCGACAACCAGGTCAACTCAAGAGACCTTCTTGATGAACTCGACACCCTGCTTTCTTCCATTCCTGAGCACGACTGTCCCACAATGGTCCTTGGAGACATGAATATTCACCTAGACAATCCCAGCTCATCAGGCTTCCTGTCACTAATGTCATCATTTGATTTAAAACTAGTACAAAGCCCTCCAACTCACAAAGCTGGAAAAGCACTTGACCTCATTTTCACCAGAAACTGTGCCATAGACACAATCTCAGTCACACCGCTGCATCTTTCGGATCATTACTTCATCCATTTCAGCACGACTCTACAAGGGAGGTCCACTGCTTCCTCCCCAATGGTCTCATTCTACCGCTACCTCCACAATCTGGCATCCAACCACTTCTCCTCTCTTGTTGCCTCCAATCTTCCATCTCCCAGCACATTCTCTGCTTATGAAGTGAATGATGCTACCAAGTCACTCTGCTCCACACTCTGCTCTTGTCTTAACAACTTGTGCCCTTTAGCCACTAGACCTGCTAGATCCTCTCAGTTGCACCCTTGGCTAAATGATACCCTCCGGGCTCTACGCACCAATCTTAGAGCTGCGGAACGGAAATGGCGCAAAACAAAAGATCCTGGTGATCTATTAAAATTTCAGGAATTACTGTCCTCATTCTCTGCCAGCATCACTGATGCAAAGAAAGCTTTCTACACTGACAAAATTCTCAGCTCTACTGACTCTCGGAAACTATTTTCAACATTCAAAACTCTGCTCACCCCTCCATCTCCACCTCCTACTAACAATCTATCAGCTGACACCTTTGCCTCATTCTTCACTGACAAAGTGGCAGCGATAAGAAAACAGTTTTCTCAACTGGCCACTCCTGAACATTCACTACCACAAACTCCTTCTAGCCCGACCATATCAGGCCCTACTGCTTCATTTTCCTCTTTTTCCCTGTCACTGAGAACTGTGTGTCCAAGCTTCTCGCGTGCAGCCGCCCTACTACATGCCCACTTGACCCCATTCCGACTAAGCTGCTCCAAGCTATTGCTCCAACAGTAGCCGCAGCAGTCACACATGTGATCAACGCATCACTGACATCCGGTACATTTCCCACCTCTCTCAAGCATGCTCTGGTTAAACCACTGCTAAAAAAAACCATCTGTTCCTCCAAATCATGTGGAGAACTACCGACCTATCTCTCTCCTCCCTTTTCTGTCCAAAATCATTGAAAGGGTGGCTTTCAAGCAGATCACAGAATACCTCTCACAAAACTGTCTGCTTGACCCTTACCAATCTGGGTTCAAAAAGGGCCACTCCACTGAAACTGCTCTGTTAGCAGTGACTGAATCCTTAAAAGAAGCTAGAGCGACAGACAAATCCTCAGTGCTTATCCTGCTCGACTTATCGGCAGCATTTGACACTGTCAACCATGGCTTCCTTTTGTCCACACTCTCTAGCATGGGCATCACAGAGAAAGCACACGCCTGGTTTAAATCATACCTCACAGGACGATCATTCAGTGTATCTTGGCTTGGACAATCCTCTACCGTGCTCCATCTTGCCACAGGAGTCCCCCAGGGCTCTGTACTTCTCTTTGCCATATACACCACCTCACTGGGTGAGATCATTCGATCACATGGCTTCTCCTACCACTGCTATGCAGATGACACCCAGCTCTATCTGTCATTTCCACCGGACGACCACACTGTCTCTGCACGAATATCAAACTGTCTCTCTGACATCTCAAAATGGATGAAATCCCACCATCTCCAACTCAACCTCTCTAAAACTGAACTACTTGTCATCCCAGCAAAACCATCCATACAGCACAATATCTCAATCCAAAATGACTTCCTATCTCTGGCTCCTTCAAAGGCAGTTCGAAATCTGGGTGTTGTGATTGATGAGCACCTGACCTTTAAAGATCATGTTGCCTCTGTTGCTCGTTCATGCCGCTTAGCGCTGTACAACATACGAAAGATCAGACCATACCTAACACAACATGCTACCCAGCTCCTGGTGCAATCTACTGTCATCTCCCGCCTTGATTACTGCAATGCCCTTCTAACTGGTCTTCCAGGCAGTACTGTGAGACCTCTTCAAATGGTCCAGAACGCAGCAGCGCGTCTGGTCTTCAACCAGCCAAAAAGAGCACACGTCACCCCTCTGTTCATTGAGCTCCACTGGCTACCGCTAGCAGCACGCATCAAATTCAAATTGCTAACACTAGCATACAAAGTCCGAGATGGTACGGCTCCCATCTACCTGAATCCTCTTGCAAAGGCTTACGTCTCGGCCCGGCGGCTCCAGTCATCACAGGATCGTCGGCTAGCAGTGCCTACACCACGCTCAGGACAATCCAGACTTTTCTCATGTATTGTTCCACAAATGTTGAATGACCTTCCAAGCACTACCAGAACTGCGGCTTCCTTTTCAATTTTCAAGAAACTCCTGAAGACCCTGCTCTTCAGAGAGCATCTTCTTAACTAGCACCTTGCCTGCACCCGTCCCCCCTCTCTACTGTCTACTGTCCACTCCTTGTTCCCTCCTCTCCATGACTGATGTCAATGTTGTTGTTGTTATTGTTGTTGTTAGCCTCAAGGGCAATATGCCGATTATCACTTGTAAGTCGCTTTGGACAAAAGCGTCTGTTAAATACATAAACATAAACATAAACACATTCTTTTTTTTACATTAATGGTATATTTTTTTACAGTGAAATGCTCACATTTTTATTTGAGACTCGCCGAACGGCATTGAATTCACAGATAAAAAAGATGTGGGTTCAACTTTCATTTTGGAGCAATTTTTCAAGCAAGGGAAGGGAATGATCTGAGCATGCAGGAGGACTGACCCATCATAAACCTTTGTCGGCTGTGCTGAAGAGAAAGGTACAGAACCAAATTATTTAATTAGCTGCGTGTTCTCCTGTCCTCTGGGCCACACACACACACACACACACACACACACACACACACACACACACACACACACACACACACACACACACACACACACACACACACACACACACACACACACACACACACACACACACACACACACACACACACGGGACTGTCTCAGCTGTTATCTTCGTTAAGGAGTGTGCACGTACAGCATGCGCGCCTCGTGCACGAGCCTACTGTTGAAGCTGCTGTTATGCTTTTGGCCTGAGGAGGCAATCGCGAGCATAAAAATTCAAAAGTCCAAAAAGTCCCTTTAAGGCCCATTTCAGCTCAGGTCATTTTAGTGGGATTTTTGTGACATTCGCAGGTCTCCGTTTCGTCGGGCTGGGTTGCAAGGACCGCTTTCCCGACAGAGTATGTCAACTGGGGTATTCACTTGGAAATAGCCCAAAAGAGTTGCTGGTCAGGACTTCAGCAGACGTTGCCAGACAACCAGCAATTGAAAAATTGAATGAGTTGGTGGTGAAGCAGAATGGAAGGAAAACGAAAAAGAGAAGCGTTTAGCTTTCGAAACTCTCAACACTAAAAATTGAGGCATAAATCTTTCCACAGCGCTTTTTTTACAGAGTTTGAAGGTGTGGTTGATTGAAAAACCTGTTTTTTATCGTTTGTTCTGATTATAATCAGCCACTCTGAGTTTTCTTATGCATGCTGAACATGAAAATAGTCTCCTACACCTATCTCCTGCATTAGCATCTGATAGAAGATAGACGTTGAAACTCTAGGATTTGAAAATTTATCTGAAGTCGTCTGAAGCTCAGCTGTGATGTGGGCAACTTTTAGGTCCAAGAAATGGTACACCGTTGTATTTTTTAATCCACAAGAGCATCTTTCAAGGCATTCATTTCTACTAGAGACCACTGCAAATGTGATGATTAAATGAGTTAACCAATCCTTTAAAAAAACTGCGTTTCCCCTGGTCATTGAATGTCACACAGCCACTCTCCCAGTCCTCCAAAAGTGATTAAATTATGGCGTGCTATGACAAAATAAAACTTTTAACAATAATATTCATGGATGCCGTTTGGTGCTGGTCAGTGGCATCACTCACTGCTGAAACAGTCGCGACATGCCAACGTGTTAGCCAAGTCCTGAAAGGGATGCTTTTTTTATGGAGACACTTCGGCTGAGAGGACCTAGCCACTGTATTTTCTCTGTAACCTCATCCCTCTCCCAGGAATTTCCTGGAACTCTTATGGTGGAAACGTGGCTTTAGTGTTCTTTGGTGACGTTCCTACCAACACTGTTAAGTATTATGTTGGGATTATTGCTGTTTTATCTAAAACACATCTTCCTCTTAAGTCCTGGCAGCTGGAGAGTCTGCAGTCGTTGGTTTTACCTTCACGCTCACTGGTGCTTATCAGCCAACCCCCGTGTTTGTTTTCGGCAGGTGTTTGTGAGCTGTAACTTCTGTGGGAAGTCCATCTCCTACAGCTGCTCGGCGATGCCCCACCAGGGTCGAGGCTTCAGCCAGTACGGGGTCAGCGGCTCACCCACTAAATCAAAGGTCACCAGTTGTCCCGGCTGCAGGAAACCACTGCCACGCTGTGCCCTCTGCCTCATGAACATGGGCACACCTGTCTCCAGCTGCTCAGGTAGACGACATTAGAGAAGCTTCATTCCTGCGTAGCATATTCAATGGGTTTTCAATTGTGGATGAATCTTTTTGGCAGGACCTGGAAAGTCTGATGAGAAAGTGGATTTAACAAGGGAGAACAAACTCTCCCAGTTCAACAACTGGTTCACCTGGTGTCACAACTGTCGACACGGTGGCCACGCAGGTCACATGCTCAGCTGGTTCAGGTAGTAGACGTGTGCGAACGTAGTTTGAACCCTTGCTCTGTCCTGTCACTGGCTGTTTGTTTTTGTAACAAAATAGTTTCAATTTGGTCTCAATCTGGCTTTTTTATTCAATTTAAGTTTCATTAGTATATTTTTATTTAATTACATTACTTTTAACAGAAAATAAGAGAAATAAATAGATGATTAAAATCTAAAACAAAAGAACATTTGACATATTAGACCATTGGATTTTCAGAGCATTAACTAAAATTACCATAAAGCCCAACAACAGCAATAATAATAATAATAATAATAATAATAATAATAATAATAATAGAATATTCTTTGTTATAAAACTATTATAATTGTAAATATTAGCTGAATATTTTCATCATTACATCATTTCATTGCTTCCCTTACATTTTCTGTGTTAAAACCCTTTTTCAGAGACCACACAGAGTGCCCGGTGTCGGCTTGCACGTGTAAATGTATGCAGTTGGACACCACGGGGAACCTGGTGCCTGCAGACAGCAGCTAAACAGGAGACGCGTGTTGGAAACCGAAGCCAAACACGAGTCAGAAGCCAAGCAGTGCAGGCTGACTGCTGCGTGGCCACACCGACCACCGGGCAGAGGACAAAAGGAGTGCCAGCAGAGCCCCCCTTCTCTCAAGTGGCTGCTTGAATAGAAACAAATACTGTTAAGTGATTGTCTAGTGAATGTCATGTACTAATGGAGCCTATATGAAAAAGGGAAGATTACTAAATAAAAGGCAGAAAGGGAGCAAATGCTCATTTACTGCTCTGCTAATAACAAAATCACTCTCAGGAGAAATGTTAGAGGCCTTGCTGTTATCAGCCTCTCCTGATCTAACCCGAATCAGGATTCTGGTTTTTAGATAATCGCTTTGTGGAAATGTGATCACAGGTGCCAACAAATCTGATTTGTGTTTTAGAAACTTATTTAATGTCTTTGTTTTTGATGACATACCTCATGAAAGTTGTGTTTGGGTTAAGAGCCCCCCCCCCCCCCCCCCTCCCCCGGGTGACAACAACAACCATCTCCTGCTCTCCTTGTGCTGCCACTCCTCATCTGGCATTGTGCAGCAGGAGGTGGCTTTGGGGGGGAGGAATGTGGGAGGGCGCGCCTGTATTCACCAGCCCACTCCAGACCCGTGGTCTATGAAAGAAGCTCCCTAGAAAACGGCAGCTGCTCGGCTCTGACAAGACCCTCCAGATTGTTCCTCATAAAGAACCTCAGCTGCCGGAACACTATTGATTCAAAGAAGAAGGGAGAACAGCCTGAGCCCTGTACACCCCCCTGTTATGACCAACAGATATAAAAACTGTCCCTTTCTTTTATTCACCCCTCCTCACCGATTCTTAAATTGCACCCAGTATCTATGCATACCCCACACCGCTCTCGGGACGGGCGCCATCTGTGGGGTGACCGTCTTGTGTAAACCACATTGTAAATGTTTGCCTCCTTCTGTGCCACCTTCTCCAGCCCAGAGAGTCATTGTAAGTGAGAGGCGGCCTGCTCCAGAGCTGGCTAAATCACTTAGTCATGGGGAGGAGTGGGGGGGATGCACAGGCGCTACTGTAAGCAGCATTTATCAGGACCTGGTGTGGGAGGTTTTCAAGGCCTGCATGCTCTTTTGTGAACCATTTCGGATTGAAGTCGACAAATTAGGGAGCCGTGTAGCGTGCTGATAAACAGAGTGGCTGGGTTTTCATCCTTTCACAGTTTCACGTGTTTGCCTTCAGAATAAATCCCTTCTGACAAATTGGAAAGCTGCTGAACTGGGGTCATTTCTATGAGTTTACATGGTTTGTTTTTACATTTTGTTTTATTGACCCACATTGTTGGTAACATGTTTACTGTCACCGAAAGTAACCAGGGAATCCTTGACTATGCAAACGAACTCCGTTTTAGCTCTAAATGAAGATTCTAAAACAATAGTGGAAAGCAACAATCTGTTGCAATTTTCTTTGCAAATGGACTTTGGTTGTTATGGGATAGTTAGTTCTCTGTGTTGGCTTAGAGGCTGAGATTGAAACTTTGTCTTGCCTTTGGAAACAGCTGTTGACCGACTGTCTCACCACATTTATTGGCCAAACATGTTAAGGCATAAAAGGAATTTGACCTGAATTTCTTGAAACTCTCAAAAACACATGCATGAGTGGCTCGGCAGAGCTTAATGTAACAATCCAGGGCACTTCAGATGAAGTGGTTGTGTCTGATTAAAGGTTCAAAACCCTCAGGTGAGCATTTTGAAAAGGATTATTGTAAAACAGTAGTAACTATGTTTTTCTTAAATAGAATTACATATTTCTGATTTATTATAAAAACTAATCATAGCGGTGTTATCATTGTTACAGATAAAGTATGCTAACCCAATAAGCTCACATGTAGGACTTTTTTTTGGTTGTCATACAAAAACTACATTTAAGCAGACACCAGCAGCTAAAAAGAATGAACGTTCTAGCAGAGCCATGAGAGGGCTTAAAACATCTTTTGTGAACAGTTCACATGTTTTAATAAAATTAGTTTATTGTTTAGTTAAAAGAAAAAAAATTGCAGCCGTAAACCAGGTTGCAATTTGATTGAATAAAAGTGTAGTCCATATAACTGAGGGCCAATCAGGGACCTTACTGTACAGTGACTTTGGCCAATAGGAAGCCAGGACACGAGGGCTTTAGCGCCGCCCACGAGAAAAACTGTCAGTGAACAGGATGGGGAAGACGCACAAACGGCAAAACACGAATGAAACGTAGTAAGAAGTAGTAAAAACAACTTGTGAAGTTACTCATGCCATGTGTGGAGCTCTCAGCGGTATGTAATAGTGCCTTACAGGTAAGTTCGTCACAAAACGATACGTTCTACAGGATATTTGTTCGCGAACGCACGAGTTGAGCATTTTTAAAGGAAGCTAACTTTTTCGCTAACAGGCTGATGTATATCTTAACCCTCCTCCCTCCAACCATCTCTTCCTCCAGAAAAACTGCAGTTCGTGTTTTTCCCTGCGATAAGAGTATCAGCCACTTTCGGAGGATGTCAGCCCCAAGTAACTCTCTCCAGCAGCCGAGAGTGAGGCGCAGCAATGCGGGTTCCCCTGGTTCGTTCAACAACAGCAGCTGCCGCTTGCACCCCATCCGTGCCACCGTGCCCTATCAGCTCTTGAGTGGGGGTCAGAGCAGTCCGACACGGGCTCAAACCCACCACGGAGGAGCCACGACGACCAGCCGGGTGTCAAGTCCCCCCTCCAGTCCGACACTCAGCTCAGGAAGTGCAAACGCTAAGCAAAGACTGTCCCCCGAAAACAAGGAGTCGTCCTGTCCCCCAGATTCTCCAGTTTCCAGAGGTAAAATGACACGCTTGTTACTTTCGTAGGACCAAGTAACGGTGTGTGACCACGTGCGTTTGAGCCATGGTGGCAGCTTCTCGTGGTATCTTTGGGTGGTCCCGTAAAACGCGAGAAACTTGTTTATGTCTGATATAGGATAACATAAGCATGGATCTATCTTTTCATCTCAACAATTAGACGTTTATAACGAGCACAGATTTGGCTCTATTATTTACATTTACCCGTTTGAAAGGGAGAGGTTTAAATACCTGACAGAAAGACATGTTGTTACATGTAGTCTGGCCAATTTACTCCGAGTAGAAACAACTGCTTAGGCAGGTGTTGTGGAGAGCTCAGCATACTGAGAGCAAATTATACAACCCACCATGATGCCATGTATATATGGCCAGCAGAGCCCATATTTATGCTGTTTCAGCTGATATGAAGTAACAGTAAAGAAGGACAAGAAAGTTTTAAATCAACATTTCCCACTGGTCTGCTAAATCTTGTTAATGTGACTTCTCCCCATTGCTTATATTGGCCCTGTGGTCTGTTATGAGGTAGTAGTGTCTTTTTTTCTAGAGAAAAATCACATAATTTCTGGTGGTCATTTGAAATCCATGAAGGTGTGTAAATGCAGCGCGCTGTTGCAGTTAACAGTGTGTGTGAAGACGGAGACCTATTGTACCTCTGCTAACATCAGTGAGTTTTTCTGCATCATCAACCACAATCAGTCCATCTTCCATTAGGCACATTAAAGTGCTTCTCCTCTTACCTTTAACCAGAATGGTTCTCTTCTTCCCCTGTTCTCGCATGGTGGTGTTTTGTGCTCGTGACAGGCCTCGCATTCCTCGGCTCTTTGAATGAGATGACCTCCAGCCCCGACCAGCGTACCATGCAGGGCAGGAAGCAGAATCTTTTCCATAAGATTAAAGAAGTCCAGTTTACCAGGCATGATGAATTTCGCCCATGTTTGGCAAGCTGTTGGTGTTGATTTTCTGCTCCAGCAGCATGCCACGCATACCTCTTTCCTCTAAAAGAGACAACCTCTAACCCGGGCCAGCGTTCCTTGTTCGTTGTGATGATGGAGGCTAGTCTTTCCATCATGGATGTGGCCCCCAAAATGTAAACATCACGAGGGGTCTCAAGTGATGACGACCAGTGAGGATCTGGTGACTGGTTAAAGTAATTAAAGCTAAATCTTACACATTAGCACATCAACAGCATCTTTATTCTTTACTTCGTCCCATGTCTAGCTGCTAGCTCGCAGTTCTCATTATGCATTGCACTTTGAACTCACTCATAACACATAATGCTTGCCTTTTGGTATTGGAACACGTGATCATGGTGACGTCGAAAGTATTATATTTTCTGTTTTGACCTTTTAGGTTCAGCAGCATGACATCATGCTCCTACCACAGTGTTCTGACAGTGCTAGTTGTGCTGAAACAGCCCTGCTTCATTGTCAACAATCAAACTGCAGAGTAGGACCAAATTTCAAATAGAATGTGGCATTTGAATTGGTGCAGCTGTGCTTTTTTTCTTTTCCTTCTCTGACTGCACATAATATTTTAATGAGTCTGTGAGTTGAGGAAAATAATTTAATAATCGATGCATCGAGATGCAGACAAAAATGATTCTGCATCGTAGAAGAAGAACGCCATAATCGATTATAGTGGAATTCAGTTTTGTTTTTTTAACCGCGTCACTTGCGTCGCATCCAAATTGGTCAAAGTGGGACGTTGGGCTTTGAAGGGAACTGTCTTCACACAACAGTCCACATTTTAAAAAGTGTTGACGGTGCTGGAAAAACACCAAATAATTAGGTTCAACTGATTTATGAGCATGTGCGTGACTTCTATTTTAGCCATGTTCTTTTTTTTTTTTACTACCTCTTACGTGAGCTGGCTTTAGTGAGCGCAAAGTCAGTTTCGTCGTACACCCGTGCAATGACAGTAAATGATCTTGAATCTTTTTGTGCAACATAGGGATGATTGTAAAAGAAAAGCTCAAGTTTAAGGTTACTATGTAGCTAAGTCAGGAGATGGTGGGAGTTTTACGCAAATGAAAAACTCAGCCATTTCTCAACATTCAGAGTTGTGTTGTGAGTGGCTCACATGATACTGAATAAAATAAATATGAGTCATGACTGCTTTTATTTTATTTGAGGTTGGTCAGCCATGATGGCCATTTTTGGGCTCAACTCCTAACTACCACAACATCAAAATTTAGCTTAAAGGCTGTGTCCAAATTCAGGATTGTGAGGACTTGTCCTACTTCGTCAACATAGGTCGGATCCTTAGTCGGCTATGAATTTGGACGGCCTAGCCTTCATAATTATTCCTATCCCTACCTCAGCCTAGCACCTGTGATGGCACTAAACAGAAGTTAAAACTGTACTTAGTGGCAGCATGTGAAGACATACAGGAACCCACCTCACAAGCTAGTTTATGAGGATTTAGACTTTGTATTTATTTTTAACAAAAATATATTTAAAGTGCAAGTTCAGCGAGAAACCATGTTTTACTTATTTTTGAAAAGTGGTTGGTCACTCTGAGTTTAACACAGAGGTGTGACATTGTGGCACCATCAAGTCATCTCCATGTCATGTTTTTGTTCTGCTCCGCAATTAAACCAGGTGATTTCAATCAGCACAGTGAATTAACCTGGTTCTGTTGCTGAGCAGAACAACGACATGACATGGAGATGACTTGATGCCACCGTGTCACACCTCTGGTTTAACATGCAAGCTAAATGTAAAAATAGTCTTCTTCCCCTATTTCCTGAATTAGCTGCCAATAGAAAACAGACTAGGAAACGCTTGGATAAGAAAAGCCAGACAGCTCTATGTCACTGTGAAAATTGGCAATCATGGATTCACTCATCTTTGCTCATGATGAGGAAGGCTGTTGTTGATTTAGCATCAAGGAAATGGCAGAGAACGTCTCGGCTAGTAGAAGCTAACTGTTAGCATTAGCACTGCTTCAGGCTTGCATCATTTATGGAGATAAAACATCAATGTTGCAAGGCAAACTGTCAGTATTAGATTATTGCTGCTGTTAGCCAAACAGAGTTGAGATGTCCATTTATCAGAACATTAAACTCTAAATCCTGCTGTCTGAAGCCACTATCTCCCCTGGCTGACTTTTACATCTTCAAACAGGCCCACTGGAGCTTTTTTTCCCCCAGAGTACGACTTATAAGTAATTTATTCCTACTAGAAACCACTGCAAATGTATAAAAATATTCATTTCATTTCATTTATAAAGCCCCTTCTGTGACCAATGCCATTTCCCCAGGGTTCTGAACACAATAAAAACATAAAACCATCAGAATAAAATATAACAATTGTAAAACCAGCATAAAATCATTTAAAAGAGGTGAGTAAAAGCAAAAAATAAAATCCAGAAAAAGATTAAAAGGCCGGGGCATCGAAACCGGGTAAAATTTGCTAATCCTGAAAAGCCTTGACAAACAAATGGGTCTTAAGGCGAGTCTTAAAAACCCCCAATGAGGGTGACTGATGCACCACCAAAGGCAACTGGTTCCAAAGTGCAGGTGCCAACACAGAGAACGCACGTGACCTGCACTTAGTGCGTGGAATGATCACCCTGCCGGCTGAGCGAAGGGCCCGCGAGGGGGCATGCCTATGCAAAATGTTGCCAAGATATGCTGGAGCAGTTCCGTGTAAGGCCTTGTATGCCAGTACCAAGACCTTGAATTTTGCCCTGTATTGTACAGGCAGCCAATGAAGGGATGCCAACACAGGGGTGATATGTTCCCTGCGCCTAGTGTCTGTCACGAACCTAGCGGCTGAGTTTTGTACTAACTGCAAGCGTGCTACCGCACCCTGACTAAGGCCGGCATACAGTGCATTGCAGTAGTCGAACCTTGAAAGAACAAAAGCATGTGTGACAGTCTCTAAATGTACTCTGGACAGCAGGGGCTTAATGCTGGCTAGTCGGCGTAAGTTAAAAAAACACTATCGCACAACCTGGTTGATTTGCGCGTCAAATTTAAGGGCTGAGTCCAGTTGCACTCCCAAATTTCGGATGGTGGTCTTCAAGTTGGATGCTAAAGGGCCCAGATTCACAGCATTGCATGGGTTGTGTAGACATGCCAGGGCTAAGTACAATTACTTCAGTCTTAGCGTCATTCAGATGTTAAAAGCTTGTAGCCATCCAGGAGCGCACATCCTCTAAGGCATCTACAAGCTTTGATATTGACCCATCGACCCCCTGCTGAAGGGGGAGGTAGATCTGACAGTCATCAGCATAAAAATGCAAACGCATGCCGCACCGCCGAAGAAGATTCCCCAACGGTAGTAAGTACATGGCAAAAAGAAGTTGACCCAGTACAGACCCCTGTGGCACACCCCACTTGAGTCCCGCCCAGGTCGAGGAGGTTTCACCTACACTGACACAAAAACTCCTGTCGGATAAGTAAAAATATGAGTAAAGTTGACCTTTTAAAATGTCCTAGGTATTTATAGTTGAAAATCCTGAAATTGAGTCACGTATTGTATAGTGATATAAATTAGGATTTAAACCATTATTAAAAAAATACAATTATAAAACTAGTTTGCAAAGTAAATGTTGATTACAAAATTCTAAATTTGTAACAGGTTCCTGTCTGACTCGGGATCTGGAGCACAAACAATGTCAGTCTGGTTGTTTTCATCTGCACGAGTTTCTATTTACTGTCTTTTAGGGGGAAACGATAGTCTTGTGATCTTTGCACCAGTGGTCCCATAAAACCTTGGAAAAGCCTGGGATAAGTTGTCTATTTAAAGTAACACCTACATTCTTCTGTGTTTAACTGTTGTTTGAAGGAAAATTTGTGGAAAGTTGCTGGAATGTTGGATATTCAGTTATTTTCTTTTTGTGATCGAAGATCGAGCAACAAGTTGGGAATTTTGTTTTCAAACAGTGTGATGAAGGCTTGTGAAACCTCGCGGGAAACGGTTATGCTTTGGTTTACCTATCAGGGCCACATGTTTATTTTCATATTTTCCTCTGCTCTGCCATTAATAAGCCACCCATTTAAAACCCAGGAGATGTGGAGAGTTTTTCCTATGCCTGCTGAACGTCCAGCGAGAGAACGCTCATTTTAAAATCCAGCCTGAAAATATTCCTTTAATGTCACAACACCAGTTCTTACCACTGAAATCAGCAAATGGACCGCTTTGATGTCTTGGCTTGTTTCACACTGTTCCTTTTTTTTTTTTTCTCATAAGGAGATTATTCTAGTCTGGCAAAAGGAGGGTGAAGGTGGTGGTGGTGGTGGTGGTGGTGGTGGTGGGGGGGGGGGGTGTAAGGGCGCCATAATGGAAAATAACCACACTCCCAGTCCTGGGAGTACTGGCTTGGCCTATATCAATATTGATGGAAATTTAGCCTGCTTCCCGTGTCTGCAATGCTTCAGGGAATTTTACTGTAGCCCAGTAAGCTTACTTAGGCAATACCTTTGGGTGGATAGCCCTGTGTATTCTACCAACAAAGAACAACAATGAGTGGCTGTGCAGCTGTACGAGGGCAGGGGTGCCTCATGTAGATGGTTTAGTCTCTGTGTGTGTGTGTGTGTGTGTGTGTGTTAGCATTAGAAAGACATTTGCCTTGCCCTAAATAATCCTTTTCTTTATTATTTAATGTAAAAGTAATCTACACATGTTCTACTTATGGTTTATTTGAAGCTGTGCTTTTTCTTGCAGGCCTGATGCTCTCAGGCATTTGAGCTCAAGTTTGGTGCCTCCTGTTCTTACACTGCATGCCACTGCAGGAATGCTGTGTGGATGCAGGCTGTATGATGTGCTCTGCGGCGTGGTGGTTTATGAGTTCTCATGTGGGTGGTGGTGTGTGCTTAACTGCTCTAGGTCACAGCAGATTGCTCTCATAACATCAGATACTGCTGCTCACTCATTTACATTTTCTTCAGCTCTCAAACTTTTTTTTTTCTACTCAGGAAAACTTGACAGGTTGCAAAAACTGTCCTTAGTTTAACAACTAGAAGGTAAAATGTCTAAGTAAAACCTGTTTAATTGTAGAGGTGTCTGGAAGGGATAATGTTGTTTTTTCCTCAGTTGTCCTTGGTAACAGCTGATTTTATAGTTTGTTTTCTTGTAAGAAAGTAATGCATTAAGGTGGACCTAGACTTTTTTATGGAAGAAGTTCTGTTAGAATTCTGGCCCCCAGTTCTTGGCTGCACTAAACACAAAAAGATTTTGTAGTTTGTCTTAGATTTTTTACAGTCATTCAATGCACATGAACGTTTTCCTTATTTGCAGCAGAAAGGTCCAAACTACAAGTCCGGAGTTCTAGCGCCATCCGAAGGGCGTCTTCTTTGGACGCCATCACCGGACCATACCTCACTGGCCAGTGGCCTCGGGATGCCCACGGACCCTACCCCTCCTGTATGAAAGACAAAGCCACGCAGGTACATTTGATTCAGGGCACTCCGTTGTAGCTGGAAATCAGTTAGAAGCGACAGTGGTTTAGGATGTTGCCCTGTAATCTGGTTGCCGGTTCAAACCCAGGTTCTATTTGTGTCCGTCTCATGATCACACCACTGATTTTGATTTAACTTCTAGAAAGACATCAGTACTACTGATTAACCTTTAGTCAACCTGATGACTGCCATAGATGACTGACCTTAGCAAACACATATGGTTATAACTCCGTTTTACAGATATTGAGCTACAGCTTTATATGTAAGCTGAGACTTGCACCACAACTCCAGCTGCTCACAGATTGCATTTTCTGATAAGATTCTGCCCAACACGACTATTTTTTGCAACGTAAGATTGTCTTTGTTTAAATCTGGCATTAAAAGCAGGGGTTGATTCTAGATGTGGGCGATTGGATTAATTTATTGCTGGTTTGAGGTCGAGCCCTTTGCAGATAATTTTTCATGACAGATTTTTAATAAATTTATATGACTTGGTTTCACTGAGACATTGTAAACTACCACTTCAAATCAGTCTTTTTTTGCAGCGCCCTATATACACAATACATATTATACCTTATTAGAAAGCTATATACACAATACATATTATACCTTATTAGAAAGCTATATACACAATACATATTATACCTTATTAGAAAGCTATATACACAATACATATTATACCTTATTAGAAAGCTATATACACAATACATATTATACCTTATTAGAAAGCTATATACACAATACATATTATACCTTATTAGAAAGCTATATACACAATACATATTATACCTTATTAGAAAGCTAGGATTCTTGTGATTCCTTTAATATATGGCAATTAAGAATGTGACCACAGCTTTAGACACAAAAAATGCTTAAGTCAATTTTGGAAATTTAAAATAAAGTCCAACACCTACTTCACACTGGAAGCATCAGCGGTGCGGAACGGCTGTGGAACGTCACTGCTTCAAATTAGAATCCACTATAGTCTATGAGGGTGATACAAACCAGCTGCGACGCGGAAATCTTCAGGTGCATCCCAGAAGCGGCTCACCGCACCGCTAAAGATAGGATTGGATTCTGTTTTAGCTGCGAGTCGCTCCTGAGACACAACAACTTCTGCTGTTAACAAAGGGCTACACAGGAAATCACTTACAATTTCAGTGTAAAACCCCTGGTAATAGTCAAAATAAAAGACTAATGCAGTAATGTGATTTCATATCTATGTAGATTACGTCAATACGTGTGACCTAACAGCTTATTTACACCCTGCGTCATTTGAGAAGTGCAAGGGTGTGTTTTTCATAGCGTTAATCCTGGCAGTGGAGAGGAACAACATCATACATGACATCAAACAGTGATGTCAAACGTGATTTCCTTCTTTTTGGTTTATTGGCAGAAGCAAACTCGAGGGATTTTGTGGTTTCGTGAGTCCAGCGAGGAGCACGTTGGAGAAGTCGCTCCGTTCTGTAAACCGTTCTGCTGCCGTTCCGCTCCGCTGCTGCGGGCTAACTCCCCGTTCAAAGCCACATATCCTAGAAAAAACAGAAGCATCCCAAACAAAACCATCTTTTTATGTCCATTTAATGTCCACATGTAAAATTGTTAGTCAACAAGTCTTTAATCCAAAATCCAACATATTCTACCGCTGTCATCATAGTGGCTTAAAAACCTTTGCCATCTTACTTTACCCACAGCTGGTTCATCCTCCGTCTAAATGTCCACTGAGTCATCATGCTGTGTATTTACTATACCATTCCTTATTGGAGGAGCATCTTCTTTTTCAATAAGGTCATTGGCAAAGTCATTCAAATCATTGAGTTTTTATTGATAAAGATTTAGATGTAATAAAACATCTAGCAGAGTCTTTTTGACCGGATGTGGTTTAGAAGTTAAATCTGAAAATTCCTAATCTTGTCAGAAGGCCTGTTTTAATCTCCAAACACAGCGGTTCCATCACTGAACTCATTTAAAGGGATTCCAGTTTAAACCGACACAAACATCAGCTGTTTGCAGGTGGTTTTAATACAAATATGATCACATAATGAAATGTTATCCTTGTTTCAACATTTTAAAATGTCCTCCATCCTTGAATTAATTTCACATTTAGCCTCGACCACAGTATCGCCGCTTAGCATCATGCACGTAATTATCCACGGTTCCTACTGTGCAGGTTTATTCAACGAGATTCAATCTGGAGGGCGAGGGTCTGTGGTGGGTTTGTGTTATGAAAGAATATTGAATATGTATGATTTTGACGAGGGCAGCGTCGCTCGTCGCTAACAGAAGCCTTTCATGTGTCTGAATGAAGACCGCCAAGACTAATTTACATGGGCTTCATCCCTTTACCCCTCATTTACTTTGCGTTTCTTTGTTTGTCGGCTGAGGAAGTGGTGAAGGGGCCTAGTGAGATTTCTGAAGGGGGCTGTGTGCAAAGTAAACACCTCTAATTACAGGGTTCCTGTGTAGATCTGGAAAGTTTGGAAAATCAGTTTGAAGATTACCTTAATCTGGAAAGTGTTAATACACAAAACCATCTGGTAGCGTAAATGTCACGGCCTCATGAACTTGATGCCTTTTGGCACAATGTGAGTCTTGCCTGTCCTAGTGAAATGACCAATTACTAATCAATTTAAGACATCTCTGTGTTTTAATCTGTGGAAAATATTGATGGAAAACATTTGGCTGTGTTGTAATAATGACACACTTAACGATCCTTAAGCATACTTCAACTCCCTTAAGGATAGTCACAAAACCACTTCCTGTTAACAAGTTTTCCTTGAGCCTGGCTCTTTTCATGATACAACAGCAGAAAGCAGCACACAAAAGGTGCCTGCTCTCTTTTGTTTTGTATTGCATACGTTCAAGACAGCCTCTTCTTTGAGCTGTAATACAACTCCACATGGAGGTGAAGCTGGTTGCACCTGTCCATGAGGCTAGGCGAGGAGAAATCCCACTGCTTACCACCTGGCCCTCATGGCTGCCTGCCCTTTGTGTGGGAGCTGAGAAGCAGCAGGACCATACATATGCTAATCACTGTCCCAGGATAGATCTGCAGGCCCTGGGCCCTGTGGTTACAGAGCACTGAGAAGGGCTGCATGAAGATTACGGCCCCGACACACCAAGTCAACTTTAAAGAACAAGCAAAAAAAAAAAAAAAAAAAAAAGAACAAGCAGCATGTACAAAAGCAGGCTGATCAAACTGTTTGTGTTGCTTCATGTCTTGTTAAACGTTACAAACAGTAGATATTATTTCTCATTAGACCATTAAAAATACTGTTTAGGTCCTTCAGACTTTGTACAAAGTAAGTCCACCCTCTTTTTAATTAGCTTTAACATTTGTTTTTGCATTAATCTGTGTTTCTGTGTAAAAGTTCCATATGATTACTATCCAACCCAATGCAGATTGCTTCCTGACTTCCGCGTTTTCAGAGAAATGTTATTTATGTCCTTCATAACTGATAGACCAACATGGCTTCAATCTCCAAGCAGTTATCATGTAAACAGTTTCACTGAAGGATTATTTGCATTGAATCCTTTGGCTATTGACGAGCTAAAATATTTTGCACAAGACCCTGATATCTCTGATTTTCTTACAAATTTTCTTACTTTCTTGATTCGGAAAAGGGTAGAATGCCTTCTCCGGGTCAGGGATGAGGTCCTGCCCCAAGTAGAGGAGTTTAAGTATCTCGGGGTCTTGTTCACGAGTGAGGGAAAACTGGAGCATGAGATCGATAGGCGGATTGGTGCTGCATCTGCAGTGATGCAGGCGTTGTACCGGTCTGTCGTGGTGAAGAGAGAGCGGAGTCAGAAGGCGAAGCTCTCGATTTACCGGTCGATCTACGTTCCTATCCTCACCTATGGTCATGAACTTTGGGTAGTGACAGAACGAGATCGCGGACACAAGCGGCCGAAATGAGTTTTCTCCGCAGAGTGGCTGGGCTCGCCCTTAGAGATAGGGTGAGAAGCGCGGTCATCCGAGAGGGGCTCGGAGTAGATTCGCTGCTCCTCCGCATCGAGAGGAGCCAGTTGAGGTGGCTCGGGCATCTGGTCAGGATGCCTCCTGGATGCCTCCCTGGTGAGGTTTTCCGGGCACGTCCAACCGGGAGGAGGCCTAAAGGGAGACCTAGGACATGTTGGAGGGACTATGTCTTTCACCTGTTCAGGGAACGCCTTGGGATTTCCCCGGAGGAGCTGGTCCAAGTGGCTGGGGAGAGGGAAGTCTGGGCCTCTCCATTTAGGCTACTGTCCCCGCAACCCGACTCCAGATAAGCGGATGAAAATGGATGGATGGATAGATTTTCTTACTTTTGCTAGAATAAGCACGTAACACAAAACGGATGGATGCTTGTAATGTAGCTGAAGTGAAATTTTTAAGATTGGATCAGCTTTAAGTTAGCAACAACCTAATTTGAATGAGTTCCAATCATTGAAACATTTTGATGCTAATCAAAATGTGTGTTTTGAATAAAAGGATGTCCAAGCTGTGACATTCATATTTGACTCTAGAATACTTGGGTATGCAGTGGAGATGTTGGTTATCTCTGTGATGTAGGGTTGTCACGGTATGAAAATTTAACCTCACGGTTATTGTGACCAAAATTATCACGGTTTTTGGTATTATCGGTGTATTTTTTAAACGGTGTTGCATATGTTCAGAAAGCATTGATAGTCCTGTTCTACACAAACTGAAATAGTTCTGAAAAGGTTTAACAGTGTTTATTAAACCTAAAATAACACAAAGCCTTAGCAAAAGTGCAACTTTTCACAAGTAAAGGAACAAATAGCTTCTTTTTCTGGAACATGTTACAGTAGTCAGTGCAGGTTTAAATTATACAAATCCAAACATTCAAACCATAAACAATATGTAAACAAATCAAAGAAACACCACTTGTCTTCTCATATACTTGTTTTCTTCATTATCAAAATGAAAATCTAAAACTCCAGTCCACACTTGACTTGAGCACTGTACAAGTCAACCTTAAAAAAAA